GGGCTAATAGATGAAAGATTTAATGTGAGGAGCTGAAAGTCTTTTATTGTGGAGGAGCTGATGGACTCTTAACCTAACTTTACATGTTTGTGGTTTCCTGCAAAGCACTTTGTGTGCTTTTAGACTGAAAGGGAGATAATAAAGTTGTTTATTGTTTACATTTCTTGTCGGATCTTTAAATATTACCAGTTCAGTTCCATCAACACACGATAAAGAAGTGGTGCGGAGGATTCTTTGTCCTGCTGATCCCAGAGCAGCTGTTGTCTAAAATTAACGTCCGAGCTGCAGCAGAGAAAAGCTACAGACGCGTTTCGGGTCACTGAGAACGAGTCGTGGAGTCCTGCTCGGGTTCTGGCCTCAGCAGCAGCATGAGTCTTGTCCCCTGGGCTGGGTTTTAGAGACGTGGTGGTGGAACATATTCATTAGTTTCTGTTGCGTAATCAGTTTGATGAGTGCTGACAGGCTGACAGCGAGTTTCTCTGAAGGCTTTTCATCTGCTCTGAGCAGCTTCTATTTCAGGCTCCTCACTGACTCACAGTCGGAGGCTTTTATTGGTGTGAGAGGATGTAAATCCCTCCTCCGACCGCCGCTCTGTGTGATCGGCAGCTGACCGAGGATCAATCAGGTAGCTGACAGCCCTCAGCAGAACGGACAAGCAGTTTACAGATTAGCCAGACCCGGACTGTGAGCTTCTGCTGCTCTCCAACGCGTCCGTACAGGAAGCAAGCACTCATCAGCGTTTTGTGTCCTGCTCATTCACGCGGCCCAGAGCGGATGGTGAGAAGAAAGAGAGAGGAGGTTTAGCTGGGTTATCAGCTGGGATGAAGATGTGAGTTTTTACTGAAGATTCATCACAGAATAAAAGCTTTCAGCAGACACACTGCTGCTGCATCTGACTGATCTCCAAACGGAGACAGGCTGAATAAAGAAAAGCGTCCTCCATCCATCCTTCCTTGATGAATTCATTAACTGACAGCTTGAATGGAAAACGTTTCCGTCGGACAGAAAAACTGACCTGAAGTAACACATTCACGTGTTTGGTTCTGTCTTCAGCTGGCTGACATGGTCCTGTCTGGGAAGCTGGGACTATGTTTAAATCCCTAGATTCTCCGATTTCTCTCATTTTGGTCCAGGCCTCCTCTTACCTCAAGTTCTAGGTGATGCTGATGACTTCCTGTCCAGAACAGTTTGGACCACTGTCCTTATCCATCCAGAACTTTGACTCACTCAGTCTGAGGCCTTCTGCGGTCTATTTACCTCTGAAGACCACCAGGGACAGATGCCACAGACTACAGAAGTCTTATGTTTGTTGGGCTGCATTCAGCATCAGTAAGGTTGGTTGGTGTCTTCATGGAGAACCTGTCTGATCCTCCAGCTTCATGCAGATCAGGGTTTTTGGGCTCTATCCCTTGTTCTGTTGGTTCCGTGACCCCCAGGATCCTTTGAGCTTTGTTTAACCTCTGCAGCAGTGGTGTGAATGAATGACTCCACCAAAGACCAGAGAGCTTTTTTAACATCAGGGGTTCATGATGGCGTGAACCACTTTTAATAACTCGATCAGCTGATGACCACTCTGTTCAACTTTAAATTCAGTTTTTAATAAACTTGACGAATTTATTTTTTCTATTTTTATTTATTATTTTGCATTCTAAGTCTCTTTTTTTTTACCTGGTTATGACTAGGGATGCACCGATGGATCGGCATTTGATCCCAATCGGCCGATGGCGCACCTATCGGTTTTGATCGGAGATTTCAAAATAGATCAAAGCAGACCGATCAGACCATTTTAGATTAGGTTACATTTCCTTTATTCCCAGATTATGTAGTTTGTAGCACTCATTATAATGTTGTAGAAAATTTCTGGCCAATCCACGTGATCGGTATCGGTGATCAGCATTCTTTGATATCGGTATCGGTGATCGGCAGCAAAAAACCTGATCGGTGCATCCCTACTTATGATCCAGACGCTTGACATTTATTCACTCTTTTGTTTGAGTTATTATTAATGATTAAATGATCTTCACTCAGAGATCCAGCTCTCATACCATCCAGACCAAGCAGAACCCACCCTAGCTCCAACCAGGGGCTCAAACATTGACAGTCACTCTAATTGAAAGAATGCAGCTAGTATGTGTAGCGTGTTTAACTACATACTAGAATTAACGCTGTTTGCTATCAGCTTTGATAGATTCTGAGAAAAGCTCAAACAAGTTAACCATGAAGCTTCTATCATACATAAATATCTAGGATATTATATATTCGATAGAAGTTCATATGCCAACGAGCTTGGTCTATTTTTAATCCAAAGATGAATGTTTAATTTAAGATAATTAAATTTAATAGCAAAAGTTTATTTATTTAATCAGAAGTTGAAAGGAATCTTTGATTTTTCAATAACCAGAAATATACACCATTCTGTGTTTAATTTCAAAGAAGAGAGTCAAGTTTTTAAAGTTAAGAATTTATTACTAACACTTTAAAAAAAATGACGATTTGAAATGACAATTTTTAACAGTCAATTTGATATTAAAACGTATTTTAAAAAGCAAACCTGCGACTGAATAGAAGCTAAAATGAAAATGCGAGTTTTTGGGTGCGTGAATGAATCTCAGAAGGTTTCTTTCAGCGAGAGAAGCGCTTCTGGGTGAAAGTTGTTTTGCAGCTAACTCAGTTGTTTCTAGAGAAAACAGCATCGGACACCATCTGTGTGCTACCTCACCCAGCAAGACGACCCTCTGTGTGGATCTGGAGGTCAAGGAGGATGTTGTCAGCCTCAGGGGTACTCGGTCCGGTAGGGAAGACCCGAGTAGAACCGATCCTCTGGTCCAGAGATGTTGCAGGTGCACGGTGTCGAGCGTCTGGCTTAACTCTGAAGGAGTTTTGTGTCAGCTGGTTACAGGTGCATTTATTCGAAGCAAGACTATCGGCGTGACAGAATGCTTAGTAGTGACTTGGGCGGCCATCCCTCTTCTCCTGGTATGGTTCAATAACTGAGCTTTCAGCTGTGGGATTTGGTTTTAACAAAACCCTCAGAACACGCCCTCTCAGCGTCAGAAAGCCTGGTCATGAAGTAACGACATGTGAGATGGTTTTAACTTTACCCTGGATCCCTTCTTCTGGATGAGGTGGTTAACGTGCAAGATGACCTTCTGGTTTACTGAACACACATTACGGATCATCAACAATAATTATTATTATACCCAAAGCATAATAAGTCATTTCAGTAATTAAAATACATTTACACTGAACCAAGAGATTATTTATGATGGTTGTAATAACAGTAATAAAGTCAAGAGTTTATTAAAATTATTATTGAAAAATGTTATTGTGAACTTGAAGTGTCCTTCAGCGTGGGACGGAACAGCAGCAGATAAAGATGGTTTCAGCAGACATCACGGCTCCTGGCGGTTAATCTGTGGGGCGAAGCTACAGAACGACCCAGCTTGACCCAGCTGGGAAAATGTGACCTTTGTCACAAATTAGAGGCCATTCATGACGCTACACATGTTAGTATGTAGTTGTGAGAACTTCCTTTTTTCACTGGCGCCGTCTGGCAAAGATCAAGCCGATGTTGTTTAGGGCGCATCTCGAGTCTGTCCTGCATGCTTTTGTTTTATCGCAGCTCAATTAGTGTAATGCACTATATGTTGGACTGAGTCTGGCAGCAATGAAATGATTGCAGTTAGTGCAGAACTCAGCAGCTAGATTCCTGACAGGCACGACAAAGACAACACTTTACTCCTGTCCTAGCTTCCCTACACCGGCTACCTGTGGCTTACCGGGTAAAGTTTAAAGTTCTGTTGTTTGTCTCCCGGGCCCTTCACGGTGGTGCCCCACCATATCTGGCTGGGTTGTCACAGATGCATGCCCCTACACGCTCCCTTCGCTCGGCTGATCAGGATTTGCTCGTCGTCCCACAAACAAGGTTCAAAACAAGAGGTGATAGGGCCTTTTCGGTCCCCAACACTATGGAATGGGCTCCCACTTGCTATCAGTACCCATCACTGCAGGTCTTCAAGAGTCGATTGAAGACTCGTTTTTATCGTTTGGTTTTTATATAATATGGATTTTTAGATTTGTAGTCTTTTATCGTATCTGTCTTATCATTTCAGTCATTTTTAATGCAATTTTTAATCTGTCTTTTTGCTCGTTTACTGTTTTTATTTCATGTTCAGCGCCTTGGGCTTCTGTAAAGGCAGTGGAAGGCACTGTTTAAATAAAATCTGATTGACTGATTGATTGTAAAGCTGCCTTATTAAAAACGCACTGGTTGTCAGAAGGCATTTGACTAGTTTTGATGATTACTTCTGTGTTAAAATGTCACATTCACCTCTTTTCTATAGAAAAAAAAAACAAATTTAAATAATGCTGCAGCTTTGAGGCGTGTGCATCTGAAGGTCGTTTATCCTTTTGTTTTTGAAGGTTTTTGAGTTCTGAGATGAAACAGATTTTGGGTCTGGACCAGGCAGAGACACAGAGAGAGATAGCCCAGCAGGAGAAACGCTCCACTTCTCCTTCTTGTTTGTGGGTTTTCTCTCTGAGGGTTATCTCTGCTTGTCGTGCTGCTAATGTGAGGCGTTTAATGCCCTTGGTGTGTGAGTGTTGGATTAGCTTCCTCCCGCTGCGCAGGATGATCTGACACATATGGGAGGCCTGTCTCCAGCACACACATCTATCTGTGAGGGAAACACTGAGTATGCTGACTCCATTACAACCCCAAAACCAGATCTGAGCCCTAAAACTAGAATCTGAGGGGCTTTCCTGAAGACACATTCTTACAAGGTTGAAGATGTTAGATGGTTCCTAAATGAATGGATGAATGAGAGCACACACACACACACACACACACACACACACACACACACACACACACACACACACACACACACACACACACACACACACACACACACACACACACACCTACACACACACAGTCTCAGCCTGAACTGTAATGCTCATATTATTGATGAAATTGTCCATCAGCTCTCTTATGATCAAGATAAGCATGCTGTGCTGAATCAGTACCACTCAGATTGTCTGGGCGGAAACACCTTGGAAGAGATGGAGTGTGTCACTGCGAAGAGGGAGGTTTGGGCTTCCCTCCTGTAGTTGGTATCTCTGAGATAGGTGGATAGGTTGGATGGGCAGAAGAGGGTGGATGGGCGGATGGATGGATGGATGGATGGATGGAGGTCGGATAATCGGATGGGTGGTTGAATGGGTGGTTGGAAGGTTGGATGGATGGATGGATGGATGGAGGTTGGATAATTGGATGGGTGGTTAAATGGGTGGTTGGAAGGTTGGATGGATGGATGGATGGATGGATGGATGGATGGAGGTTGGATAATCGGATGGGTGGTTAAATGGGTGGTTGGAAGGTTGGATGGATGGATGGATGGATGGAGGTCGGATAATTGGATGGGTGGTTAAATGGGTGGTTGGAAGGTTGGATGGATGGATGGATGGATGGATGGATGGAGGTCGGATAATTGGATGGGTGGTTAAATGGGTGGTTGGAAGGTTGGATGGATGGATGAATGTATGGATGGATGGATAGAGGTCGGAAAATCGAATAGGTGGTTGGAAGATGGATGGATGGATGGGCTGGGTGGGTAGATGGATGGATGAATGGTAGATGGATGGATAATGATAAATGTCCCACACTTGTGTAACACCTTTCAGAGTGAGAGGATTCCAATAGGCTTCACACTACAGTGTATCATTCACCCATTCACACGCTGATGATGATGAGCTACATTGTAGCCACAGCTGCCCTGGGGTGAACTGACAAAGGCAACCCAGTGTGCCTCTATTGACGCAGGACAGATGATGGATGGATGGATGGAATGTTAGATGGATAAATATATGAATAGATGGATGAGTACATGAATGGATGAGTGGGGCCTAGGTGGTAAACAGATGAGTGGGTTGATGGATGGATGGATGTATTAGGTGATGAATGATAACTGGGTTATAGATCGATGGATGAATGGATGGATGTAATAATTGATGGATGGATGAATGGACGTATCAGTTGGTGGATGGTTACTGGGTGTTGGATGGATGGATGTATGAATAGGTGGGTGGTTGAATGGGTGGTTGGAAGCTTAGATGGATGAATATATGAATATATTTAGTGGGACAGCAGTAGTTAAACAGGTTGAGTGGGTTTACCAGTAATCGGAAGGTTGTAGGTTTGATCCCGTCTCCAGACAGAGAATTTTGCTGTTGTGTCCTTGGGCAAGACGCTTAATCCCTTAACGCCGGTTGTTGAAAATTTGCATCAAACCTGCATTTGCTCCAAATGCAACCAAAATACTGCATGTACCTGAAAGAAAATCCACAAGTGGAAAACATTTTTATCATTAAAAACTAATTCTGGCGTAAGGGGTTAACCCACCTTGCCTGCTGGTGGTGGTCGGAGGGACCTGTGCTTGGCAGCCTCACCTCAGTCAGTGTGCCCTAGGGCAGCTGTGGCTACAATGTAGCTCATCACCATCAGTGCGTGAAAGGATGAATGATACGCTGTAGTGTAAAGTGCTCTGGAGTCCTCTGACTGAAAGGCACTGTACAAGCGCGGGTCATTTATCATTCATGAATGGATGGACAGATGAGTAAATGAATGGATGAGCGGGGGCTAGGTGGTGGACAGATGAGTGGATGGATAAATGAAGGTATTAGTTTATGAATTATAACTGGGTGACAGATGTATGTATGTATGGTACTTCTTCAGACACAGACGTGGTCCAGGCCACTGATCAGTGACTACCGGGTCTCTCATTTGTCCCCCCAGGTTCTGGCAAAGCCGAGTCTGTCCGGGCGGTCGATGTTCTGACGGTGCTCAGAGAAAAAGTGGCCTTTGTGTCGGGTAAAACACAAAAATCTTCTGTCAGTTTACTTACGTTGCTCATTGAAGCCCATTCAAATGACCACCTGTTGTGATGTCCAGGTGGGAGGGACAAAAGAGGCGGACCAATACTGACGTTTCCAGCCAGGACCAATCACGACCGAATAAAACAGGAAGATCTCAGCCGACTGGTTACTTACCTGTCTACTGTACCCAGGTAGACCTCTCTCAGGTTCTGTTCACAATGATCCCTCTCAAACAGATGTGGTTGTAGCTTCCTCATTTTTAAAGCACATTTGATCCATAAAGTGCATGAAACTAGACGAGTTGGTGCAGCTGTGGGGTTTTAAGTGGATGTTCAACAGAACTCTCAGAACAAGAAGGCAAACATACAGGAGTAGATCTTATGACCTCAGTCACTTGGGTGATGTTAAAAGGTCGAGTTTGTTGAAAAACTATATCGTTTTGATCCCTGCTGTGCTTCTCCTCCAGTGAGGACGTGCGTGCTCGTGGCTTCACCGTGGTGGTGGACATGCGAGGCAGTAAGTGGGACAGCGTGAAGCCAGTTCTGCGAACCCTGCAGGAGTCCTTTTCCTCCAACATCCACACAGCTCTGCTCATCAAACCAGACACCTTCTGGCAAAAACACAAGACCAACCTGGGCAGTGCCAAGCTCAGCTTTGAGGTACGGCCAGAACCAGTCCTATGATTTCTGGTTCGTTTGATCTTCTGTGCTTGAATCTGGAAGCAAATCCTGTTCAGATTAATTGACTACATGAGTCCAGTTTGGATCAGGTCTGAATTTCCGACAAATGTTTTCAGTAAATCCAGTTAAGCTGTTAGTGGGTTGCTGAAAACATCTATGTCTCCAGACCAGCCTGGTATCGGTGGAGGGTCTCTCCCGGCTTGTTGACCCCTCCCAGCTTACGTCTGACCTTGGCGGCTCGTTGGAGTATGACCATGTGGAATGGACTGAGCTACGTCTGGGTCTGGAGGAGTTCTCTGGTGCCGCTACGCAGCTTCTGGCCCAGCTGGACCAGCTAGAGGCTGGGCTGAACCGCATACTGGAGCCTCAGGACGTTGATGAAGCCAGAAAGTAATTCTTTAGATTGACGTCCATATTTCAGGGTTGTCTGGAGTCCATGTGTGCTAAACTCTTTGTTACATTGTTTTTAGACTTCTAGAGGAACATAATCGTCTTCGCAACACCATCAGCACCGCGCCAGTCGATGCGCTTGACCGAGAAGGGCGGAGCTTGCTCCAGCGCATGCGCCTTGGTCCCTCTCACGGCGAGGGCTCTAATGAGGGGGGAGGCAGTGGGGGCACCTGGCTGTCAGGAGGGGCAGACTTCCAGAGTGTGGCACCAAAGGTCTCGTCTCTGTTGGATCGACTGCAGGCGGCTCGAGCCCACCTGCTGCAGAGCTGGAGTGATAAGAAGCTGCACCTGGACCAGGCACTGCAACTGCACCTATTTGAGCAGGACGCCACCAAGGTAGACGTCCAGCTGGCCGGAGATCTCCTCTAAACAAGCTTTTCACTGAACCTCTCGGCTCCTCAGACCACCATTAGTTTTGCATTCATTTGCCTGATGTTGCGCTGAGTTTTGCATTGGGTATTGTGACCCATCTCTGCCTAATTCTGCCTCTCCCCGTCTCAGATGTCAGAGTGGATCGCTCACAGTAAAGAATTGTTCATGCAGACTGTGACAGACGTTGGTCAGAACCACCAGCACTCTATGGACCTACAAACACAACACCAGCACTTCACCGCCAACTGTATGGTACGTCCATGCCAAGCTGTGTGTCAGTTCTCCTGGTTTTAAAGACCAGAACCAAGATATATAGATTTGGTATTTTAAGCTTAATGTGATTAAACAGAGCTGATCCTTTAATGGTATTCATTTAAAAACCACACCCCTATCCAACTGACGTGTCTTCAGAATGGCAGCGTGAACGTGGACAGCGTGGTGACCATGGCTGCAAGACTTGCAGAGGCCGGTCATTACGGAGCAGAGCGGATCGCCATGGTGTCGTCACGGTTACAGGAAGACTGGAAGTCCCTGACCACGGCACTGGAGGAGCGCAGCAACACGCTTGCCATGGCAACGGGATTCCACCAGGGGGCAGAGCAGGTATCAACACAAGTTCCACTCCACGTGTAAAGGTTCTTGATCCAGCTCTAATTTCTTTGCTTTACTTCCGAGGAGCAAGACTTTCTCTAAGTCTTTTGTTTTTTATTTTCCCTTTTTATGCTTTGAATGGGTCCTTCACCGACAAAACATTTTTACTTATGAAGTTTGAAAATGATCAGTCACTCTGACTTCAACATTCAGGCTGAACATGAAAATTGTCTCCTACACCAATGTCCTGCGTTAGCTTCTGATAGAAAATGGAATGGCGAAACTCTCACTCATCTTGACTCGCGACGGGGAAGGTTTAGTTGGTTTAGTGTCCAGCAAACAAAGAACACATCGGCCAGTACTAGCTAAACATTAGCATTAGCATTAGCAACTCCACCACACAACAGAACTCTTCCAGGCTTGTGTTATTTGTGAAGATATACATCAACATTGCAGAGCAAGTGGTAAAGTCCCATTGCTGTTAGCCAATCAGATGAGAGATGTCCAAACATCAGGAAATAGACTCCAAATCTTGTTGTCTGAAGCTGCTTTCTCCTCCAGCTAAATTCTCTGGACTAAAACAGGCACATTTGAGCTTTTTTTCCCCCAGAGTATGACTTGCGAGGCATTCATTCCTATGAGACCACAGCAGGTGTATTAAAATATGAGTCAGGACCTTTTTAACGAGACTTAGGTCAAAGTTGAGTGAAACCCACTTCTCTAAAACTGATCAGGAACAAAATAATTAGAACTAACAAGTGAATTTGAAGCCAAAAACCAAAGAACTGTGGATCAAAGCCTAACCCAAGCCTAAATAAAGTCTAAATGAGATGCGTCCTCTTCTTGTTATTGTATTCCTTCTTAGAGAAAATCATGTGACAGCCATCCGGTATTTTCATGGATTTAAACCCTGTCTGTCTGTCTGTCTCTGTATTGTGTCTCTAGTTCCTTCTCCGGGTCGAGGGATGGGTTAAAATGTGCTCTGAGGGGCCGTTGCCATCGGCAACAGCAGAGCTGGAAGCTGCAGTAAAGAAACATCAGGAGCTCAATGAGGAGATCTCAGCCAACTACACACAGGTGCTTCCTGGTCCAGAGGTCCCACCTGAGTCTGCAGGTGTCTTCCTGATCTGATATTCAAATGTCCATTGTTCCGTTTGTGTTCAGGTGAGTGAAAGTGGGAAAGCATTACTGGACGTACTCCAGCGCAGCTCGGCCAGTGAGTCTGACGAGTCAGCAGCCAAGCCAGACTTCACTGCTGCCACACACAGCATCATGGGCGTTCTGCACCAGGTGATGCAGGTAAGATGGACAGGACAATGGCTCCAGAGCTGAATTAGAATTTATGAACACCTAAAAAGATGAAACTGATTTGGCTTCCCCTGCAGGGTCACCATGATGTTGAAGGAGCCTGGCAGCATCGTAAGCTCCGCCTCCACCAGCGTCTACAGCTGTGTGTGTTTCAGCAGGACGTCAGACAGGTTGGACCCTTTATTCACGACCAAAATATCATCAGGGTTTAGAGTTAGAATTATCCCTGGATCCAGATCCAGGTCCGGGTTTAGGTTCTGACCCATACTCAGATTTTCCCTCCACTTGCCCATCTCTCAGGTGTTGGACTGGGTGGAGCAGCATGGTGAGGTTTTCCTCAACAAACATACCGGAGTGGGGAAGTCTCTCCATCGAGCTCGAGCACTGCAGAAACGGCATGATGACTTCCAGCAGGTTGCACAGGTACCTCAGTGCCTCTAGTGAAAAACAAGTCTTCATTTTCACTGCCCGACCTGTAGAGCCAGTTACCTGCTCAGGTGTCCAGTCAGAACTAGATCTGTCTGTGTTTCAGAACACCTACACTAATGCAGAGAAGCTCCTGGAGGCAGCAGATCAGCTGGCTCAGTCTGGAGAGTGTGAGGAGGAGGAGATCTACCAGGCAGCCCGAGACCTGGAGCTCCGTATGCAGGTAAGCTGACAGACAGGGAAGCTGTTGGCTTGTTTACATGCTGAGTCAGAGGCATTTACCTTGTTGACATGTTGTTCAGGCCTTCATCCAGCGGGTGGAACAGAGGAAGCTGCTGCTGGACCTGGCTGTGTCCTTCTACACTCATACCAAGGAGGTAGGACTCTGACTTTAGACTTTCCATGTTTTTTGGACTTTAAGACCCCAGATAAAAGCTTCTTCACCTCCTCTCATCACTCCCATATCCTCCTCAGCTCTCCGTGTGGATGGAAGGCCTCCAGAAGCAGCTCTCCCCAGATCTCCTGGTGTGTCCCAACACCGTAGAGGCTCTGCAGGCTTTAATCAGCCAGCAGCAGCAGCAGCAAGCCAACACACAGGTATCCACCCTTTCCCCTCTGACCAATAGAAATAACATCATAACAATCTCACCCTAATGACCTCTGACCCCTAACCCTCACACTAACCCCAAATGTAACCCTGACCTGCAGGAAGCTGCGATGAGTGTCATCCGGGAAGGAGAAGACCTCATCTTACAGCTCAGGTACTCACACCACGTGTGGGTGTGTTTGTTTTATGCTGCAGGGCTGCACAGAAAGAGTGTGCTTGTTTTACGTCAAGGCAGCTCCTGATATTTTAGGGCTCAGAGTAGCCGTGCGTATAACTGTGTGCCTGTAAATTTGTTTCTGTATGAAGTGCATCTGGTTAATTGATTTTCTGTCATTTGTGGGCGTGTGTTTTCTGTATAGACTGTAAAGATCGGCGATCCTCCGGTATCCAGCATGTTTTAGTTGTTTTTCTGCTTCACCACACCTGCTTTTAATCAGCAGGCGATTAACTGGCTTCTGCAGAGCTTGATGAGCTGCTAAACTGGTGAATCAAATATGGTGGAGCAGGGAAACAATTAAAACACGTTGGATACTAGCACTTGGGGAAGATAGTTGGGGTGAGGTTGATTACTAATCTAAAAGATGCAGAAACTGCTGATGAGAAAATGAAGGGTTGGAAATTATTGTTTAATGTTACCAATCGTGTCCTAGATTGTGTAAATTGTGTGCACTTATATTTCTAAATTTAGCACGATGCATTGCTGTCTAGAGTATATCTATTAGTTTTATATCTGTTTACTTTATTCTTTTAATGTGTGCGTTCTAGTTTCTGGGTTCCTAATGTAAGAGTGTGTTACTGGCTGGACGGTGTGCCTGATGTTAGTGGCTTATTTTTCAAGATTTTATCAAATACGTTTCTGTGTTTTTAATTGAAATGAATGAGGGAATCGTTTTTATACCTGCTTAAAGAGGAAATGCAGAGCACTTTTATTATCTAGACTTTTAAAGATGTTTGTAAGATTTTCTTAAATCTGAGTTTTCGGTGATTTGAAGGTTATAGAATTATTTTTCCAAATCATGTAAAACTGAAAGGTGTTTTTGATGATTGTGTACGTTTTCTAGTTCTGCAGCTGCTTTTGTTTTCTGGATGATTTAGTCTGAGTAGATTGGATTTCTGGTTTGCATCAACTGTTCATTTAAGCATTGTGTTGACTGTATTGAAGCATTGTTTTTTAGATATTTAACTGATGTACATGAGCTTTGTAACGTATTCTAGATTGGCGGTTCCCAACCTTTACCCTTAGGGGTTCTATCCGTATTTATGCGTTAAAAGCTACTTTTTACAGACATACAGAATTTTGAATTATACTGGGAGTGTGATTGGGATTTTAAAAATGCTGATTTTGTAAATATGGTCTAGTAACCTCACAGCTTCAGCACAGACACAATTATGGGGACCCCCTACAACCTTGTGGGGACCCCCTAGGCCCTAGGGGGTTCACAGACCCCAGTTTGGGAACCACTGTTCTTGATGATGTTGAAAGCATGGATGCATGCTTTCATGTTTGTGCTGACTTATAAGCAAATACAGTTTTATTTCTAAATTTATTTATTTTTAATCAATTTATTTCTGCTGATGCGTTTGTTTACAGGTGGATATTATTAGTGGGTGTTTTCAGGGAGGTGTTAATCATATATCATCTTCTCTTTCAGCTTGGCTTCATAGTTTTTAGTTTTTTTTTTCATGTTTGGGGACTTTTAATTTAATTAAGACTGATTGAACTTCTTTTGAAGTGTCTGTAATGTGTGTGGGTGTGTTTGTTTCAGGCCCCAGGGCAGCTCAGTGGCCCATGTGGAGTCAGTGCTACAGCAACTGGAAGAGTCTCACGCTCAACTTGAGGAGCTTTTCCACCAGAGGAAGATCCGACTGGACATCTACTTACAGTTTCGCATTCTGCAGCAGTGCACGCTGGAGGTTCATTTACATGATTTCTCCTAAATCATCTCACTTCTCACTGAGTTAAATCAAAGCTGAATTTTTTTTTCTAGGTTACAGGTGAAATGGACGCCTGGAAACAAGACCTCCAGAAACAGTCTCAGGACTTTTCCAATGAGAAGCTAACGTCTCCACGACTAGCTGAAACAAACCAGGACCAGCTAGCCCAGGACAAACTAGCTCTGGGCCAATCACGTCTAGTGGAGTCTAGCCCAGAAGCGCTAACGCTAGCACAACAGCGCATTCACAGGTAAGCTGGCCGAATTTCTGAATCAGGGCAAAAAAGAATCAGGATTTCAATTTTGAGTCTCATGGCTTTGTAGGCACATGGAGAGAAGGCTGGCTATGAACAACATGATCTATGAGGTGATCCAGCAAGGTCATGACCTTCAGCAGTACATCACAGAGGTCCAGGCATCAGGTAAGGGTCACATCACGCACATCAGAAGAAAAGTAAAGAGTAGCATCATCGTAAATACAAGCAAACATAAACCAGGTTCTAACAGAACCCAAAGGTTGGTTATACAGCTAGAAAAGCAGGGACCAATGACTAAGCCTTGAGGTACACCACTGGAGTCCAGAGGGGCAAAACAGGCCTCAGAAACCAGGTAATAGGTGGAGATGATGACTTTGGCTAAGTGTTTCTGTAGTTTAAGGCTACGCAGAGAGGCTGGATAAGTAAAGTAAAGGTATGACATGAATTCAGATGGTGACTTCAAAGAGCAACTAGAGAGATCTGATTCATGGGGTTCCAAAAGTTCAGCTTCAATAGCATTTGAAAGTAAAAAGCTTATAGTCTCACGTTTACGGTTTCCGTTTGTCCTTCAGTGGTTGTAGGATGCTTAACGGGGGTCCAGAGGTTCATAAGTGGATTTGAGAGATCTTTATGCAATTACAATCACACAGAATGTGTCCAGAGATCATTTGTTGTTCTTGATTAGGAGGAGGAAATGAAATAATTAAAGACTCTGTCCGGTTCAGTGGTCCTTCATTAGTTTGGTTTTGTCTCATGGGTTTGTGAACTGGGACTGTGGGTAATGTTCAGACAGTCCAAATGAGGTTCTGCTGCTCAGCGATGTTAGCACAAAACCAAAAAGAAGACACATTTGAATAACATTAGTTTGTATGGTCACTAAAACTCAGGGTTTCTACTGAGGCTTGGAATTATTGGTAGGGGAGGTTTCATCTGGTGAGAGGGATCAGCAAGGATTTGACGATGTGAGACAACCTGACCACATATCTGTTTATTCATCTTTTATTAAACCAGGAGGTCCCACCAAGGTGCAGCATCCACAATAGGAAGGACAATAGAAAGCAAAAAGCTGATTTTTACTCCAGCGGAGCCTCGATCTGGTTTTTCCAGAAGCAATCTGATGATAGTGTGTGTGTGTGTGTGGGGGGGGGGGGGGGGGGGGGGGGGGGGTAATGGGAGAGGGGGAAAAGGGGGACAGGGTTGCTATGGAAACTGCTCTCTGAAGCGCACAGCTGGTCCCCATGGAAACCCCCGCGTATTGAATTTACCATGGCTACACACACACGCACACACACACACACACACACACGCACACACACACACACACACACACACACACACACACACACACACACACACACACACACACACACACACACACACACACACACACACACACACACACACACACACACATCTGTATCACTGAGCTGTTGAGGATTTTAACAACGTGCCGGATTTTTAGGTCTGATTTGTGTGTGTGTGTGTGTGTGTGTGTGTGTGTGTGTGTGTGTGTGTGTGTGTGTGTGTGTGTGTGTGTGTACGTGCATGCTTGTGCGTGTGTGTGTGACAGGAATCGAGTTGTCGGAGGTGGAGGGGAGTCTCTCCTCTCAGGTAGAGGAGCTGCAGCGCCTCCTGCAGGACAAACAGAAGGAGCTGCAGCAGATTGCTGATCACACACACACACATCTGGAGCAGAACCTGCAGCTGAGACACCTGCAGAACCAGGTCAAACAGGTACTGCTGTGGTCCGTACAGACTCGGGTCAGAACAGGGTCCAGGGACAAGAGACAGTGGTCCTAACAGCTGCATCTGTTTCAGGTCTTGGGCTGGATCTCAGAGGGAGAAGTGATGCTGTCCTCCTGCATGTTGAACTCCAGCTGTTTGTCTGAAGCTGAGCAGCTGCAGAGGGAGCATGAGCGCCTCCAGCAGGCCATAGAGGTTATTACACACGACCTCAAATACAATGTTGTCATCGCAGAAACTCTTCAGCCTTTATAAAAATACAAATTCACAGTTCGGAAAGTTGATATTTAGGAAGCTGTAAATGCCAAATAAGGCCTTAATGACAGTCTTATTAAAATTAATGAAAATCCCACCAAATATTTCTTATTTTACATTAATTACCTAAACTTAGCATTTTGTGTTATTTCTCTCCATGTCACTAAAATGTGTATCTTTATCTCATTGCTCAGAATTTAGTAAAAAAAAATCTACTGTTTAAATTTCCTATTTTACTGGTTATTTATATTTCGGTCAATTAATAAGCAGAAGAACACATCTATTTCCTATCAACTGTTTAAGTTTATTCCTAGCCAAATTAATCAAATTGTGAATTACTGAATCACCATTAGTAGGAACCCCCATTGGTCCCAGGTCGGTCACAGAGGACACATATAGGTGATACCACGGCAACAAGACACAAATGAGCATTACCTTCAGATTCCCCCAGACGGATTAAAGAAATGTTCTCATCTTCCAGGGTCTTCTCCACGCTGACTCCCTCCAGAGGACTCATCAGGTGGCGCTGGCGCTGCAGCAGAGAGCGGAGCTGCTGGTCAGGTACGTTTCTGTCTGATCACACATTTTACTATTAATCGAGTAAATTCCATCAAACGACATCCTAAACGGGACAGGTGTGTATCAGAGGTGATCAAAAACACCCAGAAGAAAATAAATAAAACAGAGAAGTTAGATTGTATTTTTCTCAATTTGTGAGATTAAATCTGAAATATAAAGAGAGACCAAAAGGTATGTGCAGAATAAAGTCAGTGGGTCCTCTGATTGTGTTCAGCTCCAGAAGCAGGAAATCTGTAGGAGTTTCTTCAATAATTAAACCTGTAACTCTGCAACACAAGGCATTATGGGTATTGCATCTTTTCCCAACCTGTTGACTCATTTTGTTTGTTGGTTTGGAGAAAATCTTCTTCTATCTGATGAGGTCAGTGATCCTGAGAGTAACCTCTGACTTTTTTCTACAGGTCAGGTCATTATGACCCAGATGCAGTGAGAGCTTGTGCCCAGACGGTGGCGCTTCACTGGCAGACGCTGATGCTGAGGATTGAAGACAGACTCAAACTGGTCAATGCCTCCGCTGCCTTCTACAGGACATCTCAGCAGGTACCTGAGTGTCTATACTGTGGGTAGACTGATAAATGTGTTAGGATATTTACTATTTTCTATATATCACATCAACCCATATTTAAGCCTCCTTTGTAAAGCCAATTGAAATTGGCTCAGAAAATTGGAAACTCATATCGGCCTTTGGATGACCATGACATTGACAGGAAAACAAGTATTAGTCAGCCTTTAGTCCAGGGGTACCATATAATAGTCCAAGGGCCAAAATGACCTTGCAGTTTGAGGTCCGGGGGGCGTGGGGTTCGGGGTCCACAAAGAAGGGGCCCACAGGCTGCCTAGTGAGTGCAGCTCATGGACGTAAAGATACCCCCACCCCCCAACCCGTTTCTCCCCCCCCCCCCCCCCACTTCTAAAGTGAAAATTACGTCCATGGTACAGCTGCTCTAGTCTATACCCGCACCTGGTCAGCAGACACCTGTTTAATCACCATCAACTAAAGCAGGTCGTTATGTTTACATAAATACGAGGCTGGTTTAAACTACCTGCTTGTGTTTCCAGGTGTGTGGGGTCCTGGAGAGTCTGGAGCAGGAGTACCGCAGGGAGGAGGACTGGTGTGGAGGAGGAGACCGCCAGCCTGAGCAGCTGCTGCCACTCATCAACAAACACATGGAGCAGAAGGAGGCCTTCCTGAAGGTAACCAGCACATAACCAGCATTAAAATCTCACATAATCCTGGTCTACGACTCTCGCTTCAGTCAGAATGTCAAATGCACTAGATGATTGTTTTAAAATATTTTATTTTACAATCAGCTTCGGGTGTTACAGCTTTTGAATGGAGAACATGTTGAAGTACGGATGTGTACATTTGTGTTGTTTCTGGGTCATATGGATGGGTTTTCATGGTGTATACTGGGTAACTTTCATAGCCCAGGAGAAAGTGTCACGTAAACAGTTGGCACACCTATTTTGTGTCATTAGAACAAGAGCACATGGCTGTCACCTGTACAGCCCACCCGGTGTGTTAGGGCAGAAAGACAAAAAGGTCTATTTGTTTTCTCATTATTTGTGAAGGACTTGGTCCTGAGGGATTCTGCTGAAGAGTTTTTGAAATGTACGCATTAACTGACAGTCTTGTTCCCATGGCAACAGGCTTGCACTCTCGCCAGACGGAATGCAGAGGTTTTCCTCAAGTACATTCATCGTAACAGTGTCACCATGGCGAACATCTCTGGCCACAATGTCACTGTTTCCGGGGTAACTGGGGTTAACGAGGTCACTGGGCACTCCAGGGTCCCGGAGCAGCAGGTCAAAGGTGATTTTGAAACTTATTGTTAAATGGGAAAAGTGTGTGTAACCAGCACAGAGCCCTGGGGGATGCCACGGCTAACAGATCTTTGTATTTTGGAGGTGATTTAACTGATCCAAGTGTGTTTGGACTCAGGCATCCTCAGTGAGCTGCTACAGAGAGAAAACAGAGTTCTTCATTTCTGGACTTTGAAGAAACGCAGACTGGATCAGTGCCAGCAGTATCTGATGTTTCAAAGTCACGCCCAGCAGGTAGACACCCTCATCAACTATACAAAATTCAGTTTAAAATATTTATTGTTTCCCAGATCTAAACAGGAACATAGCTGCTGCTTTTTGGTCTGATTTTATTTTGTTCTTTTATAAAATTACCACCAACATAAAAATAAAGAGGAAAATCGGAAAAGGCAATAACTATGACTTCTTTTTTCTGAAGCACAAAAATGGTTTTGTCATTTCAGGCTCTTGACTGGCTGCAGCAGTCGGGTGACCATTACTTAGCCGCACATACGTCGCCAGGGGCAACGATGGCTGAGACGCAGGAGCTGCTTAATCAGCACAGAGAGTTCTGTGTTTCTGCAAAGGTTGTTTTTAAATTCAGTTCAAGGACACAGAAGTCTGAAACACTTATTTAAAAATTTTAATGATCTGAGTGGCAGAAAAAAAAATCTGAATGATCGCAATTTTAACTTCCTACTGTATAAAAATGACTCTTAATGTAAAGAATGAGTAATGTGACATGACCTTTTTGTCTCTGTGGCTGAACAGAACCACAGAAATCCACCCTGTCAGGGTTTCTGCACAAAATAATATTATTTTTTCTGAATTAAACAAAATAGGAAGAAAATGTGTCTTTTGGGGATAGAAATGCACAAGAAAATCCTAAACAACCACCAAAACCACGTTTAACAACAGTAAATTAATAAACCTCATCTGTCAGCACACACAGGAGAAGGTTCATCTACTGATTCAGCTGGCTGAGAGCATGCTGGCTAAAGGCCACGCCCATCGCACAGAATTACGCCGGTGCGTTTCCGCAGTGGACAAACGTTATCGTGACTTTACCGTCAGGATGGGGCAGTACCGACACGTGCTGGAGACGGCACTGGGCAGCAGCTCACAGGTGAGGGACACGTTAGCAAGAATTGGCCCTGAACAGAAATGTTCAAACCGTTTTAGTATTTAATGTTTTAGGGTGAGTCAAGCCTGTTAAATCATGTAGATTATACATTAATAAATGTACGGTGTCCCCTTTAGGACAATAAGGACTTGGAACTGGAGTTGATCCCCAACAGCCTTTCCGACTCGGACCCTGAAGTGAACCTGTCGGACCCGAGTCATCAAGTCAGCGATGAGAAACGACGCTCTGCCCGCAAGAAAGAGTGAGTGTGTTTGTCTTAATGTCGCAGTCAGAAGAGCTGTTATGCCTTACAACAAGTGTGTGTGTGCACGTGTGTGTGTTCAGGTATATCATGGCAGAGCTCCTTCAAACAGAGAGAATCTATGTCAGAGACCTGCAGGAGTGTATAGAGGTACTTTAAGGACTTAAAGAGTTACCCTGTGAGCGCCACCTGGTGGTGTGTTGTAATTATACCAACGTCCTGTTGCAGACGTACCTGTGGGAAATGACTAGTGGCTCTGAGGACGTCCCACCTGGTCTCAACAACAAGGACGACATCGTGTTTGGGAACATCCAGGACATCTACGAGTTCCACAACAGGTTCCGATTTACCAGACATGAACACAAACCTCCTATAAAAACTGGCTAAACGCCACTCAGCTAGTTGAACTTTGACCTTTGAGTCTCTGAGGTTGGTGGTTTTAGGAAAGCTTCATGAAAAGTTAAAGAGCAAGTCACCCCCTACCAGTCTTACTCCACTCCCCACTTTCTGTCTGAAAAATGCAACAAATGCTGTTGCTTGGCAGACCGAGAGGGCGGAACCGCTAACAAATACACACACATAGCCAATAGTATCGTGACATCATAATGTACCAGCTAACATCATAATGTACCTTTTAGCCAATAGTAATGACAGATTTAAAGTAGGTGCAATGTAGAGTTTTTACCTGAAGAGGGCACAACACTGACTGAGTTTTAGGCTGAATATTTAAATGTTAACTAAAGTACTGACTTCACGTTTCTACAGCATGATTAGACACTAATTTATATAGTTTATCAACAAAAAAGTTGATTTGGGAGTGACTTGCGCTTTAAGATGGTGGACTTCTTCTTTATTCCATCCACCAGTCTCTTCTGGACCAGGAGCTTCTGAGCCTACAGTGACTACACTGAGTGTTCCAGCAGGTTCCAGGTTTAGCTTGGTGATTGTACAGCTGTTGAACTTGTCCATTTTAAACCTAAACATCTTGGGATCTGAAGTTGTCTTGTGTTAAAAGAATTTCCTACTAAGCACAGATCTACAATTCTTGGATCTTCTCTGTGTTCCTTGGACCTTCTGAGCTTTGGTTGGTCCAATAAGCCCTGCTAGTGGTAAACGGTTTGTTTATTCCTGAGATGTGAAGCTGAACTTTGTGTTTCAGTATTTTCCTGAAGGAGCTGGAGAACTACGAGCAGCTTCCTGAAGATGTGGGACACTGTTTTGTCACCTGGGTAATCCCGTCTGCCTGGTTTTTATGTTTAAATGGAGAGTTGTGTTTTTAACTAAAACATCTCTGTGTGGTCCTTCAGGCGGATAAGTTCCACATGTACGTGACCTACTGCAGGAACAAACCAGACTCCAGTTTACTGATCCAGCAGCATGGCTCGGCCTTCTTTGAGGTCAGTCTGAAACTCTTTAAAACAATAAGCATAAATGACTTCACAATGAAAATGTCTGTGGTTGTCAGGTTATTTAATATGATCCTAAACAGGACAGGCCTGGCTTAGATCTCAGGGCCATGACGTTCCGGAGCTGACTCAGAGAAAATTAAACATGTTTAAAAACACAAAAATGAAATTTACGGCGTTCTCTCTACATGTTTAAGCTAGCGCTAACAGGTTTCAGAGCCTGCGTGATGCAGAACCTGAGAATATTTACAGAAGGACTTTGTCTCCTACAGGAGGTCCAGAGGAGACATGGTCTGGCGAACTCCGTCTCTTCAGCTCTGATTAAACCGGTCCAGAGGATCACCAAGTACCAGCTTCTTCTCAAGGTAAAGGATCAGAACCAGAATGAGTGACACATTATAAAACACCCGGGTTCTGTGGTTCTGGTTCTGATTGACTGCTGTGTATTTGCAGGAGCTGCTGGCGTGCTGCGAAGAGGGAAAAGGGGAAATAAAGGAAGGCCTGGATGTGATGCTGAGCGTCCCAAAGAGAGCTAACGATGCTATGCATGTTAGCATGCTGGAAGGTAGTGTACAGGTGTCATCTGGACCTAATTAGGACACACCAGAAGGTTTTATGATCTAAACCTGGTCCATGTGTGCCTAGCAGGTCTGGAGGAGGGTCTGGAGGTGCAGGGAGAGCTCCTCCTGCAGGACTCCTTCCTGGTGTGGGAGCCCAAATCTCTGATCAGAAAGGGGCGGGACAGACACCTGTTCTTGTTTGAGCTGTCACTCATCTTCAGCAAGGAGATCAAAGATTCTTCTGGAAGAACCAAATACCTGTACAAGAGCAGGCTCAGGGTAATCACCGCCGCAGAGTCCTTCAGTTCGTCCTGTTCAGATTGTTTTAATATGCAAATAAAAAAACAACGATAGGTCAGAAAAGTGTCTGATAGCAGTGCTGAAGTCCATAAAATAATATCAACAAAATGTTTACATATACAATCCATGTCCATATATGACAGTGATTTAAGTTTTAATCTGCAGCATTTTTGTTCTGGAGCTTCAGAGAAATCAAAGGAAACTGTTCTGTGTCTCAGACGTCAGAGCTGGGGGTGACGGAGCACATCGAAGGGGATCCCTGTAAGTTCGCTCTGTGGGTCGGACGAACGCCTACCTCAGACAACAAGACGGTGCTGAAGGTACACTCACACCTTAGGTCAAAGGTTAAACTCTAGTCTGTCGACAATGATGACGATGACTGCAGTTTGATGTCTTTGTTGTTATTTCTTTAGTGATCTTAATGTTGCTACACATATTTAAGTCCAAAAAAAGGTTCTGTTGGATGAAATAAATAAACAAATGTGACCTCGTGTTGCTACTCAGTGTACTTGCCATGTCAGTAAACCAAACTGATCACACTCTGGGTGATGACAGATCAGAACGTTAGTGTCATGATGTATGAATCAATCATTTTTCAGGTTGGTTTAGACTCAGGATGAAAGCGTGACTCGCTGCTGTCCTTTGACTCTCAGGCCACTTCATTGGAGCTGAAGCAGGAGTGGGTCCGCAGCATCCGACAGGTGATCCAGGAGAGGCGGGGCCACCTGAGGGGCGCTCTGAGGGAGCCCATCCCACTCCCCAAAACACCCAACCCCACACTGGGACGACAGCGCAGCATCTCCCGCAGGTGAGTGCAGTTTCATCAGTGAACACACACACACACACACTCACACACACGCACACGCACACGCACGCACGCACACACAACACACACACACACACGCACAACACACACGCACGCACGCACACACACACACACACACGCACGCACGCACGCACGCACGCACAACACACACGCACGCACGCACACGCACACACAAACACAACACACACGCACGCACGCATGCACACGCACACACACACACACGCACGTACACACACACACAACACACACGCACGCACGCGCACACACACAACACACACACACGCACACACACGCACACACACACACACACACACAACACACACACACGCACGCACGCACACACACACACACACACACACACAACTGTCTCCTGGACCCCTGAATAAATCCGGTCTGATACTTTCAGGGATACGAGCGAAGACGCAGACAGTCTGGGTGATGCCAGCAGTCAGCCCGACACCGTCTCCATCGCCTCCAGAACCTCTCAGAACACTGCAGACAGTGATAAGGTACACACACATGCACACGCGCACAGAGGGGTGTGTTGGGTTGTGATGACCTCACCACTGCTGCAGCTAGATGGGTGTGTTTGGTGTCAGTTTAAGGGAGTTTCCAGCATTCTAGCTTCTTCTCCAGACGTTCTCCGCTCTGCTGATGAGGTACGTTTGATTTACTTTACCTGCAGCTAGTTAGAGGAGGGTGGGGTCAGAGGCTGTGACCTGTGACCCAGATCTGTGGCCTGTTAGTTATGTTTAGAGAGTTGAAGCTTGAGCGGGGAGGAAGAAGCAGAATGAGGCAGACATCGTAAAGTAAAAGGCAGACGACATTAAAGGTCGTTTGTCTGAAGGTTTGTTCTGCATCTGAGCGGGATTCTGTTTGACAGACAGGAAAGGACACAATTAAGGAGCAAACGCAATAATTTAAAGTAGTTTCTTTAAAAATGATCGAAGAAAATACCTAAATAATCAGAAATGATTTGATGTTGTTAACATTTTTAAATTAAAAACGTGCCAGAACACATTTTCTATATGTACCCAAAGCAATATTATTTCTAGGAAGAAATGATCTAAAAGATTATAGTTAGAAACGTTAAATTATTTTCAGACTGATCAATATTTACAAAAAGTTCACACCTCTGATATTTAAACATGTCTGTGTTGGATCTGATGGTTCTGGTTCTGAGTGGATCACAGCTGTGTTGTGTTTAGTCAGGAACTCCCCTCTGATCCCCCTGGACTCAGAGTGTTTCCTCCGCCCAGCTGGAGATCATGTGATGCACTTTACCATTAGCCAACACCCTGAGTCAGCGGTAACCATGGCAACCCTGTTTTTTGACTGTATCATGTGGTTCTAGCCGGACCAATCAGAATGTGGGTGTGGGTCGAGCAGCAGGATGATGTGTGAGGCTTCATGTGTCGTTAGTCTCGTTTAAAATCTGCTGCAGACGTGAGAAAAAGTTCCTCCCAACAAGGATTTTAATACCCATCAAATCTCAGAACATATTAATAAAACCTGCAAAAGCATTAAAATGAATAAACTTGATGCAATAAATTGGAAAAGAAATCAGAAATGATGTAAAACATAAATAGATAGATGTTAGATAAAAGAAAAAATGCTGATGTGACCCGACCCGACTCATACAGAACCGCCTGTCTGATCCAGCTGCAGCAATGAGGTTCTGATAGAGCTACAGCTCCGACCCGACTCTAACAGAACCCTGTGTTGTATTTCAGCTCTCCGGAGGCTGTGAGCTAGTGGTGGTTCTGTTGGACTTCTCCTCCGGCGGTCCTGGAGAGCTCAGCGTTCGGTGTGGTCAGACGGTGGAGCTGGTGGAGCGCTCAGCTGACCGGCCCGGCTGGTGTCTGGCCAGAACCACGGACCAGACGCCTCAGCAGGTAACAGATCGAAGTGATCAGGCGCCGACCCGATAGGAGTGACAGAACCACTGACCCCACCCGTGTCCTTACAGGAGGGCCTACTGCCAATGAGCGCCCTCTGCCTGTCGCACTCCCACAGCGCCGCCGACATGGATGGGCTTGTCCCCACCCCCACCACCGCTTCAAGCTCCTCCTCCACCTGCACCACCACCTCCTCCACCTGCAACTCCTCCACCACCACCACCACCAACTCGTCCTCCGCCGTGAGCTCAGGGAGGGGTGAGTAATCAGATTACATCTGTTCTGCTTGTTTACATGGTTTCTGTGTCAAACCTGATGGATGTTAATGACGCATGGCCTCTGAGGGGCAGCAAGCAGCTGCAGCTGTCAGGAGGAGCTCCGAGGAGCTTCCACACAAATAAACAACAACACAGGAACAGCCATCACACCGCCTCGATCACAGGAAAACATCTGTATGATGTCACTTCCTATGTAACTAATGTTTAAACATCTGTCCACACTGATTGTGTGTGTGAGATGTCCCACGTCCTGTCCACGATTGTGTATTTGTAAAGACACACAGGACCTCAGCTCTCGTCCCTCTTTTGGACACGGAGGCTTAAAACATTTCGACTTGTTTGTCGTGATCCGCTGCTTCACAGTAACGTCACAATCTGTGTCCTTTACACACATTCTGCTTCAGTGAACCGCCATCTGACAAAACTGGAAAAACGTCTCATCAGAACATGAAACGTGACATCTCTGGAGAAAAATGTACCACAAGAGAGCTGCGTCAGCAGTGATAACGACACTACGGTGTCCTCGTGATTATAAAAAAACGACACGGATCCAGAATCACAAATACAGTTCTCTATGTGGGGCCACCATAGGTCTCAGGCTTAGAGATCCACCGCTGAGTTTCATCCCCCGGATTAAAGGCCGTCTTTAGAGACATCCAGGATAAACTCGGAGGAGAACCACTGCTCCTCCGCATCGAGATGGCGAGCTGAGGCAGTTCAGGTGTGGTGGGATCCCTCTTTGACACCTCTAGAGGACTTGCTGAAGGGATCTTATGTGGACTTGTCTATAATTTAGGAGGAATGACAGTCCTGTTGACAAATTTAAAAGATGTGGCATCCTGACCAATCATAGGCTTGTGATCTCTGTACCCACGCAGAAGGAGAAGTATAAGTCAGGCTTAACTGGTGTTTAACTCTGGTTCACTGCAGCGTTCAACAAATACTGATCTGAGTTTAACAACGGGAGTTCACATGCATCAGCTGTTGTTAAAACGGTGTTTACAAAACAAACTGGAGAAATTTAGATGTCTGCTTGAAGGAATAATGAGACAAACTCTTTAGTCCTTTAAGACACTGTGATCCTCTCCATCAACTCATTTTATGTTTATTTATGTTTATTTATTTAGCAGACGCTTTTATCCAAAGCGACTTACAATTTATAACCTATAGGGCATGTTGTGATCTGTGGGGGAAACCGGAGTACCCGGAGGAAACCCACGCATGCATGGGGAGAACACGCAACTCCACGCAGAAAGGCCGCAGCCGAGTTTTGAACCTGCAACCTTTGTGCTGCGAGGCAACAGTGCTAACAACTGCGCCACCATGCAGTCCAATTTTAATAACATTAATGTTCTGATGGTCTGAAGTTTGAAAGTCTGGGTTGGAAAATGTAGACATAATGTAAGACTTGTACTGAGACTCATGATATTTTATTCTGATGACGTGTCAGGAATGTATAAATCCTGATCACGACACTGCTGGTTTAATGACTGAAACTGGAGAAACGTGTTCCAACATCTCCGTTAACTTTGACCTGTCTGAAGTTTTACTTGAGAACGTAACTTTGAGATGATCAGATACCCTTGTTCTAAACTTCCTCTGTGATCTGGTTGGACAAGATGTGTCCTATCACACTCACACACACACACACACACACACACACACACACACACACACACACACACACACACACACACACACACACACACACACACACACACACACACACACACACACACACACACACACACACACACACACACACACACACACACACACACACACACACACACACACACACACACACACACACACACACACACACACACACACACACACCAGAGGTGAACTGGTCCAGAGGTGAACTGGTTTCAGGGTTAAACATTGACTTGAATGAGTTTCACCCAACAGGAACTTGCAGTTTAACATCCTGTGTGTGTGTGTGAGTGAGTGAGTGAGTGAGTGAGTGAATGAGTGAGAGAGGGAGAGAGTGAGTGAGTGAGTGAGTGAGTGAGTGAGTGAGAGAGGGAGAGAGGGAGAGAGTGAGTGAGTGAGTGAGTGAGTGAGTGAATGAGTGAGAGAGGGAGAGAGTGAGTGAGAGAGGGAGAGAGTGAGTGAGAGAGTGAGTGAGTGAGTGAGTGAGTGAGTGAGTGAGTGAGTGAGAGAGGGAGAGAGGAGCTGCAGAACAAACAGTTCCTTTGTTTGAATCGGTTTTCTAGTGAATTATTTTGCCTCCAGATTTCACTTTTTCATTTTGTTTCATAGTAGATTTTAAGAACTTTTTAACTTCCTAAAACTTGATAATTTTACATATTTGCCATCGTTATTTGCACAATACAGTTTGTTTTTCATGTAATATCAGCTTTTTATACAAAGGAGCCTTTCTATTTAGTATTTTTATACTCTAATAAAGTTAATTTATTCTATAAGTTTATATTTAAAAAAAACTTATTTAATATATTAATTTTACTGAACACTATATAAAAGTATTATGTGCTTTAGCTAACACTACAGGCCACACCCCCTATAGTTGTAGCCCCGCCCCCACTTACCTCAGCCTTCTGAGTAGTTACATTCAGCTCCGCACACGGAAACGGTGCTCTGTGTTGCTGTGTGAATCTTCACCTCTCTTTCCTGAGTGGACTGATGTGGAAGCATGCGGAGAAGCAGAGATGCATGCTGGGATTGTTCAGGCATGTGGAAATGGATTGTGGGAGAGGACGAGCAAGGTGGGTTATCTGTGAGAAGGAGAGAGAGAGACAAAGTGAGAAGAGAAAGAAGACTGTTGGTTAATGAGTGACAGGACAAGGTGACTGTGGCTCACTTTGTTTTCACTTTGTTTCAGACTTACAGCAAATAGTTTCTGAATTATTCAAGAACAGAAAGCTGAGAATAGTTTGAGCAGTTTTCTTTCATCTGGATGGAAGAAAAGAGCAAAAAACCCACAAAATAATAAAGAACAGGAGATTTGTTTTTATGTTTTAACTGTTTAGTTTCATAGTTCTGGTCACAAAATCTACAGAATAAAGATATTTATGAGACAATTTTCAGGTTGTTTGATCTCATGGCTGCAGCCATCATTTAATCAATTTCCCTCTGGGATTAATAAAGTATTTTTGAATTGAATTGAATTGAATTGAACCATTTTACAACAATTCGAGAGGACAAAGTTCTGATGAGCACAAACCAGTCAGAGTGATTACGTGCTAATCAAAACAAAACTCAGATGAAAGAAATAAAAATCTCGTTGGTTGTTGAATTTTATTCTGTTAATGAACAAAAGAGGAAACCGTCCTCTGCTGCTTTCACTCAAACCCTTCAGGTCACATCATAAATTATCTGGTTAACTGTGAGTCATTAAAATGGTTTTTAAATAGTAATTAAATTAAAAGATCTAAAGTTAGGTTTAAATAAAAGCTCGAATAATCCTCAAGTTTCTCAATTAATGCAATAAAATAAACATGGTAAATACTTAAAAATGTAAAAAAAAAAATACAATATTTGTGTAGTTTGCTCTGATTCATGACAATTCCACATCCTGGAAACATTTCTACTTCCATCATTTGAGTTCCTTTTACTTTATCTTTCAAACATCCTCACATGACCGGTGAAAAGTTCAGAACTTTTTTAAACAAGATTTTCTGTCTGTGGTTCTGTGGTGATTAAAAAAAAAACTGTTTGTGCTCTTTGCAGTGTTGCCACAGTTACCTTGGAATAGTAATCTGATTACTGACTACTGATTACTCCTTCCAAAAGTAACTTAGTTACTTTACCGATTCATTCGTTTAAAAAGTAACTACGTTAGATTACAAGTTACTTTATTAGTTACTTTCAGCATCTACCAAAAACACTCTCCACTGCCTCAACATGAAACAACTGGTTTTACCAACACTCACTTTATTGCAAATGCTTTTTAACAGTAATGTCAACAACCTGACTTCTTACATTTTAATTTGAACTTAACATCTATTGCCTGACATAATGCATGTTTGTGTAAAAATTAAAAACAGTCTTTCTTGACCTCACTTAAAATAAATAGTATTCATAAAAAATAAAACACACAGAGCCAGCACACAGTGTACAACGACTTTATTAACAGCTAGACAATGCACCTCTCTCTCTCCTCCCGCCATTTTTGATCACGCTATAGTACAGGGGTGGGCAACCTTTTCCCATCAAAGAGCCATTATTACCCGTTTCCCACAGTAAAGAAAACACTGGGAGCCACATCAGCTGCGGCGTTGTGGGCGGGGCCTACCCTCAGACAGCAGAGAGCTGCTTTAACTGATCACAACAGGTGACAGCAACCAATACCAGTCGCTCATGTACCTTGAAGTCATCTTTCAACCATGGACGTAGGTTTTTTTTTGGGGGGGGGGGCATGCCCCCCCCCCCCCCCCCACACTTTTTCCAAAGTCAAGTTTTGACCCCTGCACTTTTGGGGTTGTATCTTTACAGCATGTTCTAATGGGAAACAGGCTTCAACACAAACGGTTGCTTTCCGCTTGGTCCTAGAGCTCAACCAGTGTCAATTTAATATAGCGTAATATTGTTTTTGGATGGTAAAAAGTGCTCGCCCCGTAGTCGGAAGGTTGCAGGTTCGAGCCCCGCTCAGTTCGTCGCTGTCGTTGTGTCCGTGGGCAAGACACTTAACCCACGTTGCCTGCTGGTGGTGGTCGGAGGGACTGGTGGCGCCAGTGCTCGGCAGCCTCGCCTCCGTCATCCCCACCAGCGTGTGAATGTGTGTGTGAATGGGTGAATGACTGTGTTGTAAAGCGCCTTGGGGGGTTTCAAGAACTCTAGAAGGCGCTATATCAAAATACAGGCCATTTACCATTTCCCGTATTTGATCATTTATTTTGACGGAGAAACCTCAAGGCTGCAGATGCGCTGATATTTTTATCGTTACGCACATCGCGGAGGTAGCTACACCAATCAAGAAAAGATTCCCATCAGAACATCTGAGCTGGACACTGAGCTCCGCGCAGCTCGCTGCCAGTGCACACGTGAGGAGCTGACAGCGAGCTGAAGATGTGTAGATCGGGGGCTTGGAGCGCTTTGCAGAACCAGAGCCATGCGGGGAGGTTCCTCTCACTGAAGCGAGTGTTTCCCAAACCCTGTCTCTCAGAGAGACTTGTCATTCAAAAAATGTTCCCTGATTATGAATCTTTGGCTGAATAGTGCTTGTTCCTGTCTCCAACGTGGCGACGCCTCCATGAGCCTGTCTGAGGAAAAGTCCAGAATCTCACATCCTCTTCAGCTCAGAAAGCTCCTATGGAGACATCTGATTACGCACAAGCAGATGTCCTGTCAACCGTTGGACCTGCTCAGGTTTACGCAGACTATCTTTACATTTAGAATTAGCATACAGATAAAAATGAATGCAGTAAAATAAAATATATTTTAATTAAACATTCATGAATTATTTAACAAGCAGAGAGCCGCATCACATGGATGAAAGAGCCGCATGCGGCTCCAGAGTGCATTATGGGTAGCCAGCTTTCCAGTTTTATATTCTCTATTGTGTGTTTTGTTGGGGTTTTATTGCAGGGTTGTTTGATGTTTTTAGTCGTTTATTCAGTAATATGACTGCGCTTTTTTGTTGGTTTTAATTTTGTACCACGAGTGAGTTATATTCCAACAAATTGAACCGCGGTGCCGTTCTATTGTTCGGTGAAGGAATACGCTGCTTCCCTTGTGCATTGATTGGTCAAATTCATTATGCAAATCTGATGTTGGCTCCTCCTCTGACACATTTTATTTCCTTCACTCAGGATTTTCCTAAGCAGAGAGAATTCAGAGTAAAGGATAAAATAACGCAGTATGGCTTGGACAAGTAACTTTAATTTGATTACTAGTGTGGAAATAGTAACGCGTTAGATTAGTCGTTACCAAGAAATGACGTTATTAGTGATGGGAATTCTGGCTCTTTTTAGAGAGCCGGCTCTTTCGGCTCCCAATTGGCTCCTCAGATTTTCTGTTGCCTAGAGTCCATTTATAACCAAAAATATGCAAAACTATATGTAAAATTATTTACTAATGTAAAAAATGTGATGTATCAAATATTTATCATTTACATGGACTTAATAACTGAACACTTTAAGAAATCTCAACTTTCCGACTGCTGTCGCTCATTTTCTCACCGTCTTCGTTGTACTCTCCTCTCTCTCCCTCGCCTTTTTCCTCCTCCTCATTCCCTCTCGTCTCTCTCCACCCGCACGTGCTCCGCTGTGTGCCTGAGTCTGATCCTCCCTCTCCCCCGCCCCTACTGCTCTGTGTGTGGACAGTCTGGACACACAGTCACACATGTTGACCAATCGCCTGTAGCTTTCACCAAGGCAGGGGGGGAGGGGGGAGAGGAGGGGACGGCTCCCAATGACGAGCCGGCTCCCGTCGTTCACTTCAAAGAGCCGGCTCTTAGAGCCGGTTCGTCCGTGACCGACACATCACTAGACGTTATATTAGAGTAACGATTACTTTGTTTGTATAAAGTAGAATGATAAACCCGTCTCTGGTCCTGTGTGTGTCTGCAGAATCCAGTCTGAACAACTCTGATGTGTCAGGCCTCCAAAACCAAACCTCCACTCAAAGTAAGACACAACAATCCCTCATAATGTTCACCAACATCAGAGCACACCGCCTTTACCTAATCATTCATTTTGTGTCAGACTCCACCTCCCCAACGGCGTATGGAGTGGGCGGAGCTCCAGGGGGCGCCGTAGGGTCTCCGGGGCCAAAACGCACAGCCTCTGGAACTGGAAATACCCTAAAGGTAATGTCTGAATGGTGAAGGATCAAAGTGATGGAGACAGTAGTATTGAGTTTGTGTTGCACCTGTTTGCTCCAGCGCTGGCTGACCAGTCCGGTTCGAAGACTAAGTCAGGGAAAAGCTGATGGACAGAAAAAACCTCCAATCAGAACCAGGAGGCAGGACAACAGGCCAGAGCTAACCACACCCCTCACTGACAATGCACAAGCGGTACATAAACTCTAAACACCAGAAAACAAACAAGATCATGAAATCGTAATTAAAACATTTCTGTAATTCTGCAGAAGGCGAGGAAGGAGGAGGCGGGGCAAAGTGGAGGGGAGGAGGAGCCTGAGGAGGAAAGCCACACCCCTCTACCACCTCCCATGCAGATAATGAAGGACCCTAATAACCCAGAGGTAAAAATAAAGTTCATTGTGTACTAAAAGTGTTTTCCCAGAGGTAAAATTACAACAAAATACAAACAGGTTTACAGTAATTTCAGCCACAACTTATGAAACATCTAAAATTCTCAAAATGTCACAAATCCTCACAGAGTTGAACCCTCTCAGGCTCTAAATAAGTTTGGATAAAAGTACAAACAACTAAGTCCTTCAGGGGTACTTCTGAGTAAAAAAATGCTCATGAAGTACATATGTAGAGTAACCAGGTAGGTAGGTTTTAACTGTTGCAAATCTGCAATGCCTGCAGAACCAGAGGGTTCAAAGACAGGTAAGAGCTGAGAAACTCTCCTGAGACCAGCCAAAGATTCATAAATCATCAGTGGAAAGATGAAGTAGGAGAAGCTTCAGAGAACTGTTTAAGTCATTTCATCGTTTCACAAAAATATTTTATTAGTGAAGCACAATAACTTCCAATAGTGTGTGAGTGACAAGGCGAAGGGAAAGAGAGAGGAATGTGAGGGAACCTGCAGACAAACCACGTTTAAGTTTGATCTTCTTTTCTGTTTTTTCAGGCTCTGGACTCAGATCAGGGGTCTAATGAGTCCGACACAGAACAGAGAAACAAAGCGCTGCGAGGACGGATGTGAGAGGAACACTAAACTTTTACAAACTAAAGTAAAAACTGAAGATGTACATCTAAACATAACATCTACCTGTGCAGGTTTGTTGTAAATGAGATGGTCCAGTCAGAGAAGGACTATGTGAAGGACCTGGGAGTGATTGTTGAAGTAGGACCCGATTAAAAACCTCCTAATTGGTTAAACCAGTAAAGACTGGATTAACTCAGAACTGCTGTGGTCTCTCAGGGCTTCATGTCCAGGCTAGAGGTCAGAGGGATTCCAGAGGAGATGAGAGGAAAAGACAAGATCGTCTTTGGAAACATCCAGCAGATCTATGACTGGCACCGCGAGTACGTCTAAAAACACCCCCAGAAACCTAAACACACTTTAATAAACACAAGAGGTCCTCACTGCTGGTTTGTGTTGCAGCTTCTTCCTGGTGGAGTTGGACCGATGTATCCAGAACCATGACCTGCTGGCTGACCTCTTCATCAGACATGTGAGTTGTACCACCTTACGTGGTCTGGGCTCTCTAAGGACCAGGTAGAAACAGTAGGACCTGACTTTGGATCTAACACATTGCTGGACTTGGACCTTGATTTGGGACTTAATTTGAACACAGGACCTGACTCAGGATTTGGTTTATAACTGATGTTGGGGTTAGCAGTAACGTGATGGGTTCTCTGAGACTTGAGAACAATTGTTGGTACCTTGCGTGGTATGCAACGTAACCAATAAAAGTCAGACATTGCTTTTCAGCCATGCTTCAACTGACTTATTATAAGATGAACTGATGGAACAGGCCTCGACATAAATCATGGTATCCCTAACTTGACATTTTGTTGCACAGCCTTTTGAAGCAATCATTGCGATTGTAGGGGCCAAATATTGTTGCTTTTAAGCTTAATATGTTACCTTTACTAATGACCAATAAGATGTGATATTCTGTATAAATATAGAATATCAACCTGCTTGAATGCTCGGATGTTTAATCAGAAGATTCTAGGATTCTTTGCTTTTTCAGGGCTCAAACACACTTCGTCTCGATTCAGACAGAGTCAGGTTTATAAAGGCAAGAAATTTATTTTCTAAACCATTAAAAACATGACAAGCTAACCAAGGCTACTGTGATGGATGAATCTAAGTGAATGGGATGTGATGTATGGTGACTGAATGGTGTGTGTTTATCAGAACCTTGTATCTAGAAGAACGGAGTTCTGGGCGTGGAAAAAGACTTTGGTCTGCATTAAACTATGAAGTTAGTTCTCATCAAAACGGCATGCAGATGCAATCATGTGTGTCTGCCTCACCCTTTCTTTGGAGACCCTCTTCGCGGATCCGGAGGTCAAGGAGGTCGGATGACCTCTGGGCACCGAGGTTCAGTAGATTAACCGCAGCACCGACGCTCCAGTCCAGAGATGTCGCCAGGCACACGGGTTGGAGCTAGTTTGCGTCTGGAGCAGCTGTTTCTGAATAGCTGAAGGAACCGTTTTGCTGTGTCAGCTGTAGGCAGCTTTTAGCTTGTCGAAAGCTTGTCAAGAGATGCGGTGTGAGCAGAGTTTCCCTCCGATGGCCAGTCAGAGTTAGCTCAACTAACAGGATGCTGAATCTCGCAGAATGCTGGAATGATGATTCACTCCGCAAGCGATTCTGTTTTAATATTCTCATATTATGATTTACTTGGCCAATCGGAACGTGCCATGTTAAGGGGTGTTAACAACAAACCCCAGAACGTCACGCCTTCTTTCAGCTACAGGATGCTCTGATTTTTGGCTAAGAAAATATCTATGTGCAGTGACGTTACTTTAACTTTAATTTATCTCTAATGAACATTGTGTCTGAGTGTAGATAATGATTCACTTGTTAAACCAAACATTACTGATCATCATAATAATATTAATTTCAACTTCAGTAATTCAAGCACAGATTAATCAACCTTATTATTTAAGCACAGATTAATCAAAACATTATTATTATTCATCAGCCATTCTTGTTCATTCGACCACATGATTATTTACTATTAAAACGGTTCAGTCCTTTATTCTGTGCAGGACAGCCTAGATAAGCAGACAGGCTTGGCAGAGAAGAACCTTGAGAAGGGAACATGATGTTGACAATATGTTATGATGTGTTCAGAGCTGTAGAACCTTCTGGGCTTGTTGGAAGGTAGAACATAAAATCCACCTTAGAGAATGGAATTTATGTCAGTAGATGACCGGTGGCATGTAGCTCAATCTGTAGGTGAAAACTGACCATTTCTGGATGTTACACGATCAAATGATTCCGGTAACTGTCAACGAGACTTCTACGCCTCTTAGCAGGTATTTTGGCCCACTCCTCATGAGCATACTGCTACAGTTGTCTCATGTTTGAAGAGCCCCTTTTCCAAACATTGTGTTTCAGCTCCTTCCAAAGATGCCTAATAAGATAGGATTGAGGTCATGGTTCATAGAAGGCCACTTTGGAGTAGTCCAGTGTTTTCCTCTTGGCCATCCTTGGAGGTTTTTAACTGTGTGTTTTGGGTCATTGTCCTGTAGCAAGACCCATGACCTGTGATGAAGACCAAGCTTTCTGACACTAGCCAGCACATTTCTCTCTAGGATCCCTTGATAGTCTTGAGATTTCATTGTAGTAGCAGCCCCAGATCATAACAGAGACCCCTCCATGTTTCACAGTAGAGACAGTGTTCTTTTCTTGAAATGCTTCATTTTTCCATCTGTGAACATAGAGCTGATGTCCTTAGCAAAATGTTCATTTTTTTGTCTCATCTGTCCATAGGACAATCTCCCAGAAGCGTTGTGGCTTGTTGATATGTAGTTTGGCATATTCCAGTCTGGCTTTTTTATGATTTTTTTTCAACAACGGTGTCCTCCTTGGTCATCTCCTATGTAGTCCTCTTTGCTTCAAACAACGATGGATGGTGTGATCTGACACTGGTGTTCCTTGAGCTTAAAGTTCACCTTGGATCTCTTTAGAAGATGTTGGAGCTCTTTTACTATTCACACTATCCTTCTTGATTTTTCATTAATTTTCCTCCTGTGGCAACGTCCAGGAAGGTTAGCTACAGTCCCGTGGAACCTACATTTCTGAACATGTGCAGCTGTAGTCACAAGAACATCTGGCAGCTTGGAGATGGTTTTACAGCCTTTACCATTAACATGATTGCTTCTAATGTTCTTTCTAATCTCCTGAGACAACTCTTTCCTTCACTTGCTCTGGTTCATGTTGAGTGTGGTACACACCATGTCACCAAACAACACAGTGACTTCCTGGAGCCCTGTGTGTGTGTGTGTGTGTGTGTGTGTGTGTGTGTGTGTGTGTGTGTGTGTGTGTGTGTGTGTGCGTGTGCGTGTGCATGTGCGTGTGTGTTTGTGTCAGAGGCTTCTGACTACAAGATTGTAGACACCTGTGATGCTAATTGACAGGTCCCTTTGGTCACATTATTTTTAGCCTTTTCTTTTTTCCAGGCCTGTTCCATGAATTTATTATTATTATTTAATAATTCCATTGAAGCATGGCTGAAAAGCAATGTTTGACTTTCTTTGGTAAAATTTCATTGAATTTTAATAATTATTGTTTTTGTCAGATTCACGTTATTTCTGTGACCCTTGTGGGTTTTACTTTAATTGACCAAGTGTCTACTGTGGTAGCGCCATATACGACCACTATCAGCCGTAAGAGCTTCAGACCAGGTGGCCCTGTCAGGTGTTTGGTTTCCCATAGAAACAAGTCACTGAAGCGATGAAATGTGATTTTTCTGCAGGAGCGCCGACTTCACATGTACACGGTTTACTGTCAGAACAAACCCAGGTCAGAATTCATCGTCATCGAATACGAGACTTTCTTTGAGGTAACACGGCGCCATACGTTCCCTTATTTTGACAGTTTCAGAGTACTTCCTTCAGACTCTGATCAGTGCTGAAAAAATCCTGAAGAAGTTCTGTGTTCTGTTTCATTTTCCCACCTGCAGGAGATCCAGCATGAAATCAGCTGTAGGATGTCTGTCAGCGACTATCTGATTAAACCCATCCAGAGAATCACCAAGTACCAACTGCTGCTCAAGGTGTGTGTGTGTGTGTTTGTGTACTTGTCTTTATATGCTTAAATGGACAAAGTTGAGCTTTTAACATGTAGTGTGTGGACATTGGACATTGTGGGGACATTTGGCTGGTCCACAGAATGACAAAATACCCTTAAACATAGTTTTAGAGGTATGGTGTAAATGAACTTTTGGTTTAGATGAGTTTAGGTTAGGGTTAGGAAAAGAGCAGCATTGGTTGGGTTAGGATATGGGTTAGGCATAGTGGAGTCCCAAATATTAATGGAAGTCAATGGAGGGTCCACACAAGGATACAGAGACAAGTGCATGTGTGTGTGTGTGTGTGTGTGTGTGTGTGTGTGTGTGTGTGTGTGTGTGTGTGTGTGTGTGTGTGTGTTTACTGATGTCTTACAGGAATAATAGACTCAGTTCTCTCGCATATGTTCTGATTCTACTGGTTCTGATGTTCCAGGATTTCCATAAATACACTTCTAAAGCCGGACTGGACACGGAGGAGATTGAGGTGAGCTGTAACAGCTGATCACAACAAAACTAGACCTTTAAAAAGTTTCTACTGTACCCCCCAGTGGCTGGTTGTAGTAATAGGCCACACATGTGATCAGACTTGTAAAAATTAAGCATCAGAGTTAAAACCTGAGGCAGATTGTTGTGGAGATTCTTTGTCTCTCGGAAAATTAAAAATCCTAAGACTTTATTTGGTTCTGCTTCTATTCTGATCTGAAACAACATCTGATTCCAATTCAGTTTGGTGAAGAACTGAAACCTCTTTAAAAACATAAGAAGGGTCCAAAGTCCCAAAACTAAAAACTCTAAAAATTATTAAGAGTTTTTGTTGTCTTCGACAGCTGCTTTTGTGTTCCAACCAGAGAGCTGCTTCTGTTGGCGCCGAGAAGATAATAAATGATTCACCCTTGATAGTGAATCACTGGTCTGTAAAGTGTGTGTTTGTGTGTTTGTGTGTGTGTGTGTGTGTGTGTGTGTGTGTGTGTGTGTGTGTGTGTGTGTGTGTGTGTGTGTGTGTGTGTGTGTGTGTGTGTGTGTGTGTGTGTGTGTGTGTGTGTGTGTGTACAGAAAGCAGTGGAGCTGATGTCTCTGGTCCCCAAACGCTGTAATGACATGATGAACCTGGGACGCCTGCAGGGATACGAGGTACAGTCAATCAGCTCATGTCCGTGTCTGATCTTTTACATCATAATGATTAAATTATTAATTAAAGCTGCAGCAGCAACACACCTGAGTGCCGACTGAGACCCCCCCCCCCCCCCCCACACCACCACCACCACGTTAACCTGCTCTAGGTGGCTCTGTTCATGCGTGAAATAAAGTTATTTCAAACAAATTTGATGCAGATTGGATCAGATTGGGTCTTGTTCACGAGTGAGGGTAGGAGGGATCGGGAGATCGACAGGCGGATTGGTTCGGCGTCTGCAGTGATGCGGACGCTGAGCCGATCTGTCGTGGTGAAGAGGGAGCTGAGCCAGAAAGCCAGGCTCTCGATTTACCGGTCGATCTACGTCCCAGTCCTCGCCTATGGTCATGAGCTTTGGGTAAGGACCGAAAGAACGAGATGGCGGATACAAGCGGCCGAAATGAGTTTCCTCCGTAGGGTGGCCGGGCTCAGCCTTAGAGATGGAGTGAGGAGCTCGGACATTCGGGAGGGACTGGGAGTAGAACCGCTGCTCCTCCGGATCGAAAGGAGCCAGTTGAGGTGGTTTGGGTATCTGGTCAGGATGCCTCCTGGACGCCTCCATGGGGAGGTGTTTCGGCCAAGTCCTGCCGGCAGGAGGCCCCCGGGTTGACCCAGGACACGTTGGAGAGGTTACATCTCCAATCTGGTCCGGGAACGCCTTGGGGTCCTGCCGGAGGAGCTGGTGGAGGTGGCCGGGGAGAGGACGGTCTGGAGCTCCCTAGTTGGGATGCTGCCCCCGCGACCCGGACCCGGATAAGTGGAGGAAGACGATGACGATGACGATTGGATCAATTATGTCAGATTGACCAACATTTAAGATTATTCCTCATAAAAAAGGTTAAATAAAATACAAACATATTAACATCTACACCAACATTTATTTCCTTTAATTGTCATGTGAAAAAACGTGGAGTTGATGTGCTCAGGGACCTCAAGTTAAAATAAGAATTAAAATTTAACTGTTAAAACACATTAAAAGTGTCATAAATTTGTATTTTACAACACTTTTCTGCCTCCTAGTGGCTACAAAGTTTATTTTTTACAAAGATGATAATTTATCTACCAACTTTAAAGGAGACTGAAATATAATAATTAAATATACCGGTAAATGCTGCGAATGAAGTAAATCAATCATGAGATAATATTGTCCAACATATTTGAAAAGTGCTCAGATATTTTTTGAGTGAAGATTTGAATCTGCGTGTGACCCTGTGTGTTCAGGGGAAGCTGACATCTCACGGGAAGCTGCTGCAGCAAGAGACCTTCTGTGTTTGGGAACAGGATGGAGGAGTTTTATCTCGGAGTAAAGAGCGAAGAGTTTTTCTGTTTGAGCAGATCGTCATCTTCAGCGAACTGCTAAGAAAAGGCTCCAGCAATCCCGGGTATCAGTTCAAGAACAGCATCAAGGTGAGATTCCTGCTTCAGAGCTGGGTTCTGGGTCCGGGGGGACCTGTAAGTTGTTATCAGTCATGTTTGTGCACCATCAGGTGAGTTACCTGGCGATGCAGGACAGCGTGGACGGAGATCCCTGTAAGTTCGTTTTGTGGTCTCGTGGATCCGCAGAACGCTTCACTTTGCAGGCGTCCTCCGCCAGCATCAAGATGACCTGGGTGGAGACCATTGCTGCACTGCTGGACGCCCAGAACAACTTCCTGTCAGGTGAGGAGGGTTTTTTTAACCAAATTTTTACATAAAAACAAAAAATTCTTATACTTACTGGTGGGTCTCTGTGTGTCAAACATCACTGCTGCTTCACGCTCAGCTGCAAACTGCTCCAGCGAATGCCGAAGATCACAGTCTGATGGAGCCAACAGGATCACACCATCTCCAAAAAGCAGAGACCTGATTCTTAGACAACAAACTTAGATCCCCCGACATGTTGACTGTGGCTAGAAATCCTGTCCATTAAAGTTATGAAAAGATTTGGTGACAAGGAGCAGTCCAAACGAGCCCAACTTACTTCCGCGAGGCGGACCAAGGCGGACACTGGTTATACAGGGACGTAACAGCCCGAATCAAGGGGCCTGGTACCCCATACTCTCGGAGTATCCTCCATAAGACCCCCGAGAGATGTGGTTGAATACCTTCTCAAAATTTACAAAACACATGCACCCTCCAGAAGCCCCCTAAGGTTATAGAGCTGGTACATTGTTCCACAGCCAGGACAAAAAATGCATTTCTCCTCTTATCCAGAAGACCTGAATAGACCTTAACAGGGAAGCTCAAGAGTGTGATTCCCCTGTAATTGGAACACACCATGCGATCCCCCTTTTTAAATAGGGGGACCACCACCCTGTACTGCCAATCCGGTGGAACTGCCTCTGATGTCCACTCAGTATTGAAGAGCTGCATCAACCAACACCCCCCCACAACATCCAGAGCCTTAAGAAACTCTGGGCGAATCACATCTACCCCGGGGACCCTGCCACCGAGCTTTTTGAACACCTAAGTGGCCTCAGCCCCAGAGATTGGAGAGTCAAATCCAAATTTCCTAGACTGTGTTTCCCCAATGAAAGATGTGCCAGTGGGATTGAGGAGGTCCTTGCCCACCGATCTAGAACGTCCCGATTTGAGGTGTTGGTAGCGCGCTTCTTTAAATTCTGTCAGAGGTGGAAATTGAAGCTTCTTCTGACAGGAGACTCTGCCATATGTTCCCAGCAGACCCTCACAATACGTTTAAGTCTTCCAGGTCAGACGGGCATCCTCCCCCACCGTCAAAGCCAACTCACCACCAGGTAGTGGTCAGTTGACAGCTCCTCCCTTCTTTTCACCTGAGTGTCCAAGACATGCAGCCACAGATTAGATGAGACAACATCAAAGTCGATCATTGAACTGCGGCCTAAGGTATCCTGGTACCAAGAGCACATAAGGACACCTTTATGTATGAACAGGTCTCACTGTCGTTGCCCACGTGAGGATTGAAGTCCCTCAAGGGAGTTACAAAAAGGAGCGCTCTCCAGCTCCCCCTCCAGAGACTCCAAAAGGGGGTGTGTGTTCTGATCTACAGTTTGGTGCATTAGCACAAACATGAATCAGAACCTGTCCCCTCACATCTAGGTGAAGGGAAGCTACCTTGTTGTTTACCGGGGTAAAGCCTGATGTACAGGCACCAAGATGGGGGGCAACAAGTACCGTAATTTCCGGACTATAAGTCGCAGTCTTTTTCATAGTCTGGCTGGTCCTGCGACTTATAAACTAAAGCGACTTATAAACGAAATTATGTAGGCTATACCACGCTGCTGCCGGCGGCTCCGACCCAGGAATGGGCTCTCCCCGCCCGCTGGGAGGGTTTGAAACACGGCCGTTCTCTGCTGCAGATTATGGCGTGCTGCTGCGCACACCGCTGATGCAATAGCTGGTTGTTTATTCTGTTATTGTTACCGGTACTTGTCTTGCAATATGAAATGCTGAGATTTATATATATATATATATATATATATATATATATATATAAAATAAAATTTCCCTCCAAAATGTGACTTATATATATTTTTTTCTTCTTCATTATACATTTTATGGCTTGTGCGACTTATACTCCGGAGCGACTTATAGTCCGGAAAATACAGTTTGTCTACCCATGTTCTACGCCTCTCAGCGAGAGCAACTCTTGGGAGTGGTAGAAAGTCCAACCCCTCTTGAGAAAGTTGGTTCCGGAGCCGGAGCCATGTGTTGAAATGAGTCAGATTATATCTAGCCGTAAATGTCGCACAATGCCACAACTCTGGCTCTGTCCCCACCAGAGAGGTGACATTCCACGTACCGAGAGCTAGCTTTTGTAGCTAAGGATCAGACTGCCAAGGTAGCACATAATGCACCCGACCCCTTTAGCCCTTCCCGTTAGTGGTGAGCCCATGGGAAGGGGTGCTCATCTCTCCTCTTCAGGCTTTGCCTCACTGGGCTCATGGGTGAAAGCCCAGCTACCAGGTGCTCACCAGGGTGTCCCAACTCCAGGCCTGGCTCTAGAGGGGGGCCCTGGTGACCCGGGGGGAGGGAACACTGTTTTGATATGTCTGGTCCCTCTCCTTGGACCTGTTTGCCATGGGTGGCACAACCACAGGAATAGTCTCAGACATCTCAGCTTCAAGGGTCACTGGCACACTTAAACCCCTCCACCATGGTAAGCTGGCAGACGTGGGAAGGGGTGGTGGTCTGAATCATTAATTAAATTAGTTAATGTCTTAAAGTCCAGCTTCTTCTCAGGCATCAGAAATTCACCCTCAAACGATCTCCGGTCCAGTTTAGGCCTCCATTTAAAACCCACCTTCAGATTTGTGACTCACACCTTACGTTTCATCTTCAAACATTCCAGGATTCATCTGAATAAAACATGTTGAAGTAGCACTAGAAACGTTTTATCGGAGTCTTTTTCATTAAACAGATGTAACGTTTGCTTTTGATCGCAGCTCTCCAATCACCCATTGAGTACCAGAGGAAAGAGGGTGGGATCTCTGTGACCCGCCCGCTGTCATCAGGACGACCACCATCTGCCCCGCCTACTCCTAACGGCCATGCCACTCAGCCTCCTGCTGACAGCGATCAGGATGACCAGGTCTGGATCCGTCAGCCTTAATATAAAGTCTCCTGATCAATAAACTCAGACTGAAAGTAAACCGTGGTTTGACCCACCAGGAGCTGGTTCTGGTGCTGCAGGACTTTGTGGCGGTGCGGGAAGATGAAATCTCTGTGTTTCGGGGGGAGAAAGTCCAGATCCTGTCGTCCAACCAGCAGGGTCAGAGTCTGGTTTATCGTCCGGCCAACAGCGAGTCGCCTGCTGCAGAGGGATGGGTGCCACGGAGCGTGCTCAGAACACACTGACACTTACACACTCACACACTGACTGCAGGGTCAGAGTCCAGTTTACAATTTTTACACACACTTAAGTCTGCAAACCAACAGGGTCAAGGACACAACGTGAAACTCAGCGAGAAGCCTAAAAATGGTGACGTAGACCGGTTCAACGTGTTGGTCTGAAACGAAACCAAAAACTCACCCATGTTTATAACCTGAAACATCATCCAAAGGTTTCATTTTGCAGTAATTTCAGTGTAAATACAAATGAACAAGCAGCTTTGAGTTGAGCGAGCATCCTCCCGTGTACTCCCATGTGTGCCTTAGTTCTTCTCTGAGTGGATATAAAGTCTTAAAAGGAAATCAGCAATTTGTTTCAGGGGAATTTGCTGCAACAAATGAAGTCGTAAAGCACAGAATTTATCATAAAAACCTCTTAAAGCTGTTTGGAAGTTTGAAACTTAAATGCAAAACTTAAATTTTACTTGTCTGCCATCTCAGGCAGGATATTGGACTTTTTTATTATTATTAACGTCCTCAATCACTTATTGCTTGATAATGGACTGTGTGATGCAGATGATCCTCCACTTTCCCCACACCTGGATATTTTACCGTTGAACAAGTCAAAAACTGAAAACCAAATGCAACTATTTAAGAGGCAGGAAGTGTTCAAGTGATAAAGTCTGTGTCAAACTTTTGCTTACTAACTGGAAACCAGTGAGTTTAGTTTAGTTTGCCGGGTGCAGGGACGATCAGATGAATACATCTGAACATGTACTATTCCAGATTCCTCTCTGGATCCAGTTCTTGACTTCCTTTGGATTTTATTTTGAAAACCTTCCCCAGAACCGTAGAGTGTGCTTGGTTCTGTTTGGACCCGGACTGGTTCACATCACTATCCTTTAGGCTTCACCTTCAAGACTGTGGTACTGACTGAATGTTCTACACACACACACACACACACACACACACACACACACACACACACACACACACACACACACACACACACACACACACACACACACACACACACACACACACACACACACACACACACACACACACACACACACACACACTCACAGCAGCAGGTACTGTTAAACTCTGCCCACTTCCTGGTGCTTTGAATTTCGGCAAAAACAAAGTGACCCCCCTCTGCCCTCACCTCATCCAATCAGATGCTGCAGCCAACCCAGGAGCAGCCAATCACACACACTGTTGACATCACCATCCATTTCCTAAGTAAAGCTGTGTGTGTGTGTGTGGGGGGGGGGGGGGGGGGGGGTCCTTGACTTCATTATAAACAAAACCACACCCTGAAGCTGCCGTTGCCAAGCAACCAGAGACAGTATTTAAGACAAGCAAAGCCTCTTGATGAGAAGAGGAGTGGACTCGTTGACCAATCAGAACTGAGCTCTTGGTCCTGTTTATAGTGTGTATAAAGACTGAGGACACACATATACACACTCTGTGCACATGCCACCCCTCTGATGAAGATGACTATGAGATCATTAAGAATGATAGGTTCTGTTTTTCACCTCAGTAGAGAGAAGAGACGAGAGAAACTGTTTGTCAAATTGATATCTGTGTATATTTGAGTAAGTGTGTGCGAGAGAGAGAGAGACAGAGTGAATGTGTGTGGTTGTGACACCTTCCTGTGTGTGTTTTTTTCACGGACAGTCATGGTGTCCTGGTGTAGCGTAGCCATGATTACTCGTGTTTGCGGTGATGCTTTTTTCATTTTGAGTTTGGAGTTTTTTTTAGCAAACCGGAGCCGCTGCCTCCTACCCTTTCCCCCATGCCTGGTTGCCCCCGTCGCCGTTACCATAGCAACCAACAGCGATGGAGGAGTTGGCATGGCAGCCCCACCTCCAGTTAGGTTGGATATTCTTATTATGCATCCCTTGTTTCTGTATATAGACCAGACTCCACAAACTGTGGACTCTAAACACATCTGTCCCACATCTGTCTTCTACTGAAACAGAAGCAGTGACCTTCGACCTGTCTCTCTTCCCGTCTCCTTCTCTACCTCTCTGTCCCCGTCTCTCTGTTTCTCTGGTGCCATTCTCAGACAACACCCTGGTCCTTAAGGAGCTTTGCAGCCTGTCGGTGCGCTGCAGGGTGGTCAGGATGGAAAGGAGCGCACTACGAAGGGTCTAGGACACACATAGCACACTGTTAAGGGTTAGGGTTTAAGGTGGAACAGGTTGGATTATTAGAAGTCCATCTTAACACATATAAATGTCTTAACTGTCTCTGAGATCCAGTTTGTTCTTTGCAGGTTTCAACTAAAATCATCACCAGTTACAGATCGGTCAGACCCACTGTGGCAAAAATAAGCATCTTTAACGTCAGAGTTTTGGATGAATTTCAACAAAAGTGTCACTAATTTAACTAGATTTTAAAAAATATCCAAAGAAAAATATCTTTTACAACACAGACATTTTTAACCCAGAAATTTTTATTTGCCTAAAATCATAAAGTCAAGAGGAAAAGGAAATTTATTCAGAATAAAAATGAGACATCTTTAAACTCTAAAAAGATCATCTACCCTTTTTGGGCTTCAAAAATGACCAAACTGCCCCCACTGTCCTCTTGTTAATCATCACTGATGGCTTCACAAAGAGCATCAGGATCAACGCTGCTCTGATGTTTCATCACATTACAGAAAACCTTCATCAAACAAAAACTGGTTTTATAAAAAAGCACAAGGACGATCAAAACCAGCAAGTCTTTAGAAAATCAGCTAAAAACATCAGAAAAGTTAAACAAATTCTACCAAACATCAGCTTCAAGTCAGAATAAAACCCGATTCATTTAAAAAGGAGCCAAAATTTACCAACAAGAAAAATGTGTGAATAAAGAAAATGCACAAATTCAGCAAATACAGAACGTCTTTTTCAAAGTAAAAATATGATTTAATACAAACAAGTGAAATCAGCTCTTTGACGTGAAAGTGGTTTAATGCCGAGTTCAAGTCCCATAGAAACAATTCAAATCAACAGTTTTATCCAACTAGAAACTGAGAACGGAGCTGAAAAAAACTGCAAAGCTGTCTCAGAAAATAAGAAACACAAACCCAACAAAGACTAAAACTCCTGATATTTCAATTCAAACTTAAAGACAGAAAATTCTGGATTTTCTGATCCCATCAGACCAAGATTCCTGGACTTATTGGGACACAAAGTTATCCTTCACCTGCTTGTTCTGAAATAATGATGTTGTGTTTGTTATGTCGGTGTCAAGATTATCGATGCAAAACTATTTTTAAAAAAAAAGCCTGAAACCAATTAAATCAGCTGAACTCGGAGTGCACAAGTTAAGGTGGCATTGCAGAGCTCTTGGAAGGGCACAAGATGGTTATGGTGCACTTTGAAGAATTTAAGGTGGAATTACGTGCACTATAAAGAGTTTATGTTTATTTATTTAGCAGACGCTTTTATCCAAAGCGACTTACGATTTATAACCTATAGGGCATGTTGTGATCTGTGGGGGAAGCCGGAGTTCCCGGAGGAAACCCACGCATGCATGGGGAGAACACGCAACTCCACGCAGAAAGGCCGCAGCCGAGTTTCGAACCTGCGACCTTCGTGCTGCAAGGAAACAGTGCTAGCAACTGCACCACCATGCAGTTTATGGCTGGACAAGGACACTGCAAATGGTTTTAATTTAAAAGTTGCACATTTTAAAGTGATTAAAGAGAAAATTGTGCAGGTTGGTGAGACTGGGCGGTGGTGCACTAGGCTTGTGTTTAGGTGGAAGGAAGCTCACTACAGAAGGCCTGGAGTCGTGCACGGAGCACTAGAAAGAACTGAAGGTGGTGCTTTAAAGGTGAGGGTGGAGGTGGTGCACTACACAGGACAAAGGGTGCTGTTTGAGACCTCGCCTTGTTGCCACCCGGCATTTTCAATGAACCAATCAAACAGTGTTATTTGTACAGAACTAACAGCTGCTAACTGATTGCTAACAGCTCTCTGTTGTTGTTTGTAATAAACTTCATTTTTCATCCAGAACCATCAGTGTGGCGTCTTTGTGGGCGTTTTGGGTCGGCTCTGTTCTAACGGGCCTCAGTTTGCAGAATAACAGGATGAATGAGCCGGTTCTGACTTTACTGATGAATGTTCCTGACAGGATGTTCATCATGATACCTGTCCTTAGAGTCACATGTTCCTGATAACATCTCTGTGGGCGGCGTCACCAGGAGGTCAGCGCTTTCTGACTCAGGCGTTCATCATCAGCCTGGATGTTTGGGTCTCTGCTAACCTGTTCATGATCAGCTCGCCTGGATTCAACAACCAATCTAAACCTCTCACCAAGCACTTCCTGTCACCTTGAGTTTGGAGCTTCTGAAAAGAGTACAGGTGCCATCCATTTTCGTCCGCTTATCCAGAGTCGGGTCGCGGGGGCAGTAGCCTATGTCGAGAGGCCCAGACTTCCCTCTCTCCAGCCACTTGGGCCAGCTCCTCCGGGGGAATCCCAAGGCGTTCCCTGGCCAGGTGAGAGACATAGTCCCTCCACCGTGTCCTGGGTCTGCCTCTAGGTCTCCTCCCCGGTTGGACGTGCCCAGAAAACCTCACCAGGGAGGCATCCAGGAGGCGTCCTGACCAGATGCCCGAGCCACCTCAACTGGCTCCTCTCGATGTGGAGGAGCAACGAATCTACTCCGAGCCCCTCCGGGATGACCGAGCTTCTCACCCTATCTCTAAGGGAGAGCCCAGCCACTCTGCGGAGAAAACTCATTTCGACTGCTTGTATCCGCGATCTCGTTCTTTCGGTCACCACCCAAAGCTCATGACCACAGGTGAGGGTAGGAACGTAGATCGACCGGTAAATCAAGAGCTTCTCCTTCTGACTCAGCTCTCTCTTCACCATGACAGACCGGTACAATGTCTGCATCTGCAGTGATGCAGGCGTTATGCACCCTCTCCCTGGGCTGCCACCTTACCGTGGTGGAGGGGTTTGAGTGTCCTAATGATCCTAGGAGCTAGGTTGTCTGAGGCTTTATCCCTCTGGTAGGGTCACCCATGGCTAACAGGTCCTAGGTGAGGGATCAGACAAAGAGCAGCCCAAAGACCTCTCATGATGAATTATATAAATGGAAACCGTGTTCCCTCGCCCGGACGTGGGTCACTGGGGCCCCCCTCTGGAGCCAGGCCTGGAGGTGGGGCACGTTGGCGAGCGCCTGGGCTTTCACCCATGGAGCCTGGCCGGGCACAGCCCGAAGAGGAAACGTGGGTCCCCCTTCCCATTGGCTCGCCACTCGTGGGAGGGGCCAAAGGGGTAGGGTGTAGTGTGTGACGGGTGGTAGTCGAGGGCGGGGACCTTGGCGGTCTGATCCTTGGCTACAGAAGCTAGCTGTTGGCACATGGAATGTCACCTCTCTGGTGTGGAAGGAGCCTGAGTTGGTGTGTGAGGTTGAGAGGTTCCGACTAGATTTAGTCGTACTCACCTCAACGCACGGCTCTGGCTCCGGAACCTGTTTCCTTGAGAGGGGTTGAACTCTCTACCACTCTGGAGTTGCTCCCACTGAGAGGCGCCGAGCAGGGGTGGGCTACTAGTTGCCCCCCCATCTTGGTGCCTGTACGTTGGGGTTTACCCCGGTGAATGAGAGGGTAGCCTCCCTCCGCATACGTGTGTGGGGGGACGGGTTATGACTGTGGTCTGTGCTTATGCACCAAACTACAGTTCAGATTACCCACCCTTTGTAGAGACCTTGCAGGGGGTGCTGGAGAGCGTTCATCCCGGTGACTCCCTCCTTCTGCTGGGGGACGTTAATGCTCACGAGAGCAACCACAGTGAGACCTGGAGAGGCGTGATTGGGAGGAACGTCCCCCCTGATCTGAATTTGAGTGGTGTTTTGTTATTGGACTTCTGTGCTAGTCATGGATTGTCCATAATGAACACCATGTTTTTAGACATAAAGGTGTCCACATGTGCTCTTGGCACAAGGATACCTTGGGCCGCAGCTCGATGACCGACTTCCTTGTTGTTTCATCTGACCTGCGGCCGCATGTCTATGGAACAGATGTCTGACTCCCTCCTGATAAAAGCTAATGATTGTGGAGGGACTCCATGTGCTTGGATGCAGGCTATTTGTCTGCACGATCTACGTGGTGGTGGATTCAGGATTCTGGTCTGGACTGGCTCCTTTTGGAGTTGAGCAATGGACAATTCTACATGCAGGATCCCACCGGTTGTGCTGCCTCTCCTTGGAGGGTAAGGATGGTCAGTGGTTCATGGTGGGTCTTAAAATGCTGCATTAAAGACTAAAATCCTATGATAGAGGCCTGCTATCCCTAAAATATTAAAAACGGAAGTGATATAAATAAATGAAACAAACACGAGCTGGTATATGTGGCCTGGGAAAAGCCAGCTACAGGGAAACGTGTTCTCACATCACTTTATTCCTCAAATAGTTCAGAACTTTGTGTTTTCGTAACATTTATCTTTATTCATGTTATGAGAAGTTTTGCATTGTTTGGAGAAAAAATCATGACAACATAAAATCTCCTTGAAAGTTTTTGTATTTTTTAAACAAGTTTAGCCCGTTAATGCTCTAGACATGTGTTAACATCAAAGCCATATGACCCATTCCTACCCAGATGATTTAAACCAGCTTTAATCAATGAAAAGAGAAAAAGTTATAAACAACATGAAGGAGAACCGGAGCAGATCTGCAGCCGCATGATGCTCTGCTACTGAAAGGTCAGGATGCCTCATTCACACCAAATGCAGAGATCAGTTGAGTCCAGTCGGACCGAGTCGTTTACACCAGCTGTGGTGCGGATCCGCCGCGTGAGGATTGTCATAAAGTTAAAGAACAAACATGAGCCAGACAGGAAGTGAGATGTGTTTCAGCGCTAGTGAGTTGAACGAAATTATTTTTATTTAATATTCAAGGCTTTATTTATGTTGCACGTTTCATACACAGAGACTATGTGCTTTCTATTAGCAAGAACATTAAAACCAATGGGATAGAAAATATAATTAAAACATTAAAAAGAAACAATGTTAAAGTTCTACTTTTGGAGAATCACCAACACACTTTACTAAAAGAGTACTCGTGGTACGAGAAAATGGCTCAGGAAGTCCATAGGTCAAAAAGGTAGGAAACACTGAACTAGAGACTTGTTAAAGCTTTATCATGTGGTAATGTGACACCTGGTAAAAGTGTAACACTTACAGAAAGAAACAGAAGACACTGTAGCGTTATGAAGCTTATAATGGTCTGCCCTTAACAGCTGCCCCTTCACACAGTAACATCTCCAAGGTCGGACGCTTGGTTCAGTATGTTTACATTCCAGGAGAAGAGACAGAAGAACAGAAGAAGAACGCTTTTCATTGATTAATCAAAGTACTTTATTTGTGATAAGCTAATCAAAGCATTTGTTGATCATTAATAATCAGGTGAATGATCTGTGAAATAAAGATGTCATGAGTTATGTGTTTAAATGCACCAGACAGACTGATATACTTTACCATGGAAACGCATGACACATTATTTTCAACCAATCAGAACTTTTGTCTGTGGTAGGGCAGAATCTGGTTTGTTTATGAAAGTAGTCCAATCCGGTTTACTAAGATTCATAAACAACTGGGAGATATAAAAAGAAGGCAACGCCATTTTAAGTTGTGTTCCACGTTAAGTTCCATGTTGACATCAGCTCTGTTCGATCCGAGCTCCAAAGGAGTTACATCATACTCTCAACATTGTTTTCAACCAGCTCTCAATCCATCACCGCAAAGAGGAGTACAGACTGGCCATCTGTATTTCCTATTTTAAGCTGAGATCTGTCAAGCTGGAGATTTCCTTCGTTTGTACCAACGATACAACGTTCCTTCAAAATAAGAGTGAACTTGCTGACGCCTGCCGACTACTGGAGTTATCCTCAGACGGGCGTTGTGTGCTGTGACCGCTGTTTCAACCAGCTCCAGTACAACCGAGGTCTTAGGACCTGGCAATTCCTGATCTACACGGGAGACTCCATCTACGGTACGTGGCAATATGGCGGCTCATGTCATCAGCTTCTGAAGCCTCGTGGTAGCCTAGTCATAACAAACCAGATTCACTACGTTAGCCTAGAGATTCTGAACAAAAAACACACACACCACCACAAAACATCTAAATCCATATGCATTCATCATTGAGATAGTCCTGGTAGATTGTAAGAATTTATAATTATAGAAATTAAAGATTCTTAAACGATCCCAACTCTCTTTTCTTGTCTCTCAGTCAATACAGAGTGTTTAAGTAAACTCCCTGATGATAAAAACAACCACTTCTGATTGATTACTTAGACTTAATTCCAGTGTATAAATATACAAAATCAGATAATTAAATTATCTAATTACAGTATATAAATATACAACTTCAAATCACTACAACACCTTCAGGTGTTTATCGTGGTGTCAGACAGGTGAACTCTGACCTTCTGGATTTTATAACGAAGAACACTGATGACCCAATAAATACAAGCCATAGTAATATTAATATTTTGAGTTTTCAGTAGCAGAAGAGAAGCTGTTGTTGCTGCTCATCAATCCAGGAAGGGTTAAAGGTCACCTCTAAAATAGTCTGTCAGGTTCAGAGGAAACTTGCAGCTGAAGTTGTTCTGCTCTGTTCTAGTTGGAGAACAGAAGTTCTCCTGCAAACCATCTGCCACTTTGTATTATTTTTTAATCATATTCTTACTTCCTATATTTACTTATCTCTTATTTTAATCCTTTTATTTTTCTTTTTGCACCAAGTACCGCCGCAATTTCCTAATGTTGTGATTTCTCACACATATGGCAATAAAACCCTTCTGATTCTGATTCTAAACAGCTAAATGAGCTGTCAGGACCCTTGACCTGCTGACTGAGGCCTGTTTAGTCTGATATGGAGCTCTTGGAGCTGAGTGGGCTGTAAGCTCATCAACTTAACTAGAAAGCAGAGGAATTGTGAAAGCAGTGATCGGAACTGTTGCTGTGTGCTTTAGCATGTTTAAAGAGGAAGTCACCCCCTACCAGAGTATTACTTTTCTCCCACTTCCTGTTTGAAAAATGCAACAAATGCTGTTGCCTAAAGGTTGGTTTATGCTTCACGCGTCCGCGAGGTCCGCACGGCTTCGCGCGGAAAAGTTGCATCATTTTAACAACCACGCCCCTCCACCGCGCCTCCGCACGGCCCAAAATTTCCGCACCGCGCACCTATTAAATTTTCTAACCACGCGGACGGTCGGACGCGGAAAAACATGGCGGACTGGCAAGAACTAGTATGGCAGAGGTTCGTAAATACAGACATTTGTATGATTCAGCTCTCAAAGATCACCGTGATCAACATGTTGTTAATAATTCTTGGAGAGAAATAGCTCGCACTGTCGGAAAAGACGAGGACGCTGTTAAAAAAATGCTGGAATGCCATGTTGTAAACAACAGTAATTTCTACTTCTACTACGGTGTAGTGTTGGATGCATGCCGTAGAGCTCCATGCTGCCCCCTACAGTTTGGGAGAATATTGGTTCACCGCAGAGACAAGCCGCACGAACCATAAACGCTGCAAGTTGACAAGCGCGTTCCATCCGCGAGCCGCATCACCAAGCGGAAAGTGAATGCGTCAAGCATAAACCAAGCTTAACAGACCGAGGGAGCGGAGCCGCTAACAAATACACACACACAGACATACACACAGGCTCGCAACAACATTGTGACATCATATGGTACCAGCTAACATTCTAGGGTACCTCTTAGCCAATAGCAATGGCAGATTTAAATTCAACTGCAGTGCTGAGTTTTTACCTGACAACGACACAACACTGACAGTTTTAGGCAGAAAATTTAAAATTTAACAAAAATGCACTAAAGTACAAAACTATTGACTACATGTGTCTACAGCATGATTTGACACTCATTTATACAGTTTATCAGGGAAAAAAAGCTGATTTGGGGTGACTTGCTCTTTAAGTTATCTCTAATTCCATGCTGAGTTCTATTGTAGGGAGGAAATCTGACGTGGAGACTGATAGGAGCAGCTGGAAAGCACTAAACTGATGTAACCGACTATATGGGCCAAGTTCACACAAGAACACGTCTTCAGCTGAGTACAAAACCCAACAAGTTTAACCCCAAAAACCCTGAAACTACTTTGACATAATCCACTGTTTTATGCTGTTTAACTCTGGTTTACATGAGAAACATCTGCTGGAATGTTCACAAGAACACAAACAGGAAAGGATTTTTAAATAATTGAACCAAAACCTGCCTTGTGTGTTATTAAATACATTTTCTGTGATATGAAAGGAGAAAACAAAGCATCGTTTTCTCACATTTCTTATCATCATAAACTGGATTTACATAATGAGTATAAGGATATATCTAATTATGCAAGTCAATAAAACATAATATGGGTTCAGTGATATGTGTTTTACAGCAGGGAGTTTCTGCTTTCTCATTTAGATAAGAGATAACAGAAATAAACCATTAATGTGAAATCGTTCAAAGATTCACCGATCAAAACAAGTTTCTCTTTAAACTAAAACAATCCAATTAAGTTATTAAAACACATATTACTTCAAAAGTCTGCTGTGGTTTATGAATCCCTTTTTTTTTACTCATGATTTTATGAGGTTAGTCTGCTAATCTGAGGACCACATGAAACAGACTTTTAATGTGAAATTCGGACCAAAGTTCCTAGCAGCAGGGTTATATAACACCAGCGCCTGAAGCACTTCACATAGTCCGAGGCTAAAAGAAATAAAGCGTCTCGGAGAGCTGCTTGTTTATTCTGCAGAAGACGAGATAAAACATGCAGTCAATCATTTCAAAGAACGGGTCCGAAACTCCAGAACCGGTGAAAGCTCAAGTCAGAGGTAAAATATTGCATTCAATAATTTGATGAAACATGTTTGTCACTGACTTCTAAAACGGTTTTATGTAAACTCAGCATTAAAACAACAGTTTAAAACTGGAATCAGAAACAAACTAAATGTATTTTTGTCCCAGAAAGTTGAAACATACTTTTATATTTGTTGGTTTTCTAAAATCTTCATTATAAACAGATTGTTTCTGTTAGTACCTAATGTTTATCTGGGGCTGTGCAGTGGCACTTTGGTTAGAGCTGTTGCCTTGCAGCAAGAAGGTCCTGGGTTTGATTCCCAGCCTGGGGTCTTTCTGCATGGAGTTTGCATGTTCTCCCTGTGCATGCGTGGGTTCTCTCCGGGTACCTCCCACAGTCCAAAAACATGACTGTTAGGTTAACTGGTCTGTCTAAATTGTCCTTAGGTGTGAGTGAGTGTGATTGTTTGTCCTGTGTGTCTCTGTGTTGCCCTATGGTGGACTGGCTCTCTGTCCAGGGTGTACCCCGCCCGATTGCCCATTGACCGCTGGAGATAGGCACCAGAACCCCCCCCCCCCGACCCTACGTGGACAAGCGGGGTCAGACAATGGATGGATGGATGGATGGATGTTTATCTGTCTCTATAGCCTCAGTGGTCAGTGGCAGAGTGTCCACCCTGGGACTGGGAGATCGGACTTTAAATCCCAGTTAGGTCATACCAAAGACTTTGAAAATGGGACCCAACCTTTTAGGGGTTGGATTAGGGGTTTAAACCACCAAACACTTCAGCTCTCCCCATGGGGATGGGTCAAATGTGGACATGTAATTTCACCAGTGTGTGTGATGAAGACTATGGGACTTTACTGCATTAAATTATTTAATTATGTTTTTCTACTAAGCAGAAACAGCTGCTCCAGCTGTAGAGGGGATTTTATTCTATCCATCCATCCATCCATCATCCATCTTCATCTGCTTATCCTGAGTCGGGTCACGGGGGCAGTAGCCTAAGTCAAGAGGTTCAGACTTCCCTCTCCCCAGCCACTTGGGACAGCTCCTCCAGGGGAATCCCAAGGCGTTCCCTGGCCAGGTGAGAGACATAGTCCCTCCACCGTGTCCTGGGTCTACCTTTAGGTCTCCTCCCGGTTGGACGAGCCCGGAAAATCTCACGAGGGAGGCATTCAGGAGGCATCCTGACCAGATGCCCGAGCATCCTCAACTGGCTCCTCTCGATGTGGAGGAGCAGCAGGTCTACTCCGAGCCCCTCCCGAATGACCGAGCTTCTCACCCTATCTCTAAGGGAGAGCCCAGCCACTCTGCGGAGAAAACTCATTTTGGCCGCTTGTATCCGCGATCTCGTTCTTTCGGTCACTTTTCGCTCATGACCATAGGTGAGGGTAGGAACGTAGATCGACCGGTAAATCGAGAGCTTCTCCTTCTGACTCACCTCTCTCTTCACCACGACGGACCGGTACAACGCCCGCATCACTGCAGATGCAGCACCAATCCGCCTATCGATCTCACGCTCCAGCTTTCTCTCACTCGTGAACAAGACCTGGAGATACTTAAACTCCTCCACTTGGGGCAGGACCTCATCCCTGACCCGGAGAAGGCTTTTATTCTATTTTATTTATTTTAGTATTTACAACTGTTCTGTAATTTCTCATTTTCTTACAAAAAACCAAACATATAAAACTTTTATTTTGTTTATTTTCAAGCAAATGAAACACATTTATAGTGTTTTAACTGCTTTTATTCATCTGTTGCATATTTTTAAAACTAAAATGAATAAGTAATGATGCTGATTAGATCAGGTTTTCTAATCTGAACGTTAAACACATTTTTCAGAGATTTTGAAGTTCTATGATTAAGAAAGCAGAGATGATTTTTAGTTATATTCCTCAAAGTCAACCATATAATAAGATTAAAGTCATATATGTTTCAGGGGGACCGTTTTTACTGTCGGACATTATGCCGGTAAATTCTGAGAATGAGACCAAAAAACAGACAGGCTGCTGCAAATATCGTGATTTCTAACTGCTTCTAAATGGTTTCATAAATATTAACTTCATAGAAATAAAAGATTTTGCTTTTTGAATGCATGTCAGAAATAAAAAAATATTTTGTTTTGAGCAGAAAATTTTTTTTATCACCTTGTAAAAATGTATAAAAGCATCTTTGTACGAAATCTTTGTTTCAGATGGAATGAAGTCGATTTTATTGACATTTACCATTTTTAGTCAAGAATTCATGAGTTTTTCTTTCTTCTTCAAACATTTACAGAACATAGAGCATCTCAGATATGATGAGCAACTCACCTGTTTAAAAAAACATTTACAAAACACATTTAAACCAGAACAGACGAGTTTTACATTTATCCTTCTTGTAACATGAATGAACATCAAGCTGGATCTCGAATGTAAAAAGACCATTGTTACCTTTGACCTCCAGGGTCTGTCCCCACCTGGCTGCAGGGCACGCTGCTGAGGAACGGACCGGGCCTTTTCTCCATCGGTAACTCTGAGTACAATCACTGGTTTGACGGCTTGTCGCTGATCCACAGCTTCACCTTCAGTAATGGTCAGAGTTTAATAAACCCTGTTGGAATGTAGCAGGACCATCACAGTCAATATAAACAGCAAGTGACAATAAATAAATGTGATGTGTGTAGGAGAGGTGACCTACAGAAGCAAATTTCTGAAGAGTGACACCTACAGGAGAAACATCGAGGCAGACAGGATCGTCGTCTCTGAGTTTGGGACCATGGTTTATCCTGATCCCTGCAAAAACATCTTCTCCAGGTACAGCACATGGACAACATACAGGAACGGGGTCAACAACTTGGTCTTAGTGAGTCTTTCTACAGACTTTAGTTAGGTTTGTTTTGATGAAAGTATTCATGTTTTTAGCTGGGAGTGGGTTTGCCTCCAAAGAAGAGCTTCTACTATCTTGGTGTCTTGTTCCTGACTCAGTGATGGTAGGATGAAGAAGAGATGGCTCAAGAGACTAGAGCTTCATCTGAAGTAATGAGGCTGTCTGTCTATCAGAGGTGTGGACTCGAGTCACATGGCTTGGACTCAAGTCAGGCTCGAGTCATTATTTTAATGACTTCTGACTTGACTTGATAAACTCTATAAAGACTGGACTTGAATGCCAATGACTTGCGACTTGAATCGACTTGCATCTGTTGACTTGATGATGACTTGAGCACATATGATATTTTAGCACTAAAGTGGCACGACATGAACAAAAATCGTGAATGATTCTTCGTTCTTGGTTTGATTTACTGCTAAATTTAGCAGCACTTTGTTTATGAACAGTTTCAGTTGCACTTTCTGCTTGTTTGAGCAAATCAATGAAGCTTTATTTCTGGAATTTATTTATCATCATCATTAAATTGAAGTTTGACAAATGACTTGATTTTGACTTGAAAATTCAAAGTTAAAGACTTGAACTTGACTTGTACTTCCACATAACTGACTTTGGACTTGACTTGGACTTGGTTGTCTTTGACTTGGACTTGACTCGAGACTTGACTGGAAAGACTTGTGACTTACTTGTGACTTGCAAAGCAGTGACTTGGTCACACCTCTGCTATCTATACCCTCAACTATTGTAACATTTGGATCAGGACTAGAATAAACGTCCTCCCTAGGGTGGATGGGTTCTGCTTTAAAGATAAGGTGAGGAGGCCATTTTCTTCTGGCACTCGCAGAGTACAGACGCTTCCCTTTTTCTCCCTTATCTTTTTTTTCCCAAGGCTCTTTGTCCTGTCTGCCCACAGAGCGCTTCTCTGCACTTCTCCTGAAAATCACTATTTTTTCCGATATGGATTTAATTAATTGGTCATTCAACGCGATTGTTAAGATTTTTTCAACGATGAGAACGGAGCAGGGGGCTCCCACTTGCCCGCAATGGACACACCCGGTGGGGTATATGCTAGATTCCTGGAAAGAATGGAGGATCGTATGCCTCTCCCAGTTGTCCATTGAGGACGTTGAAGATGTGTGGATATTCGGCCTAATGATCACTGGATTTCTCCTGATTGGAGTGGGAGGATATCTGGTTTTCTGGAAATTTGGGAAGACAGGAGCGATTGGAGGGCGTCCCGCACCCGCGGAAAGCACCGTTCGTGTGGAGACCTCACAGACTGGGACGTTACTCGAGGTGAATCGTAAGCTGGACAGTGTTCTAGCTGCCTTACCGGTATTAGTGCGCAAAATGGATGTCATCTCGGAGAGGGTCACCGGACGGTGTGGAGATGTTTAAAACCTGAATTGGCTTCACTGGAGGACTTGAATGATCAGTTACAGACTTGATGGCAGAGAGGAAAATTATCTCTGCCTTACCCAAACAAAGTCTTGTTATCCAAATCTGACGCCATGGCAGCCTTGTGAATGCCAACAACAAAACCCCCACGAAGGAAGGAATGCAGACAGATGCCGTGAAAACCCGACCTACCCCCCCCACCTTCGGATTGGTGGACTTCAGCCTGGCGAGGTCACCAACCTGCAGGTGTAAATGTGCCCTGCGCTCCTCCCACGATCTCCCTCCCACCTGTGGCTACAGTGGATGAGTGCCATACAGGGCTGCTCTTGCTGGGGAAACAGGATCCCAGCCCCCCCCCACCCCACCCCCCACCCCCAGCCCCCCCGCCTTCCTCTCAGTGTCTCATGTTGTGAACTGTTGATGTTCGTGCTTATATGCTTGAGGCGTTTTTTTGCACAGTAAAGCTACGCCCTGCTGGGAGTAACTCTGGTATGCCTTTTTTTCCCTCCCCAATTTATCCTCATGTGATCCCCTTTTCATCTAACTGAAATGAATGCCATTATGGCTGCTCTCGTGGTCTGCCTGTGTCTGTTCTGTCTACATGTGTGTGTGTAACCTTGGTCAGGCTGTGCTGCGGAGTCAAGTTCCTATGCTCTGGTTTGCTGGAGCGCTGGCAATAAAGCTTTGTGGTTCTTTTGCCTTATCAAAACACAAGAGACAGACAGCTTTGTCCAAACACAGCGTGGGGCATTTATTTGTACAATTCAGCAATACATCACCAGCAACTCATGGGGACAGCATCCAGCCCGGAACTAAGATAGCCTCGGCTGGAACCTTCTGCAAAGCCCCTCCTGCCCTCAACACGCAGCATCAGTTATACTCGTGTTCCTGGCGCTGCTCCCACATTCCTTTGATTTCAGAAGAGGATGGGGTGCTGTTTTTCACCTCCCAATATGGTCCTAGAAGTTAAACCTTACTGGAAGTTACATAAGCTGGACTGAACAACAGGATGTCAAATTGCACGTACACGGAACACTACTTTTGGCTCCTACAGCTTTTTCTGATTTCTGATTCTGAGGAGCTCCATCTGGGCGACCTCCGAGTGAAGCTGCTGCTCCTCCTCATCAAAAGGAGCCAGCTGAGGTGGTTCTACGGGTCAACATACTCACTCGTGACAAAAGATTAAATGAATTATTACAAATACGTTCTAAACCCTTCTCACAGGGCAATGTCACACTTCCGTAACATCATCCCCGACTTCACAGACAACAACTTGATCAACATAATCCGCTACGGTGAGGACTACTACGCCTCATCTGAGATCAACTACATCAACAAGATAGACCCAGAAACCTTGGAGACTGTTGGCAGGGTGTGTTTGTGTACCACCGAGTTATTAAAAACTCCACAGCTAGGCGTTTATTCTCACTTCACACATTTCTGCTCAATTCCAGGTGAACTACAGGAACCACATAGCCTTGAACCTGGCAACTGCTCACCCTCACTACGACCAAGAGGGCAACACCTACAACATGGGCACCGCCATCATGGGCCTCAGTGGGCCAAAGTACATCATCTTTAAAGTCCCAGCGAGCACCACAGGTTCGATGCTTTAATACTAATGAGATACCGTTTACAGATTTATCCAAGGCTGCTATCAAAACACTGTAAAAGTGTTTGACATCAGATCGTGTTTAGGTGTTAGATAAAAATCCACCGTCTACAGCACTTCTTCTAGTATTTACAACCCTGTTCCAAAAACAAATTAGAATGCTGTGTGAGCTCCAAACACTAATTAGTCATGATGGACTACTGGCAGGTAAACGTATAACTGGGTTAACACAAGTCATAATCCAGGTCAGCACCACTGACTGAGGTCAAAGGGTCAGGCTCAGGTGGTCTGCTGCTTTTTCAATGAAAGTAATTGGAAGTGTGATGTGAGAGTGTGTGAGAAAAGTCAGATGTGTGTGTTTCACACTCTATGTGTGAGATTTGGCCGCCCTGCTACATTTATGCCTTTATTTGGGGAAAAAAAATTTATTTGATGGTTCCCATGTGAAGAGCATAGCCTGGCAAGTCAGACTAAATAAATGTATTATTCAGTCTGGCAACACTCCATTGACAGCTCTCGATCGTGGGGCGGTTTCTACCATTGTCTTTCAAACGATCTCCGCATGCTACTGGACAGTAAACAATGTGACGTACTCACCGCAACGGATTTAGAAAGTTGGCTCTCCGGAAAGTACAGCAGGTCTGTTCCATCCCTTTCCGGTCCGCTGTTGAAGAAGGGGAAAATACATACTTTTATCTAAAAAAAAAACTTAAATACATCTATCTGCTCCTGATTCTAATAAAGCCCAAGTCCAAATAGTCCAAAATTGATGTAAAAGCCATTTTAAATTAGCTGTCGCCATCTCGTTCCACTCTAGACCAAACTTTGCAAAGCAAGAATTTGGTCTAGTTCACTGGGCTACTTATAGCAAGACAACGCTCCCGAAACCCATTGCCAACCCCATCTCCAATCTGTTTGTTTCAGATAAAGAAAACCCAAAGTTGGCTCTCAGTAAAGTACAGCAGGTCTGTTCCATCCCTTTCCGGTCCACTCTGTTCCCGGGCTACTACCACAGCTTTGGCATGACCGAGAACTACATCGTATTTGTGGAGCAGCCCTTCAAACTGGACATTGTCAAACTCGCAACTGCCTATTTCAGAGGACTCAACTGGGGGAACTGCCTCAAATTCGATGAGAACGACATTGTAAGTGGAGCCTCGTTGGTTGGTTTCACACAAATTGCATTTCTCCTAGCACTTGAACAGCAACAGGAAACACTCAATACCACAGAAACACTGAACTAAGGATGTAGGTGTTCCTTATTTGGAACGTTGGTCCTTCACTCTGTGGGTTAATGGTGACAGGACTGTCTCTTACCAAGTTACCAAGGGGTATTTAACTACAATATCAGCACAAGCAACCATAAAACAGGTCATCCTAACACTTTTTTTTTCCCTAGACGGTGTTTCACGTCATCAACAAAAAGACAGGAAAGAGAGTGTCCACTCGTTTCTATGGAGACGCTCTTGTTGTTTTCCACCACATTAACGCCTACGAGGATGACGGCCACGTGGTGTTTGATTTAATCAGCTACAAGGACAGCAACCTGTATAACATGTTCTATCTCCACAACATGAAACAAGAAACCAACAACTTCATCGAGAAGAACAAGGTCTTCTCACCGCCAGTTTGCCAGAGATTTGTTTTACCGCTTGATGTTCAAAAGGTACAGAGAAACCCAGATTTTACCATGAAACCTAGAAGATTTTCTTCTCCTTCATCATCACTGCTGGTGAATGTTTCAGGAATCTCCCAGAGGAACTAACTTGGTAACTCTAAAGAACACGACGGCTAAGGCAGTGATGCAGGAGGATGCATCTGTTTACTGCCAGCCAGACATTCTATTTGAAGGTTTGTGATGAACTTGGTTCCACTAAAAGCTGATGACCAGCCAACACCAGATCTGATGAATCTGACCCCTCTGCAGGTCTGGAGCTGCCGGGCATCAACTACAGCTTCAACAGCAGAAAGTACAGATACTTCTATGGCTCCAGGTTGGAGTGGTCTCCTCATCCCAACAAGGTAAAACCTGTTCTATGGTCTCCTACAGCAATGTGGAAAAATTAACTGTGTTAAAAGAAAAAAAAAGATGCTGAAAAAGATGATTCAATCCAATTCAATTCTAGTTTATTTATAAAGCGCCAAATCATGACAAGAATCCTCTCAAGGCACTTCACATAGTAAACATTCCAATACTGGTCATTTAATTAAGCCAATCAGAAAAAAGTTTCCTACATAAGGAACCCAGCCAATTGCATCAAGTCACTGACTAGTGTCAGTGACTTTACAGCAATCCTCATACTAAGCAAGTTTTTAGCAATAGTGGAGAGAAAAACTCCCTTTTAACAGGAAGAAACCTTCAGAGGATCCTGACTCAGTATAAAGCCAAGCGTACACTGTGCGACTTTTTCACTTTTTTGAGCCGATTTTCCAGTCGTGCGAGAAGCCACGACATCGGGGCGAGTTTTGCGCCGAGCGGTCGTGTAGTGTACAGGGGGTTACGAGAGGCGATTAACACCACGTGACCAGCTGCCGATCAGCAGTCGTGAGGTCGCAGGGACTTCTGGTGTGTTTAATATTTCGCTCGTCCCTCGTGAGGGTATCGCACTGTTGGAGCGGCGCTGCGAGCAGCTGCGAGCAGCTACGATCCAAAAAAGTATCAGAACCGCTCACGGCGCATGCGCGCGCAATCCTACATCAACGCCAGTCGCTCACTATTTCCCTAATAACACACGCTGTTCGTTTTTGTTTCTACACGTTTTTTTTACTCACAAAGATTGTCAAGAAAGCGTGTTTGTCGTGTTCATGTCAAATTAAACTGATCACAAAACACAGATTCACTTTCTTTATTTCGTTTTCCTCATCCAACCCCCATAAATCCCTGTGTTTCCTCCTGCAGCACTCCCGAAGGACAACAGGCAAGACAAAAAAGTCTGACGTGTTGAGTAAAAACTGCTATTTTTAGCACATTTTTAGGGCCGACGTGTTGCTACCAGACGTACAGTGTGAGCAGTCAGGTCGCATGCGAGAACTGGGTCGTGCAGTGTGAGCACATGACTCGTGAGATCTGCTCTGCGAGGAAGTCGTACAGTTTGAGCTGAAGCTGAACGCTGCGAGTGAAAAAGTCACACAGTGTACGCCCGGCTTAAGCAGCCATCCACCACGACTCACTGGGGATCGAGAAGACAGAGCAGACACACACACACACACACACACACACACACACACACACACACACACACACACACACACACACACACACGCACTTACACACACAAACACACATACACAATATATGTACCAAGTAGTGTTTCTATGGTTACATTGTGATTTCTTAGTAAATATTCTATTTGGTGAGAGACAAGCTTTATTGTATTTGTCATAGTGAATCTATAATTAAACAGGTAAACTAGCAGTAGCACATCCAATGTCAAGGAAAGTTAAGTGTTATTATCAGGAGAGGGAGAATGTTTAAATGGTTAGCAGCAGCGTTCAAGGCAAATAATACAGTTAAAGAGCAGATTGTAGAAGAAAGTAGTCGAATGTGGAAAGTGGTCAGTGTATTCTCCAGCAGTCTAAGCCTATAGCAGCATAACTACAGAGATAACTCTGGATAACCTAGCCTTTTTAATGGAGGCATGTTGGAGGCAGGGCAAGGGAGAGCCGTCTTTACCGACTGTACACTCCACCTCCCTCGACTCCCCCACTTGTCCAGATCTAGGCTAACATCAGATTTTAACCATAGGCCCTATCAAATATTTATGTTTTAAGCCTAGTCTTAAACGTAGAGAAGGTGTCTGCCTCACGGACTAAAGCTGGGAGTTGGTTCCACAAGAAAGGAGCCTGATAGCTAAAAGATCTGCCTTCCATCCTATTTTTAGATATTCTGGGAACCACCAGTAAACCTGCAGTCTGAGAGTGATGTGCTCGGTTAGGAACACATGAAACAATCAGGTCACTGATATATGACGGAGCTTGATTATTAAGAGCTTTATATATGAGAAGAAGGATCTTAAAATCTGTTCTGAATTTAGCAGGCAGCCAATGTAGGGGAGCTAAGACAGGAGAGATATGATCTCTCTTTTAAATTCTCATCAGAACTCCAGCTGCAGCAATGATGTCGTATCTGGTCTTCTGTAACTCCGCAAACTATTTGTTCACCTTCCGATTCATTGAACTCTGATCAAACAGGAAGAGAAAGCCACCACACACCTTGTTTCAATCAATCCACTCATTATTTATCCGTGTACACTTGGGGAGATTCGTCCCCTCCTGGTTTCCCTGTGATGAATCTGACTAGATCTTCTAAATGAATAGATTTTATTATCCTACCCTGATGTTAAGTCAGAACTTGGTACCTCTTCAAACGTAGCGGAAGGTCATAAACCTGTCGGCCTGGTAAACAGCATTTCTATGGCTATCTCACCCTGAAGATGAGTCGCTGGGACTGCATCTGGCTCTGGTCTTTTGGTACCCAGGTCCTCCTGACATGACCTCTGCCTCTGGACAGCCTGAAGCTTCAACTTTTATTACCCCAAGTCTGGTCTTCACACAGCCTGTGGCGCCTTGTGCACTTGGCTGAAACTCCAACCAATATAAACATGCACACATCAGATATGGGTGATAATCAATATTAAGGTGCACCGGCTCAGTGGCCTAGTGGTAGAGTGTCCTCCCTGAGACTGGGAGATCAGGGGTCCGACTCCTGGTCGGGTCATACCAAAGACTTTGAAAAAAATGGGACCCAATGCCTCCTGCTTGACACTCAGCATTAAGGGGTTGGATTGGGGGGTTAAACCACCAAATGGTTCCCGAGCGCGGCTGTGTCTGCAGCTCACCGCTCCCCCAGGGGATGGGTCAAATGCGGAGAACAAATTTCGCACACACACCTGTGTGTGTGACAACTAATGGGACTTTAACTTTAACTTTAACAAATCATAGGTGAATCAATCAAAATGGGTATAAGGATTAACATGAGAATGACTAGAATTAAGTTTAAGGATTACATGTGTGATTAAACATTTTAAAAATCCTTCAACAGCCAATGAGTAAAGCTGCTAAGTTTGATTACGTTTTGCTTCAACTAATAATTTTGAAATACATATTTTGACGTAATGCTTTAATTGTAACTGAGGAAACATTTTACTCGTGATTAGGCTGAATGTTGCTGTTATTAGATAAAAGTTTTATTTACAGCAACTGATCTCATTTCATCTTTTGTGCATTGGTTTTATGTTTCTTCTAATTACTTGGTTCTTTTTTGAACACAGAAAAGGGTTGCTTTACCTTTTTTCGCTGACATTTCAACTGCAGGAGTAGTCGAAACGTCAGCAACAAAGGGTAAAACAACCCTTTTCTGTGATCTCATTTCAGTTTTGTTTCCAAAAGAAATCATGAGATTGAAACATGAACGGGATCCAGGTTTCAGTCAGAACCAAACTGACTCCAGAAATCTGTCCAACAGATCGCTAAAGTGGACATCACCACCAAGACGCACGTCGAGTGGCACCAAGTGAACTGCTATCCTTCAGAACCAGTGTTTGTTGCCTCTCCAGGAGCACAAGAGGAAGATGATGGTGAGGTTCTCCTACAGGTTCTGACAGATTATTATTGTCTGGTTCTGACTGGCTTTATTATCTGGTTCTTTATGGTTTAAGGTGTCATCCTGTCCTCCATCATTTGCTCGGATCCCGGTGTTTCTCCATTCCTGCTCATCCTAAATGCCAGAACATTTGAGGAGATTGCCCGTGCCTCCATTCCTGCTCCGGTCCACATAGACCTTCATGGACTTTTTATCCCTGCAGCTGTTTGAGCTTCCAGCCTCCAGCTTAAGTTTGAGCTTGGTCTATCAGAGGATGTTCCCTCATGAAGTTTTACCACTTTTAGCAATGAGTTTAAGAACAAATGTTGCCTTGTTAGCAAACAGAAGTTTTAGCTCAGCGGCAGCTAAATGCTATTTATTGTTTTAAAGCAAAACAGAAATCTTAGAGTTTTAGTTTTTGAATAAAAAAGAAATTTGAAACTTTTTTCAGGTGTTTCTATAATTTACAATATAAATTAAACCATAGAATGCTGCTGTTTTGTCCTTGGGCAACACCACATTGCCTGCTGGTGGTGGTTGGAGGGACTGGTGGCGCCTGTTCGGCAGGCCTCACCTCTGTCAGCTGTGCAGATGTGCCGCTCATCCCCACCAGCGTGTGAATGGGCGGATGACTGGTTGTGTTGTGAAGCGCCTTGGGGGGTTGTAGAACGCTAAGAGGGCGCTATACAAGTACGGGCCATGCCGTCGTCCGCTTATTGAAGGTTGGGTTGCGGAGCCGACAGGACCAGACTTCCCTCTCCACAGCCAAAAGTAGTATACTTCAAGTACATTTTATTAAGTACACTAAAGTATACAAAAGTACATGTTCCCAAGTATACTTTTATCTCTCCATGTATTATATGTATACAAGTATACATACAGTTTACTATCAAGTATACTTCTTCGGGCAAAATTGGCCCACTTGAAGTTCATAAAAGTATACTTCAAAGTTCACTTAAAGTAAACTTCCAAATGTACTTTTAGTTTACTTGTGATTAACGTTAAGAATGCTTTTAGTTTACTTGAACTTTGAGTAAACTTTTAGTTTACTTATGAAGTTTATGTGTTCTTTTAGTTTACTGGTAATGAACTTTAAGTATACTTTTAGTTAACCTGTGATGAACTTTAAGTATACTTGTAGTTTATGAAAGTACACTTTATTGTAGTCTAAATGCAATCTTCAGTGTACACTATTAGTTTAGTACCAGGTAACCTTTTAGTTTACAAAAACCACACTATGATGTATACTGAATATAACCTTTTAGATTTTCCATTAGTACTATAAATAAACTTCCATTATTCTCTGCGTTTTAATGCCAAGTAAAAAAAATGTGACAGAAATAGAATTCAGGTAATTTATTGGATCCAAAGATTTCCAGTAAAATGTAACTCCACTCACTAACCACAGCACGGCAGTGTGAAGAAAAATCCACAGAAAAAGAACGGAGAGTAAAAACATAATAAGAGGTAAGATAAGATAATCTTATATTAGTCTCACAACTTGCATTGTCACAGCAGAAAGTGGACAATACAAGATAAAAATTTAAAAATCAATAAAAGTAAATAAACATGAGAAGAAAAGCTATACCAACATAGCAGTACACTGTGCAAACAGTCTAGAACTATACATGTGTATGTGTGTGTTGAAATATTTAATGGTATATAGGCATGTAAGAAAATATTGATATGGCAAAATATTGTGATATTTTTTCTTGCGATATTATATCTATATTCAAAAGCCGTGTATCTAATTTTTGGAAGAATTCACATGCAAACATTTGTGTCTTTTCTTTTGTTTTGGTGCAATTCAAATGTGGACTACTAGTTGGCAGCAGCGTACAGTCGGTTCTGTTTCCACCATTGAAACGTAAATCCCTATATGGTTCAGATACCTCATGTTAAACATGTCACATATTAGTTTGGACTGTTTATTGAATTTTCCTACAGTAAATTCAGTCTAAAAAATTGTTAATATCGTCTGACTGAATGTATCACAATATATTGTGATATATTGTATTGCTTCCTCTGTATCGTGATAAGTATCGTATCGTCAGAATTTCACCAATACACATCCCTAATGGTATATATGTATGTACATATGTCCTGAGTGGAAATATAAATATATGTGTATGGTCGCACATGTTACAATAGAAAACTGCACTCATGAAATATTGCACATAAACTACCATTGTGTACTAGATGTGCGTTATTAGTCCATGTGTGTGTGATCAGCTGTAAACAATGTCCAATGTGTGTCCAAGGACTTCTTTGCCAAAGCCTGCTTATAGCTTTTGTTGCTGAACTTTTTTCTGATGATTCTTCTGACGTCTTGCACACTTGTGCCTGGGAACTTTGACAGAGCCTGGCCCGTTAAAGACAACAAACATAAAAAGGAAACATTAATATCCACTCAAAGCTACAAATAAAGTAATGATGTAAGTGTCTAAGTTCCTCTCGTGGTGTCAGGTTGTATAAATTATTTCAGTGATTCAACTCATGTCATTCTTAACATCAACAAAGAATATCATTAACAAGGGATAGTGTGCAAGATGCTTTTAAAAAAATTAAACCACAATTTAAGATACTCACCCAGAACGGCATCAAGTTGCTGTTTGGACTCAGGTCGTGGTGTCCTGATTGTCTCCCAGTCAAACTTGAGCAGGACAGTGTTCCCCTGCTCTAGATGAGCACTACAAGGTCTCCGATGTAAACTGAGGGACTTGAAGTCTTTAGAGAGTTGAGCTTCTGTCAGGGGACTTGTACATCAGAGCCTGGCAAAATTCAAGTTTATTTTCAAGTTTGTTTATAAAGCGCCAAATCACGACAAGAGTCGTCGCAATACACTTCACATAGTAAACATTCCAATACAGGTCAGTTCACTAAGCCAATCAGAAAAAAGTTACCTATATAAGGAACCCAGCCAATTGCATCAAGTCACTGACTAGTGTCAGTGACTTTACAGCAATCCTCATACTAAGCAAGCATTTAGAAACAGTGGAGAAAAACTCCCTTTTAACAGGAAGAAACCTCCAGAGGATCCTGACTCAGTACAGGCAGCCATCCGCCACGACTCACTGGGGATCGAGAAGACAGAGCAGACACACACACACACACACATTGTGTAATGTCTGAAGTCTGTTGCATTTCTGTCTGAGGTGTTTTTTGCATAGCAAAGCTGCCCTCCCTGTGGAGGGTAACGCTGAAGTGCCTTTATTTCCTCCACCTGACTCAATCCTCATGTAAACCCTCTGATCTCTATTAAGGTAGCGCGACTCGGGTTGTGAATGACCACAGTCACCAATTCTTGTCATGTGTCTATGCCTGTGTATGTTAGCCTAGTGAACCAGACCAGATTCTTGCTTTGCATATATAGTCTGGCTTGCAAGTAGAGCAATCCATCCCTGAGCTCCGAGACTGAGCCAATATTCCTCGACAGCTCATTAATTTTCCAGTAAGCCAGGTAACCACTCAGGCTGAAAAGCAAGAAACCTGACACCATCACCACGAATATCCAGACGTCTTCAGAATCCTCTACAGACAGTTGAGAGAGGCAGATCAGGTTCCACTGTTTCCAGGAGTCCATGATATGCTCAGCTGACTCTGTCCCAGAGGGGCATCTGGGAGCCCGTTCTCATCGTTGCAACATTTTTGTCAATCGCGTTGAGAGACCAACTGACCAGGTCCAGTGCAAAGCAAGTAGAGGCGTGTGAGCCACTCCAGAGGCTGCTGGACAGGGACGTCCCATGGCACTGGCTGCCAAAGCATGACACCGCTGTAGAAGAGATCAAGCGGCTGGTCACGACAGCTCCAACTCTGGAATACTATGACGTAACCAAGCCAGAGCAACGCTAGTCAGAAAGGACTGGGCTGCTGTCTCTGCAGGAGGGACAGCCTCACGGGCTCTGACTCCAACAGAACAAAATTACGCACAGATTGAGAAGGAGTGTCTGAGTATCTTTCTGCTTTCTCAATGTCCATATTGCTAGATATGCTGAGTTTTAAGGCGAAATCCCGGGGAATTTCGTCTAGAAATGCAATTACCCTAACCGTGCACGATCCCACAGTGGCTAATCATTTTTTGGCAGCCAGTCGATTTATGGCACAACACCTGCTTTCAGCCACTCCCCCTGCTGCGTCCGTCTGCTCTCGTCTGTTTTCCAGGCGAGGCGCTGCTCAACTCAAACAAGCCCATTATATTGGCGCCAGTTCTCTGAATACAGAAACAAGCTCCATGCCTTTTATTTAACGCACAACCAAGGTTCACCTACTACCTACACCATTACTCAACTTTGAGCTATTCGTACCAAAGCTGAGCTAAAAACTTGTAAGGTAGGATTTGCAAACACATTATATACACCTTGCACTTAATATGAGTGAAATAAAATGTAGTACTAAACGGCTGCATCCATGAGGACAAAGTCCAAACAAGTGGAACTAAACTGACTATTCACAGAAAACCTACAAGTTGTTTACAGATGATCAGAGAATTTGCTTTCAGTGAATTCAAATTCAAATTTTTTTTCCAAAATCACAAGTTAAAGTTCAAGAGAAAAATAATTTTGTTTTATTTTATTTATTTGTATTTACACACAGTGGAAGTTTAAATCCGTAAACTGAAAACTCTCATCTGCAAGTTTTATTAGAATCATGGGAATTTATTACATCAACAGTTGCAGTAAAAACTTTTAAATCTTCTGTCACTAATGAGCCCCGCCCCCTCAGGCCCCACCCAGCCTTCCAACATGGCCGCCGAGCCACTCAGCAGTCAAAGTCAGCTTTGTGAAGTCTGTGACCTTTCTGTGGTTCTGAGGGGAACTAGATCCTCCGAGCTGCTCACCATTCTCGTTAGGACAGGCAAGGGGGCGGAGCCTAGGACACGAAGCAGCAGTCACAAATCAGACCAAGAAGAGAAATCAAAATGTTGATGCTGAAGAACAGGCACGTTGGAATACTGAGTGAAATGTGACTAAAATATCACTGTTTAAAACAGTGGAGAGCGGTTCGTTTCTCACAGAAAAACACTTCCTTCTGATGCTTTTGTCCGGTTTGGGTCCTACGTTGCCAGAGGAGGATTGTGTTTGTGTCTCAGGTCCTTCAGATGATCTCAAAGGTCTTCTTAAGCTCCATAATCAGCTGCCAGTCAGATTTCTGCATCTCGTCTCTGAACCAGTTCTTCAGGGCGTCGATGGATGCTCTGGTGATCTGAAACCAAATTGTGATGTTAGTTACCGATATCTAATCAGGCTCCTCCCCCAGGGGGGCGTGTCCTCACCTTGCTGACGATCATGTCGGTGGCTTCAAAGTGGCGTCCGTACATCTTAGGCGACTCTCCAGGGATGGGCTCGATCTTGATGCAGATCTCCTGACCCTTCTTGGCAGTGTCGACAGATTTGTGATTGATCTCGATGCTGGTGACCACGCCGATCTCCACAAACTGGAACACAAACTCAGATTAACGCCGGGGACACACCGGCCGCGGAAGCGCCGAGAAGCGAATCGCTCACGAAATTCGGCCGCTGCTCGCCGCTCCTCAGTTCAGATCAGACGCGCCCCAGTCGAGGCGCGCATCGGCTCAGCTGTAGTTTTTCTTTTAAACACTTGGTGTCCTCCATTTCCTCTCTGCCTTTTCTCAGCTCTTTTCCTCTACGTTTGAGTGTTTGTGCGCGCGCGCGCATACGTGTGTGTGTGAAATAATATTATAAATAAATATTTTCCTTGAACGTGGACACACCTTGTGTGTGTGTGTGTGCGTGCGTGTGTGTGTGTGTGTGTGTGTGTGTGCGCGTGTGTGTGTGTGTGTGTGTGTGTGTGTGTGTGTGTGTGTGTGTGTGTGAACCTATGTTTCTGCCAGTTGAATCTCTTGGAACCCGCTCCAATTCTGCAGCTGTATCCTAGCAGTTTCTTCAGAAATGGGTACGTAAATAAACATGTTTTTCGGGGGGCGTACAGCTCCTTGTGTTTCTCAACTTCCATAATTAATTTAAAGTCATCCATCTTAACTGCTTGCCTCAGACTTTCTGCCTCTGTCCTGTTTGCTCCGTGAAAAGACACCCAAAACCACACCCCCCTTCACGCGGTCACACACGCAAACAAGTTCGATGTGTGTATGTGTGTGTGTTCGTGTGGTTTTTCTGCAGTGAACACATTTGATTGCGTGATTTTATTTTGAAATGCTTTATTTTGTTAACTTTACCGGCCTGCCTCTTATGTCTAGGTTTGACTTCCTGCCAGAATTGACGCGATTCACTCGCGGCTCGCGAAAAAAATAGAGCCGACGCCGAAATGATCGCTGCACGGCGCGAGGCGATTCGCGGCGCTTCGGCGGCCCATGTGGTCTATAGAATAGCTTAACAAGGGCGCCGAATGAAGGCGGTCCCATTTTCGCGGCGCTTCCGCTGCCAGTGTGTCCCCGGCGTAACCCATGCAAAAGTTTTAAAACCCAACCGTGGTCTTTAGAGACTCACCCCTTTGCTTGGAACGCAGAGAGGTGTTCCCTGTTTCAGGATGCCGGCCTCCACTGAAACCCCCATCACGATGGGATCTCTGGAGTTAAAGATGAACTGAGGAAGAACCTTCAGCTTCACTGGGAACACGGCGATGTGTCTGCAGAAACAGAACACTTAAACTTAGAACCTCCTTCAGTCTGACGGCGTTCATAACTCAGGTCGGATCCTTCAGATAAATCAGTGGATTCCAACCACGGTCCTCACAAGCCCCCAACACACCTGATCTTAACTCATTCGCTGCCAGCGTTTCTCACCGTTTTTACTGTTTTTTAACTCATTCACTGCCAATGACGACTAAAGTCGTCGTTTGCATTTTTTTACTGTTTGAGCATCGGAACGAGCCCCCGCGCTAAGAGAACAAACATCTCAGCCCTGAAGCCGATCTTCATCCGCATACGTCACAGATCACATGATCAGGAAGCAACACATCCATGTGTTTGGAGATCGTTTTGGGCCGTTCCTGTAAAAAAAAGTGAGGCGCGAACCGGAAAAGCGTCTGCCGATCACAATTCGACAACGGATTATGAAAGAACGGATAACGCTCGAAACACGCGGCTTCTTCCTGATGCAAGAGGTGAGTCTCCTCTTTGTTTTGGCATCGACATCATGCTAGCACGCAACGTTCTGTGACTTTAAAAAACAGTAAAAACGGCGAGAAACCCTGGCAGCGAAAGCCGTTAGCGATCAAACGGCTGGCAGTGAATGAGTTAAGAGTCACAGAACGTTGCGCGCTAGGATGACGTCAACGCCAAAACAAAGAGGAGACTTGCCTCTTACATCAGGAGGAATCTGCGCATTTCAAGCGTTATCCGTTCTTTCATAATCCGTTGTTGAATTGTGATCGGCAGACGCTTCTCCGGTTTGCGCCTCACTTTTTTTACAACAGCGGCCCAAAACGATCTCCTAACACATGTATTTTCTGCTTCCTGATCACGTGACGTGTGACGCATGCGGATGAAGATCGGCTTTAGAGCTGGGATGTTTGTTCTCACGGTGCGGGGGCTCCTTCGGACGCCCACACAGTAAAAAAATGCAAATGACGACTTTAGTCGTCATTGGCAGTTAAGGAGTTAATCTCCAGAGCTAGACGACCAGCAGAGGTGATTCAACTATTCAATCAGATGTGTTGAATCACAGAAACAACGTGAACATGTTGGATAGTGGCCTTCATGGACCAGGGTTGTCTAAACAGAAAAAATCTAAGATCAAAAACAGGAAATCACTAAAATCATGTTTAAATGGAGGACATCCTTCTGGTCTGGAAGGTGCAGGTTGGTCCTGAAAGACTCAATCAGCTGAGGAACTAGATGTTCCTAGTCTCCAGTCTAAAACTAGAACTTGTCCTACTTGAACTCCTCCTGTTTGGACTTCTTGTAGTCCTCTCGGTATTTGGTGAAGGCATCGAACAGGTGGTAGATGATCTCAGCAGAGAAGATCCGAACCCCTAGACTGTCGGCCATTTCCTGACTCTCCCTCTCCACCTTCACATCGAACGCCAAGATCACTGCGTACCTGCAGACAGAACACGTTACCAGAACCCGACGTGAGGTTCTACAGACCCTTGAGACTTTCAGCAGGTCACGTACTGTGGGTCGTGCTCCAACATGGTGGAGGCCTTCATCACATCCTTCTTATGGACCGGGCCGATGTTGATGCCAGCGTACTGTGGAACACACACACACACACACACCTGAGTTTTCCAAGGTTCTGAGAGCGACCTTATTGAGTGGTACCAAGAAGACCACTGAGGTTGGAGCAGAACCTCTAAAGACCAGAGAAAAAGAGGGAGCAACTCACCGGGACTTTAGATGTTCGGAGGAATTCCAGCAGAGCCTCCAGGGACCCCAGAGTGGACGCCTGGACGTAAACTCCTTTCTCCTCCAGTTTGATGGAGCTCAGGGTCTGTTTGAGCTCCCTCTCCAGTTCATCCTGAGAACCAGTAGAGCCAATGTTACTGGAGCAGCAGACATGATGATGTCCTGAAACGTGTCAGAGGGGGAGGATACGATACCCTGAGCACGGGGACCTCGTCCTCTCTGTGGGCCACCAGCAGGGGGAGCCCTGCTAAGGTCTTCTCCAAGTCTTTACCCAGAATCTTGACTCCCTGAGCAGTGGACACCTCTTTGTGCTTCTCGTACTGGTTCTGGAGACAAAACCAGACCACAGCTTAAAACCACAACTAACCTGAACTCTTCAGAGAGACCCACTGAGACAAACAGGCCGAGGATCCGAACCAGCAACCCATCGGTTATAAGGCGAACTTTTAACTCTTGAACCACCGCCACCAAGTAAGCTTGGTGCTTTTATTTTGAAGGTATTTACTTTGACTCTGAGCTCCTTCAGAGGCGGCGGCAGCAGCAAGCCTCTTATCTGTGTGACGATTGGTCCTTCCACCCCAGGGACGACGATGGTCTCCCCTTCCCTCAGACACCCGTTGATCAGGATGACATCTATCGTGGTTCCCATACCAGGAAGAGCTTTGACCTGAGGACAAAGACCACGCTCAGCTGGGACTGTCTTCAACAGAAGACACCTCAGAAGGTCCACACTCACCTCCATGACCTGAGCCCGCAGCTCATCGCAGTGTGCTAACCGTCGGGCCAGCATGGTCTGCGTCAGCTCCACCAGCAAGGCGATCAGGTTCCCCATCCCGTCCCCGCTGTGGGCCGAGGTGGGAACCAATGACACAAACGTTCTGGGGTCTTTGTTCTCATAGAACAGGGCGGCGTTAAGACTCTGGAAACAACAGGAACTAAATTAAAACCAGAGCCGTGATTGGCTGATCAATGAGGATGTCATGATCCACACCTGCTGGGCAAACTCCACAATGATGGCCTTGGTGCGCTCATCAAACTCATCCTTAGTGTTCTTCTTCTGCTTCTTCAGCGTGGCCACCACATCCGTGTCTGGACTCTTCTTCCAGTCGTAGAGACGGTCGACCTGAAGGAGCACGAGACAGTCAGAGGTCGGGGGGTAATAGGAAGGGTGGGGGGGTGGGACACGACCTTGTTGAGGGCAACGATGAAGGGACACTTCTTCTCCTTCAGCAGGTTGATGGACTCGATGGTCTGAGGCTCGAGGCCGTGCATGATGTCCACCACTAAAATGGCGATGTCACACAGAGAGCTGCCTCTGTTCCTCAGGTTACTGCAGAGACACGAGGACAAGGAGACAGGTCAGAGAGGACAGATGTGTCCACGAAGACGGACGGCTCAGAGAGGACAGACAGGCTCCACCTGAAGGACTCGTGTCCAGGTGTGTCGATGATCAGCATTCCGGGGATCTTGATGTTTTCTCTGTCAAACTACAAAAACGGATCGTCAGCAAACCAAAGACACAAAGTGGATGAGCTGGAGTGAGACGTCGTACGTTTTTAACCATCTTGGTCTGCTCCTCAATCGTCTCCTTCGGGACGTTTGTGGCTCCGATCTGCTGAGTGATTCCTCCGGCCTCACCGTCCTGAACGTGGGTGTGACGGAGCTAAACGACAACGGTCAGTGAGAGACGCCAACCAAGATCGTCTGCCAACATGGCGGTACCCAGTGGGTAACCAGTAGTGTACCTTGTCCAGGATCTTGGTCTTTCCTGTGTCGACGTGTCCGAGCACACACACCACCGGCGCTCGGAGCTGATCAAAGTTAGTGTTCTTTATGTTCTCCACTCTGCGTTTCTATAGAAACACAAACAGGTGGCTGGTCAGCGATGGGCCAGTCGGGGGAGGTCTCACTACTCCCGTGTTTCCGTGACTCACCTCGATCCTCCTCTTGGCTCGGTCATACAGAAGCTCCTCTTTCGTCCTCCCATCGTCCTCGTCACTGTCGCTGCTCTCATCTTCGCTTGGCGCTCTCCTTTTACCGTGACCTGCAGGAGGCTTCTCCACGCCACCATCTTCCTCACTTTCCTCCTCCTCTTCGTCTTCATCCTCATCGTCGTCCTCCTCGTCGTCGTCCTCTTCATCTCTGTCCTCCTCCTCATCGCTGGCTGCAGGTTGAGAAGGAGCAGTCGCCTCCTCTTTAACTTCAATGTGAACTTTCTTCAACTCTGACAAAGAGAAAATAAACAAATATGTGACTTTCGCCATCTGACCTCAGAACTCACAGGCGTTTCCTGTCAGGGTGGAGGCTGATTTGCAGCGTGATCATGTGATCATCAAAGTTACGTTTGTCTGCAGCTCCCCTGACTGACCCGGGATCTGTTACGTCAACTAACTCACACATCCGGGTTTTAGTCGTGTTAAGGTGGTAGCAGCCAGCGCTGGGGGAGGGGCTTGAGCTGACACGTTATGTTCTGATGGTATGATGTCATTTCTGTCAGGTTTGTAATTGTTACAGCACATTGTGAACATTTGAAGAAAATAATCAAAATCACAAATTGCTGCCTGGAAAGTCATAATTTTGCGAGAGAGTGCTCGCTGCAGAACTACAAAGGCGGAGCTGCACCAGAGTCAGCCCCGCCCATTCACGCAAACTCAGCCTAGCCCACTGACTGCTTCTGTTTTTCTACTTCATCGCAAACTAACCTGACCCACATGAATTACGGCTGTTTCTACTTTACAAATGTTAATGCTATGTTCTATGCTCCAATTAAACAAGATAAATATAACTTGCTACATGACAAAGCCTGAATATATCCCGAAACGAAAAGGTTTCTTTTAACAAATATCTGCCCACAGCCGTTCCAACAAAACCGAGATGCAACAGCATTTATAACTATTGTGTGCTTTCTGGTAGGGCAGTGGCAAGATCACCAGTCTTTAGTTTTGCTTTCCCTCAGCTGATGCTGGTTCAACTCTCGGTGGGGTCGTCAGCAATCTATTTAGCCTGCTGAAACATTTAATTTGTTTATATTTTAGTTGTAATGTTTATTTTCTGCAAAATATTCATGTCTCTAAACAGCATTTTAGTTGAAACTCTGCTCACAAATGGACTCACACTGGCTAAATAAACAAATAAAAAAAACACACTAGTCATTATATTTTAAACGGTATGCCAGTAAATTGTTGTAAACATGGTACTGGCAGGTGCAGCTAGAAAAGTAGAAAAAGGGTTATAAACTACCTTTATATTGCCGCTACTGGGAGGCGAACCTGCACAAAACTGCATATCAATCTGGCTCCATAACCACTTCACCACTACAGCTGATAAAAAGCACGTGGCGTCACATGTAATTGTGCCATCCAGTGTGTCTTTGTAGATGGGATGTATGATTTTTCGGCGGTGTCTCAGTAGAAGTCATTTGAGAGATAATTTGTCAGAAAATTCACAGAATATCCAGATTTGAGAACCAAGACCAGACCCGCTTCGTCGGAGGAGACCAAATTGAAGCTGAGATGGGAGGGAAATGCATGAATGAGGCCAAAAAAGGCTTTGGTGTGTTTCTTATGAGGAAATGACAATATAACATGGTAAAAAGTTCCAAAAGTTAGATTTTTAATTATATGAAAGCTTTACAAAAACTGTTTAATTAACTTCTCAACTCCGTCCTAATCTTGCATTTTAGATGATGTTAGCTATAACACCCTCTTTGGTTCCAGAATGCTATCAAGTCTGACAACTGGAAGGAATTGGACTGACTCTGATGGAATGGGCGGGGCTGATTCTGGAATGGGCGGGGCTGACTCTGGTGCAGCTCCGCCTTTGTGGTTCTGCAGCGAGCACAACTTGTGATTTTGTCTCTCCACCTTTATTTACACAGCACCTTACAGGCATGAAGGTGATGTAGACACAATAAAAGTGATTAAAAAGCACAACAACACAAAAAGTGAAGTAAAACAATAAGATCAGATGAAAGTGAACACACAGATTATTAAAGTAGCTCTTCAGCTTTGTTTTAAAAACCACCACAGAAGAAGCCCTGACCAACAGAGGAAGCTCCTTCCATAGCTTTGGTCCTGCCACTGAGAAATCTCTACCCTAGAGGCGACAGGAAGCCTGTGTAAAGCTGCCAGGATCAGTGTCACATGCTCAGACTTCCTCTTGCCCTCCAAAACAAAACCACAATAAAAGACGATGTCTACAATAAAGAACTGACTAATTTTTTTAGAGCAATAAAATTTTAACTAATAGAATCGAAAGAAAATTCTACTTATGTTATTTAGAAGATTTCTTATTTATTAGCTGGTTGCTTCGGTAAGATAAAGAAATTAAAATGTTTACCAATAACTGATTAATCGTGATGTCAAAGGGTAAACAAGTAAACGTTAACACAAATAAAAGCCACACAGAGCAAACACTAAGTTAAGGTCCGACTGGCCCTACAGATGCTCAGGCTTTAAACGTAAAAGGTCACAAAGTCACAGTTAAAGGCCTGGCTGTTAGCAACAAACGTGCTTAAATAAAGTTCATTAGTTCAATCAAGGTCCTTCTCTCCTCGCCATGATTCAGACAGGAGTTTATGTGCAAGACCATCTGATGTAAAATGATGGAAAATGATGGGAGTCAGGAAGTGTGTGTTTAACTCTGAACTCTGTGGTTGGTCCACGTGGGACCCCTGGTGGTCGCTACGAGTGACTCTCAGCTCCTGGGCTGCAACAACGAATCGATAAAATCGATTAAGAAACGCGTTGGCAACGACATCAATTCGTCGTGTTGTGCAACTTTTTTTGTGTCGTGCAGCCTGTATGTGACAGTCAACGTTACGCTCATCTGTATGCGGCAGCAGAGCAGACCGAGGCAGATCAGAACGAGAATCGCTGTCAGCTTTGAGTTTGCTGGGCTAAACACCGCTGCAGGATTATGGCAGGCCACTTGTCGTTGTCGTCTTCCTCCGCTTATCCGGGTCCGGGTCGCGGGGGCAGCATCCCAACTAGGGAGCTCCAGACCTTCTCCCCGGTCACCTCCACCAGCTCCTCCGGCAGGACCCCAAGGCGTTCCCGACCAGATTGGAGATGTAACCTCTCCAACGTGTCCTGGGTCGACCCGGGGGCCTCCTGCCGGCAGGACATGCCCAAAACACCTCCCCAGGGAAGCGTCCAGGAAGCATCCTGACCAGATGCCCAAACCACCTCAGCTGACTCCTTTCGATCCAGAGGAGCAGCGGTTCTACTCCGAGTCCCTCCCGAATGTCCGAGCTCCTCACCCTATCCCTAAGGCTGAGCCCGGCCACCCTACGGAGGAAACTCATTTCGGCCGCTTTTATCCGCGATCTCGTTCTTTCGGTCATTACCCAAAGCTCATGACCATAGGTGAGGATTGGGACGTAGATCGACCGGTAAATCGAGAGCCTGGCTTTCTGGCTCAGCTCCCTCTTCACCACGACAGATTGGCTCAGCGTCCGCATCACTGCAGACGCCGAACCGATCCACCTGTCGATCTCCCGATCCCTCCTACCCTCACTCGTGTACAAGACCCCGAAATACTTAAACTCCTCCACTTGAGGCAGGCCACTGTAGCATGTACTTCACAAACGCGTCTATCTGTGAACATAATTTCCACTAGATTATTACAAACCTATACATAGTAGATATGTCACCATTACATTTTTTGTGGTAGAAATGAAATGTTATTAGCATTTCCAGTAGCTTCCTTCTGAACATGTTAATGAAATACAATAAATTTTACTGATCATAGTTTAATGATGGATATATTTAGGTGATCGCATGTTGTTTTGCACGCTTTTGAACTGTTAATTAATCATGTTCTGTTGTTAAAGTGAAGGAAGGACAGAAAAAAGGTTTCCCTAGCAGCTTTTAAATTTTCCCGATTAATCGAGTCGAGACCCCATCGATGATCCAAATAGTTGTTTGTTGCAGCCTTCCTCAGCTCCTACCATCGATCAGGGCTATTTCATTCCGGGCGTGGAGGGCTGGTATCCAGCACGTTTTGGTTTTAACTCTGCTTCAGCACACCTGATTTCATTCAGCAGGTAACGAACAGGCTTCTGCAGAGCCTGGTGAACTGCTGCACAGCTGACTCAACCACTGAGTCTAGTGTGTTTGACCAGGGAAACCACTAAAACGTGCTGGATACCGGCGCTTCAGGCCTGAACATGGATCTAAACCTGAAGTCAGAGTGTTTGTGAGGTGGGGGGTTACACATGGTCGGCATGGACGTCCTGAGCCTTAATAAACTCGGCCCAGAGGGTTGAGAGATTCCAGAAACATGCAAAAACATGGCATGAATATGCATCTACACAGAGGGTTACACGGCCTAATCCATTTAAACATCAACACACACACACACACACACACGCGCTAGTTGGTAGGAGTCAAACCACCTGCTGCTGCAAAGCGTTACACTGAGCTAAGATCAGGCGTTTAGTGGGAAATCAAAAGGAGGTGAGGCACCAGTACCTGCTCTACGCCTCCTCATCCTCTCTGTGTTCATGAACAGGATGAAGAACACCATTATTTACTGTAAACGTTACATGTAAACAATCAGTAGAGCCACGGTATGGCGTTTAAAGCGTGCCACAACCCGTGCACGCGCATTGGGTCCACAGCGCGCGTGTGAACGGGACTCGCGAGCGGAAATATACATGGCGAGAGGTCATTTGTGCACTGAGAGGGAGCAAACTGTGTCTGTGAGCGCACAAGGATGTGCACAAGTGACAAACCTGCGTGCGCGCGTTGTCAACGAGCACACGGCAGAGGAAAACGTGCGCGCGCGGCAGCCTCTGTGCGCGCTCGGCAGCCTCTCTGCGCGCTCGGTTTCTGACTCCTGCTCGCTCGGCTGTAAGGGTTTTGGCACTCTGGAGGCGTGGCCTGTGGCAGATCTTCTCTGTCCTCTGATTGGTTAGTGTACCCCGCACTTTACTCTCTACCTATCTATATAAAAAAGTCTGCTAGTCAAGTAGTTGCTGGCATAGCTCAGTTGGAAGAGCGGGTGACTCTCGCCCCGGAGGATCCAGGTTCGAGGCCGGGCAAGGAAAATGTAGTAGATGTCATGTTCATTTTTCTTAATTTCAGGTATTTTACAGTTGTGACAGTTCAACTGTCATTAAACGTCCGAATGTTTGCTGGGCAGTGTTTTAAAAAGTGCACATAAGCTAGATGGTTTTAACCATATAAAATTACATTTTTTGTGATACTGGAAAAATACATACTGAAATAAAACTACTGATTGAAAACTTTATGACTGTGGTTGTACAATATATGACTCACTAATACACTGCAAACTCCCTTAGAGTGGGGCTTCCAGAGAGAGAGAGAGAGAGAGAGAGAGAGAGAGAGAGAGAGAGAGACAGAGAGAGAGAGAGAGAGAGAGAGAGAGAGAGAGAGAGAGAGAGAGAGAGAGACAGAGAGAGAGAGACAGAGAGAGAAAAGTTCTTGCCTCATTAATGAATTGTTTATTTTTTTCAGTATTTAATTGACAAATTATCCTTTCAAATAATTAATTGATGAGTTACATAATTGTCCATTTAGAATTGTTGAATGGACTGAGTCAAGTTTGGTGCACTTTATATATTTCAAAACATGTTTTTTTTTTATTTTAATGATGCATATAAATAATTTAAATGTTAATTTAATGAAATATTTCTATTTTTTCATTACCTCACCCTTGTTTTGACAAAAACAAGACCTTGCTGGATAATATCATGGAGAAACTATTTGTTCACAGTACATGGCTCAGTGAGGATCTGTGTACCAAAGGAGGAGATACTCAGAAATCTGTCTGCAGATTGTTACAACCCAGACTGGAAGTGGCGGGCTGTAATAAGAAAGGAGACCAAACAGAGGAGTGGGGGTTCAACAACTGATTTATTTAACAAAAGTAAGGATTTACTAAAGCAAGTTAGTGAACAGAAAATGGCCATCTCAAGGTTTTACTCGGATGTCCCTCAGCAGGGTGCAGCACTGTTGAAGGTCATCTGAATGAAAGCTTGATATGCAGTTTCTTTATGAAAGTGTGTAAATATACAGTGTGGTTGCCGTACATATGTTGAGGTTCTCAGACATCAGGCTTCTTTGCCCAGGCCTTCACTAGTGGGCTATTTTAAAAGTTGGTAAGGAGAAAAACCACAGCATATAGCTGATTGTTTACAAATGCAAGGAGGGGAATAACAATCAAAAAGCTTGTGTTCTTGGACCAGATGAATGGAGCGCTCCACATGCACTCAGAGATGTTATGGCTTCTGTTTCTATAACTTTACATGCAGACATTTGAGGTTTGCCAGAAAGGAAAGCTGGCCTGTACACTTTGCAGGGCACAATGTCATCAATGAAGAAACCCCTGTCTACCAAGATGACCATCTCTAGTTGTAGCATTTTCAACACACCAGATTCCCAGGTTGGTCGCTGATAGTTCCAGCATACAGTGCTGAGACAAAGGTCACTGGCCTATGTGGCACAATCCAAATGAGCCTCTTCAGAGTGCAGTTGAACTTGAGGAAAATATATGACTCTGGAAGAGAGGGGAATATGGCCATTGACACCTCAGATCAGTGCAGTCAAGAATTACTGGTGTTTGGGTAGTCCTGAACGTGTTGTGATGCCCCCACCATCTCATTGGGTTTTCATTTGTGTTTAATTGTGTTTTTCTTCTGTTGTAGGCAGCTGGTTAAGCAGCCTTGGAGGCACCTGGGCTCAGGGTGTGGTGCTGCCTACAAAGCCTACTGTTTTTCTGCTTTCACTGGGTCTCTCCTGTGTGGTGGAGAGTCCTCACTGGCCATTTTCTGTTCACTAACTTGCTTTAGTAAATCCTTACTTTTGTTAAATAAATCAGTTGTTGAACCCCCACTCCTCTGTTTGGTCTCCTTTCTTATTACAGCCCACCACTTCCAGTCTGGGTTGTAACAATCTGCAGACAGATTTCTGAGTATCTCCTCCTTCGGTACACAGATCCTCACTGAGCCATGTACTGTGAACAAATAGTTTCTCCATGATATTATCCAGCAAGGTCCCGTTTTTGTCAAAACAAGGGTGAGGTAATGAAAAAATAGAAATATTTAATTAAATTAACATTTAAATTATTTATATGCATCATTAAAATTAAAAAAAAAACATGTTTTGAAATATATAAAGTGCACCAAACTTGACTCAGTCCATTCAACAATTCTAAATGGACAATTATGTAACTCATCAATTAATTATTTGAAAGGATAATTTGTCAATTAAATACTGAAAAAAATAAACAATTCATTAATGAGGCAAGAACTTTTCTCTCTCTGTCTCTCTCTCTCTCTCTCTCTCTCTCTCTCTCTCTCTCTCTCTCTCTCTCTCTCTCTCTCTCTCTCTCTCTCTCTCTCTCTCTCTGGAAGCCCCACTCTAAGGGAGTTTGCAGTGTATTAGTGAGTCATATATTGTACAACCACAGTCATAAAGTTTTCAATCAGTAGTTTTATTTCAGTATGTATTTTTCCAGTATCACAAAAAATGTAATTTTATATGGTTAAAACCATCTAGCTTATGTGCACTTTTTAAAACACTGCCCAGCAAACATTCGGACGTTTAATGACAGTTGAACGGTCACAACTGTAAAATACCTGAAATTAAGAAAAATGAACATGACATCTACTACATTTTCCTTGCCCGGCCTCGAACCTGGATCCTCCGGGGCGAGAGTCACCCGCTCTCCCAGCTGAGCTATGCCAGCAACTACTTGACTAGTAGACTTTTTTATATAGATAGGTAGAGGGTAAAGTGCGGGGTACACTAACCAATCAGAGGACAGAGAAGATCTGCCACAGGCCACGCCTCCAGAGTGCCAAAACCCTTACAGCCGAGCGAGCAGGAGTCAGAAACCGAGCGCGCAGAGAGGCTGCCGAGCGCGCACAGAGGCTGCCGCGCGCGCACGTTTTCCTCTGCCGTGTGCTCGTTGACAACGCGCGCACGCAGGTTTGTCACTTGTGCACATCCTTGTGCGCTCACAGACACAGTTTGCTCCCTCTCAGTGCACAAATGACCTCTCGCCATGTATATTTCCGCTCGCGAGTCCCGTTCACACGCGCGCTGCCATGTATATTTTCGCTCGCGAGTCCCGTTCACACGCGCGCTGTGGACCCAATGCGCGTGCACGGGTTTTGACAGGGGTATGACGCGATACACGGCAGCTGGAATGACCTCACCTTTCTCCTCGTCGCTTGCCATGGCCTCCCAGTCGTCTACAGCTGCGTCCGGCTTCACCTCTGCACACACACAGTGTTAAACACCTTCACCTCCCCCTCCTCCTCCCTCCCTGTTCTAACCCTCCCTCACCTGGCTCCGCAGCCGGTGTCTCAGCCTCCGTCTCCATGACAACAGGCTCTGGAGTGTCCGAGGTTGGGGAGGTCACCTCTAATGCTTCTGCAGAAATAAGCAATACATTAGAATGTGTTATGATGATGATGAGGTTAGTGTGTGTGTGTGTGTGTGTGAGTGTGTGTGAGTGTGTGTTAGAAAGACATTTCAAAATGTCATTGTTTTCTATAGTTTAGCTTACTTTGTCCCTGCTTTGTAGAAAACCATCAGCAGATATAATTATAAACCGTAGGAAACCTTCTCCTATGATGGTGAAGCATGTTCCAGGTTTTCAGCCTCCGCAGGAGGAGGGGAGGAGGAAGAGGAGTACCTTCAGGAGTCTGGGCGTTGAGCTTCTTCTTCCTCTTGTCTCCATAAACCGGTTTCTTCTTTGGCATCATGTCTTTGGATGGCACTTCCACTCCTGAACGTACCAACTTAACAAGTTTACACCAGTGCAAATAAACAGGCCCCGCCCACCAGCCAGCTAAGCCCCGCCCACTGACCCTGAGCCTGCAGCAGCTTCAGCGTTGCTTCAGCGCGAGCTCGAGCCTCCCTCTGAGTCTTTGTCAGCAGCTTCCCCTCCTTCTTCAGCCGCTCTTTCCTCTCCTTCTCCTTCTGCTTTTTCTTCTCCTTACGCTCCTGCTCCAGACGCTCCTAAAACAGACACCTCCTACGTCAGCCATGCCATCATCAGCAGACAACGGAGGAGGAGGCGGGACTTTACCTGCTCCTGCCTCTGCTTTTCCAGCTCCTCCAGCCTCTTCAGCCGCTCCTCTTCCTCCTTCCTGGCTCGCTCCTCATCCTGTAAAGTCAGCCATCCTTAGAGAAACGGGACTACTGCAGCAGCACCAGGACTACGTTTCCTAGAGTTCCCCACCTCCTTCATCTTGGCCAGAGCCTCCTGCATGGCCTTCACCGTGGCCTTACTGGGACCCTTGGTCTTCTTCTCCTCCTTCTTGTCATCCTTCTTCTTCTTCTTATCTTTTTTCTTTTTGTCACCCTCCAGTTCCTCTGCAGAACAACAACAGATAAACAACTGGTTTTTTGTAAAAATATAAATCAGCCGATGATGCCGTACCTTCTGCTGCTAGCTCCGCCCCTTCCTGTTCCTCTGTCACCGCTGCAGGTAGCTCTGCCTGAGGGGGCGTGGCTTCAATCTTTTTCTCTGGCTCTTTTTTAACCTCCCCAGCAGCCTCCTTCTCCTTCAGCTTCTTCTGCTTCATTCTCTCCTCCTCCTTCTTCTTCCTATCCCTCTCCTTCTTCTCCGCCTTCTTCTGCGCCGCCGTCTTCATCTTGAAGCCTCCCGCCTCATCCTCCAGCTCCTCGTCTGCCTCGTTCTCAGCCTTCTCACCCTTCCCTTTGTTCTTCTTCTTCTTGTCCCTCCTGGAGGTAAACTCCTGGTCATCTTCAGAGTCATCCTCCTTCCCCTCTCCCCCACCTCCTTTCTTCCCTCCATCATCATCTCTGTCCTCCTCTTCGTCAGACACGGACAGCTTCTTGCCCCCTTTTTTTGCTCCTTTTGTCTTGACGCGAGAGCGCGAGGAGCTGTCATCATCGGAGTCAGAGGGAGGAGCAGGAGGTGCCTGAAGGAGCAGAGAAAAACACTAATCAGACTAAAACAACAACAACAACAACAATAGACCTCGGTCTGGTCTGAACAGTTCTTAGTAACCCAGAATTTGGTCAGATTCTTTACTCATTACTTTTAAAAAGAAGACACTAGCATAGCAAGGACAAGCATACAGGTGGGGACATTTTGAAGACATCTGGACGAGACGGGGACATGCTTAAGGACTTCTCTGACAAACAGGTCATTTGTAGTAACACCATTCTGGACCACTTACCACCCTTCAAAAAAGTTCAGAAACAAAATAAATCATTTATGTTGTAAATAGGGATGAGTACCGAATTCGGTACTTTTTAAGGTACCGACCGAATTCCATAGTACCGACCGAGCACCGATTCACGTCATTTCAAACGGTGCCTCGTTTCGGTACCCGTCCTTCATAACGAGAACTTGCCTAGACAGCTGCGCATGCGCAAGAGCGTTATGTCGTCGCTCGCTGCGAGCGAGTTGTAAACAGAGCAGCACGGTAGAGAGAACGCACGCTAAAGCTTGGGTCCACTTCACTAAATGTGATGGGTAACTGGGTGATGATGAAACCAGCGACAACGATCTAAGTGAGACATCCTCATCTAAATCTGCTCCGGTAGGTAAATAAAATGTTTAAGATAACGTTAGCTTGATATGTTAGCTTCCGTTTCGCTAATGGTGCGTTCGCTTTCTCCTCGGAACTCCGAATTTCCGACTAGATGAACATGAACGCGCTCTCAAGTTTGGCTTCACTTTACTAAATGCGACGGGTGATTGGGTGAAGATGAAACCAGCAACAACGATCTAAGTGTGAGGCATCATCGCTTTAATCTGCTCCAGCAGCTAAATAAACTGTTTAAGATAACGTTAGCTTGATATGTTAGCTTCCATTGCCACCGTTGTTATCAGCTAATGGTGCGTTCGCTTTCTCCTCGGAAATTCTAACTTCCCAGTAGGAAAAATCAAATGAAAAAAGACGGCCAAAGGAATGAAGATACACAGTAAATTTAGTTCACAGTAAAGATGTTTGCTTCAGTTTAATTATCAGCTTATAAAACTACAAGGACGATGTTAAAATACAAACAGTTGAATGTTATTTATCGTGATATTTATCAAATATTGTTATATATTGAGAAAAATATATATTTAATTATAAAAGTGTATTTAAATATTAAACACTCAAAAGTATCGAAAATCGGTACCGTTAAGTACCGGTATCGATTCGTAGGTACCGGTAATTAGTACCGAATCAATGTCAAAGGTACCCATCCCTAGTTGTAAATAAACCTTTTATTCTGAAGGAGAAAAACATTCGTGATACAAGCGGCCGAAATGAGTTTCATCCGTAGGCTCAGCCTTAGGGATAGGGTGAGGAGCTCGGACATTCGGGAGGGACTCGGAGTAGAACCGCTGCTCCTCCGGATCGAAAGGAGCCAGTTGAGGTGGTTTGGGCATCTGGTCAGGATGCCTCCTGGACGCCTCCCCGGGGAGGTGTTTCGGGCATGTCCTGCCGGCAGAAGGCCCCCGGGTCGACCCAGGACACGTTGGAGAGGTTACATCTCCAATCTGGTCCGGGAACGCCTTGGGGTCCTGCCGGAGGAGCTGGTGGACAAGGCCGGGGAGAGGACGGCCTGGAGCTCCCTAATTGGGATGCTGCCCCCACGACCCGGACCCAGATAAGCGGAGGAAGACGAAGACGAAGAAAAACATTTGAACAGATCAGAAGACAGGTAGATCATCTCACCGCCTTCTTGTCCTTCTGCTCTCCGTTCTTCTGTCCATCAGCATGGCCTTCATCACCCTCCTCATCCTCAGGACTGGCTCCACCCTTTTTCCCCTTCCTGGTCTTCTTCTTCTCTGGTCTGGGAGGCTCAACTTCTTCTATGGTTTCTGTTTTCTGCAGGAGAAATGAAGAGACTGTTGGAAACGCCCTGATGAGGTGAATAAAGCGTCCTGCAGGTGTGTTTACCTGTCCTCCCTGAGCCGCAAGAGAAAGCTCCTCTAGCTCCTTCTGGATGTCCTCCTCACTGTAGAAGACACACACGCACACACACACACACACACACGCACACGCACACGCACACACACACACACACACACACACTGTTCACACCATGTCTACACAAACTGAGGACTAGAAGGAAATGACGGTGTCGTACTCAAAGTCCTCCTTCTTGTTTGCTTTCTTCTTCTTCTTCCCTTTCTGCTCCTTGGAGGCTCCAGCTCCTTCGATCTCTGCAGCCAGGGCGTCGATGTCGACGTCTTCATCTTTGGCACTGAACATAAACCAACAGGGATCGATGAACAGAGGCTTGGTCACATGATTGTCCATTCAGTGGAGAGCACGGAGGTTGACTCTGTGTCAGAAAAACACAAACCGACGAGCCGCTGCTGACGCTTCACTTCCTTTTGTTTCCCATGATGAAGCTCAGAGAGCAGAAACTGATCTGAGAGCTGCTGAAGCGGGTTTTCTCCCTCTACAACAGCGTTTCTTTCAGCTTAGACACAAAAAGTCACTAATGCTGCAGAAGCAAGACAGGATGATGCTAAACTAACTGATAAAATATAAAACTGACTCGTGATTTAATGGGTTTTGAGCCAATTTAACACAAAAACACTCGTCACAGCATTTTAGAGCTTCTCCTCAACACCTGAGACACATCCACTCTGACCTGTCGACACAAGACTAGAACTAACAGAATCTATTTCCATTTGCATCGATTTCTGGTCAACTAGAACATTTCGGTTCTTTAAAAAGAAACAAGATGTTATTGCCAGAGTGACTTGGTGCTGAGAGACGGCACACTCGTTGGGTTTACTTGGATCAGCAGCAAGTCTTTGGACAATTTCTCATTAAAACTAGTGACCAGTAGAGAAATGGAGGAAACAACCTCGTTTCCAGATGATATCCACATGGTCACAGAGAGACATTGATAACAAAACCTTCAAAATGAAGGAAACCCAGAGTCCAGATGCTTTTATTCTGAAATCAAACATCTAGGAAGGTACACGGCCAGTAACCCGCACCCCTGTCACGTTTATATTTATTAATCAACGTAACATTAATGTTTAAATAAGACTACACTGTGACTAAACACAAGTCTACGGGTCATTTCCTTCACGTCCAGGTCAAGTTTCAAACAACTGAAACGAGTCTGGTCTCAATTGAAACAATTCTAAGCTCCGGGTCAGACTCAGTTTGGGACATGAAACCTAACCAGCAGCAGTCTCCGGTGTTTTTTAATGAGATTACTGTTTTCAATCACAAGTTGTGGAATTTATCGAAAAAAACAAGTTGCTCAAACTTTATTTAGCAACTATTTCCCAAAATACGTGATTCAGTCAAATCAGAGGCAGCCCGTGTGTGTTAAACGATATTGCTGGGAAAACACACTTTTATCAAACCTGAAGTGAGCCCTAGTGCAAAAGGTTCAAACTAGCAAACAGCAGGTGTAGGTGATGCTCTTTCATAAAAGCAGTGGGGAGAATTTTCTGTGTTATACGAATTAAAACACAGGTTAAGATATTTGTTTTTCTTCAGAGAAATTTTGATAGTTTGATTCGGTTATTTTTAAACTAAAGCTCTTCTGGAGTCCCTAATGAGAAACTGAGATGCCCCCAAACACGAGTCTACAGCTGATCTCCTCTTCAAGCACCGCTACATTTATTCAAGCGCACAGCTTTTTAAGAGGATGCAGACGTTTCGTCTAACGGGTAAATGGATCCGATTCTGAAGGTGCAACAATGTCGTCTTCTAATGGCTGCTCCATCGTTCCATTCACAAACACTGGATCAGTCCAGCAGGCATTCACTTCACCTCTGACTCAGCGAGATAAGTTATTCACAAGACCTGAGTTGTGCTCTTGTGAATAACTCCAGAAGCGACTTCAGTTCCCATCTGTAACACTTACACACTGTCCAACCGAGATTACTACCAAAACACTTCAAACTACAATCAACTGTTGTAGATTTATTGATCTGAACTGATGTTCAGTCCTCTCTGTAGCCGTGTGGGTAGGTAAACTTCTGAAGGACTTCTGCCTGGGTAAACTGATGTCTGAGACAAGGTGAGGCGCTGATGGTCCTGATTTTGTTTAGGAACAGAGTGAGAACAGGATCTGTAGCTAATAAAGCTTAAAGATGTAAACATGGCTGTAGACAGAGAAAACAAGCCAGATACAGAGGCTGCTCAACACCATGAGACAAGTTCACACTGGACACGCTGACTTACAACAGGTAAACAACACGTGTCAGAACCAGAAAGATCCACACCAACAGCTGCTTTCATTCAGAAGATCTGATCGTATCACATTTGCTTCTGGTGTTAATGAAAGAAAACCTGCTGATGAGTTTTATAAAGCCGACTCTGGTAGAACACCTGCAGCCCCTCAGGTGTGTGTTGAGTGTTACATCAGTGATTATCGGGTTAGCTGCCAACACCGTGGCTCGTGCAGGTAATACACATAAAACTACCTGAGTTTACCGTAAGTAAACAAATAGATTAAAGTGATAACTCGTGTCAGACTGACCAAACAGCAGGTTCAGTACGAGCTAGAGGCTAGCTGCGCTGTTACTGATACATTATCCAGAAAACTCGTCTCAGTGAGCAAGAACCCAACATAGACTCGGTTCGGTTTGCTTGAGCCCATTTTAGCCTTATTGCTCCATGTGAAACTTAACTCTGATCATCTCTGACTGTTTACAGCTGCACCTGAGCTCACATGCGTACAATGACTCGTGGTTAGCATCTGCTAGCAAACCTAGCAGCTAAGCTAACGGGGCAAGAAGCGATTAACGCCAGTTTGGGGGGGGTTTGATTGGGTGGAGAGGCTTAAACCACTCGGTTTCCAACGTGGACATGTGTTTCTCCGCGGAAGCTCACTGTCTTCCTACCTGTCCTCTGCGGATTTCTTCTGTTTCTTCCCCATTTTGCCGCTGCGTCTCTGGAACTTCGCTCCCTGCTAATAGCCGCACACGACACGACGGCTCACATTGGTCAAAGATCGTCTATTAGCAAATCAATAAGGATGGTTAACTACCAGTAACTGCGTGTGATATCACAGTACATTACTTCGTCAGTTTTTCTGCGACGCCAAATATATTATTGCCACTCTTTATTGTCTTAGTCATACTAACCTAAGACAAAACTTACGTTTTTGTTCAAGAACTCTTGTTTAAACTAAAACGAAAAACGATTTCTGAAGAAAATGTTGGAGTGAAACATCTTTACATCTAACTTCTCTACGCACGGGTTAGGGATTTTGCGCATGCGTACTTCAACCTGTCCAGTTTAGCTTTTAAAAACCGAATAACGAGGTACAAACAAAACGTGTCTGACGAGGAGTGAGATAAACCTGATGATTGAAAAATGAGTAAAAGTAGTCCCGTTGCAAAAACATGTGAAAATAACTACTTTTTTTTACTGCAAAGGTCTGTCGCATTGGAAGAAAACAAATAATTAGTATAAATATTGCATTAAAGCTATTGCTGTAAATCAAGATTTTAATGGCCTAGACAGAACAAATTTTTGCACTGTTTATGTTTGCATTTCCAGAACTTTGTAAAATGTGACCAGGTAGGTTTATTTCTTTTGTTTTTGCTGATATAAAACTTGAAGGATCTTCAGCTACATGCTAGAAGGGAGACAGAAAAAAACATAAATGTTGAAAAATAATTTTATTATCAAGTATTTTTGTACGTAATAAAATTGTGTCTACATAAAACAACCAATCCAGAAGGGGTCCATTAACCCTGTCTTTATGTTTCTGTTGTTTCTCCATACAGATTGCTGTAAATCCCTCAGCAGCCCGAAGGGGGCAGTCGTCTTTTGACTGGTGACTTCATTCAGCCAATCACAGACAGCACAGCGTCACACAGAAGGTGCATTCGTCTGTGCAGCTGGCCGCTCTGTGATCGTAGCAACACAGTGACAGCTGCAGCTGCTCTGTGAGGGCAGAACCGTTCTCCCACCAGAACCTCACTTATCTGGACGCTCAGATTTGGGGGCAGCCAATCAGTCGGGACGTCTAACTGGCAGCGGTCCACAAGCCCGTTCTTTACCTCCATGAGTAAATGAGCAGAGCAGCACAAGTCCAGATGTTTGTCTGTAAGCTCCAGCTGTGTCTCAATGCTGAATTTAGGCGTCTTTCCAAATGTCCACTCCCAGCTGCACAGCTCTGCTGCCATCCTTCCTACACCAGGAAACAGCGACTCATCGGATGGGTCGATGAGGATGGACGTAGCGCAGAGTCCAAACTCTGATGTCAGAGAGGAGATAAAATATCAGTCCATCAACACGTTCTCACATCTCTACAACAGTGTCATAAGACCACAACAAATTTTAAATGTACAGACAAGGAGGAAGTGACTAGATTAAAGCTGAAATGTCCAGAAAACATTTGAAAAAAGACTTTCAGGAGTAGAATAATGAGGTTCAATATTTTGGCAACTTTTGCAGGTGTATCCACAAAGAAACTTAAGAAACGTCCTTAAATCCATCACGATAAGAGTCTCAAAAACACAAACATACTTCAGAACACCCAGAACTGATCAAATGCACTTTGAATCTAAGTGGAGAGCATTATTAATAATCTATTTTATAAGCTTCAGATGTTTTGAGGTATCTGTGTAAGTTTCAAATTCAAATCAAATTCAAATTTTATTTGTCACATACACATTCATAAACAGTACGAAATGCAGTGAAATGCCTTACACAACTGCTCGTGACCTAAGAGTTGAAAATAAAAAGACTGTACACCACAGATTAAAATGAAGGGTAAATTAACTGGGAAAGAGTAAGGTAAAATATATCAGAATTAAAGTTGAATAATAGAATAGCTTTACAACAAAATACACAACACATTACAAATTAGAATAAAATGTAAATTTAGCTGGGAAGGAATAAGATAAAATATATATAATTTGAAGCTGAGAATAAAGTAACTGTACAACAAAATACACAGTATGTAAATGTATAAGAATGTATGAAGAAATAAAAATATCTGTACAAAACAGCGGCTGAACAAGTATTAAATGGAACTGAAATATATATATATATATATATATATATATATATATATAATGTCCAGAGTTGTGCAAACCACATTTGTTTGAGACTCATATTGTGAAGGACTAAAGAACGTTTGAATTCTGCTGTGAAATTTGTTAAAGTAGTCAAAAGGCTGCTCTTCATCATCAATAAAACACCAGATTTTTATAGTTTACTTAGTAAAATCACCCATAATCCTAAAATAGAACAAATAAAGCCAGCTTTAGGAGAACAACAGGGTCATTTTACTCTTGCTGGACCTAAAGAGGAAGTCACCCCCTACCAGAGTATTACTTCTCTCCCACTTCCTGTTTGAAAAATGCAACAAATTCTGTTGCCTAACAGACCTAGAGGGCGGAGCCACTAACAAATACACACACACACAGGCTCACAACGACATTATGACATCATATGGTACCAGTTAACATTCTAGGGTACCTCTTAGCCAATAGCGATGGCAGATTTTAATTCAACTGCAGTGCAGAGTTTTTACCTGACAACGACACAACACTGACAGTCTTAGGTAGAAAATTTAAAATTTAACAAAAATGCACTAAAGTGCAAAACTATTGACTACATGTGTCTACAGCATGATTGGACGCTCATTTATACAGTTTATCAGGGGAAAAAGGCTGATTTGGGGGTGACTTGCTCTTTAAAGTAGCTTTCCAGAGATTTCCCCTTTCAGAAATGGTGTATGACTTTTCAGAAATCTATAAAAGTGATTGTCTCGTCATGTACTGTGATATAATGTAAGCAACACATCTTTTTTGCTAAGCATGCCCCTGCTGCACAGAGCTCCGTGCAATAGGAAACTGAGCGCCAACCAGTACTAACCAATAGCGTTACACTACAGCTTACTTGCTTCAAATTTAAGGAATACCTTGGCTGATGCAGAGTTGATGAACTTTTCACGGACAAGTAAGTCTCTAAAATATAAGTATATGAGAACACAACATGACATGAGAATAATACTCGTAAAACAACATGTTTTAGCTGTTTGTCTGCTACTGAAGGACACAAATAAACTAGAACCGTGAAGTCGCCATTTTAAAAAAATGGAAGGAGAAACTATTTGTGTGATATGCTTGTCAGCCACTAGATGGTGCCATGGGATAAGAGAAATACTCCGAAAAGACACTTTAAGTAACCTACCTGGACCTTTAAACTCAAATTAATATATATTTTTGACAATTACTTCATACTGTTGTTTTCTTCTCAGTGGTTGTTTTAGATCTCTGAGCTGTAAACTGCAGAATAGAAGATACCTTTGTTGTATTGTTGTACAAGAGCCTCAAGTAGCTCCTCCCACTGCAATGAGGGGGCGTGGTCGGTCAGATTGGCGACAGGTGAGGAGATGCTGGGTGTAGCGTTGCTATGGATACCAGGAGATGAGGGGCGAAGCAAAGTGGACAGGGCGACTGGATCAGCAGAGTGAAGCAGGGTACAGTGGTGGTAGGAGGACTTCCTGCTGAGTCTGGACGCCGTACCTGTCACCAAAAACGACACGATGTTAACAACAACCAATTTGATTGTCAATAGAATTAGTTTTAAAAACATAAATAAATAATACACAACATCCTCAGTTTTAAAACCAGTTGGTCGCCTTGATGGACTTCCTACCTGAGATTTTGAAGCATCCATTCATTAAAATGTCAAATCTCTCTGTGGCCCGGATGTCAAGATCTGGTCGGAGTCCTCTCAGGGCCTCGGTAACCACCTTTAGATTCCTCTGTCGATCATATGCTTTTGTGGAGGCAAAGAATGTCAAGTTGAGATTCCCAAGGTCGTGGTACACCGTCCCGCCCCCGCTCCGCCTCCGAGCCAAAGGGATCCCAGCCCTCCTCATGGCTGGCAGGTTGCACTCGCTCCAGGGGTTCTGGTGCCGTCCGATAACAACAGCTGGTCTGTTCCTCCAAAGCAGAAGGATGCTGCGCTGCTGCAGATCCACGTGGGCATCAATCCAGTCCTCCAAGGCCAAGTTCTGGTGCACATCAGTGGACTGAGACTGAAGGACCAGTCCGGCACTGCTGCTACAGGAGGACTCCAGGAAGATGGAACTGGATCTGGTCCAGAGTTCTTGGTTTCCAGTTCTCAAAAACCAACCTGTCCTTCTTAGCTGATTCATCAATAATCCATATTTCTGCTGGGTCATCTTCAGTCAAATCTGTCAGCAGAGAAATCAAATCGGAGGAGAGAATTTTGTAGGCACCTTTGATTGGGTTTGTGTATCACTTTAAACGTATGTGCAGAAAGTGCAACACTTATAGTTGCAAGATTAGAAAGTACCATGGTGGAGGAAAATATTCAGCATGAAATCAGTGATCATGAAATTAATAGTTATTAATTCATGGTATTGGTACTGATTAACATTTGTTTCAATCAAATTCAACTAACTTTTTATAAGAACATATTCAGTCTGCAGGATGCACAACGAGATTAGCCACAAACGCGTGTGACGACAGAGAGACTCCGCCTTTCAACAGTACGCGAGAGCTAGCATTAGCAATAGCTCCGGTCGTTCTTGGTCTTTTTTCATGCTGTCACTAAAATTAAAAACATGGAGTTAACAGTTACACTTTGATGAATACATTCGTGAAGACAGAAACAATCTAACATGAATGGAAACGAGCTGCTGACCTGAGCTGAAGCGGTACTAGTTCTAACCTTGTCAAACACAAGCGTTTCCACGTCTAGCCTTCAAAGTAAAAGCATTGTGTTCAGCTGACTTAAATTTTATTTTTTGTTTATTGATTTATCACAATTCAATTTGATTACTGTGAATAAATACATTTTAGTTGATGAAACTAATACTCTCAATAAATGAAAAAAATATATATCAGTCCTGTAAAAAGTAACGTTTGAAACAGATATCATTAGTATTTGGTTGTGTACTTTTTATATTGCCTAAATGTTTTAAATTACACATTTATTATTTCAAATCCCAAGAAAAATTTGTGGCAGTTTTAAGACTATTGAAAGTCCAACATCTGTTTCCCGTTTGTATTTCCGGTAACTTGATCGAGTCCGTCACTTAAATGTTACCGGAGTTGTGCTTGTGTGCTGGACTTGTTTTCCGCTGCGCTGACAACTTTTAAATGTTTACATAGTTAGTGTCGTTTTTTTCATTGCAGTTTATATGAATGATCACTGATGAACTGCTGGCCCAACATCCAATCTCCTATTCATTAGATTTTAAAATAAAAACGATGTTAAAATGTGGCAAACAACAACATTTATTCAGTTTTCTTTAAAAATTAAATGAAGCAATTAAAATGATTGTATTATTTGTTAATCAACACATTTTGAGTGAGGGTTTGAAAATAATTTAGTAACTATAATAACAAAAATATTTCTTCATTCACTTGTTTTCTTATGTATTTTTTTTATCTCACATTTATTTCCGAGCTCTTTAATGGCCTCTATAGTAATGAGGAAAAAGCTGAGTCTATAGAGGCGAGAAGAGAGAGGAAGAACATGTGACCACTTCCTGACAACACACACACACACACACACACACACACACACACACACACACACACACACACACACACACACACACACACACACACACACGTCAGATTCAGAGGCAGTGCGTCGGAGCTAGTGGTGTTTCAGGTGAGAGCTTGGCTAATTAAGATGTCACTTTAAAAGTTTTCCTTTTAAGTATTTTCTTAACTTTTAATTTTATCGTTAACTTATAGTTTACTGTTTATTACAGGAAACCTTTAAAATGCACATGCAGGTTTTTTTTATTTGATCTTATCAGAATGATTCGAAGAGGGAAGTCAGATTTATAAGAAAAGCTCTTCCTTTAAAAGTTTCATAATGTCACCACTAATTAAATGATAACACATTTGCAATTACACATTTATTTATACAGATATTGTCATGGAAATGTATTTTTATTGAAAATAGCTTCCAGAAAAAGCAGAAGGTTTTCATCATTTCTGAGAATGAATTCAATGACATGGAGTGTTGTCACACATTCACACTTAGTCACATAGAGCTTCAGTGTGGTTTGAACATCATCAGCATTAAAGATCCGTTCTGATAAGCTCCCTTAATCTGTATGTGGTTCAAAAATAAAATCATCACATACATATAATAATACGTAGATGTCTCTCAGACCGAAAATGTACAGAAAGTGTTTGTTTCCTGTTTGTTTCTGAACAGTTTAACTCATCCTAACCCGACTTCTGTTTTTTTTTCAGAGAGAGACCAAGTTTTCTGTCTTGTGTGAAACTATTTATAAACATTTCTAAATATTCTTTGCTAATTTGCTAAAATTGTAGTTTGTGCTAATTGTGTTCAGCCTTTTTTCCCCCCGAGACCTCTCTTGTAAACACTGCTGCAGCTACACGTAAAGTCTCCGAGAGGAGACAGTAATGAGAATCCCATTTGATCTGTTTCTATCCAAATGAACCACAGCCATCCACAGATTCTTAATGAACATGTGGATTTGGACTTTCACACTTTGATACGCAACGAGCTTCACATCTAACTGAAGATACTGATCGGATTTTTTTTGTGTCCCAACAGATTTTAATGAAGACGTCCAGATAAAACTCCACCTGCTCCACCGTCATCATGGTTTTTTATACACCTATAGGTCAATAAGTGTGTGGTGTGAAAACATGTCTGAGTTGTGGACATTTTTGGCAGCAGCTCCCCCAAACGTCCATCATTCCTCTCTGTCTCCATCTCTTCCACCCCTGTCTTTCAGGAACCATGGAAATCACCCCCCTGCCAAGGTCTCTGGTCTGATAAACATCACTCGTTTATTGAACAGCTGCAGATATGGCTTTAAAAATGTATTTCTTCATTTGTTTTTTTATAAAAGTTTGTATTTCTCAGTTTGCTGATTTAATTTTACTGGACTTTTTCTCCAGGTAACCTCCCCTCACACGGGTCCACCCCAGGTTACCTCCCCTAATCTTGCATTCCAGACCCAGGTGGCCTCGTTTCAGTATCCCCAATCCCAGGTAACCTCCCCTCATCTGCAGACGCCCCCCTCCCACCTTTTCTATCAGCCCCATACGACCTCTCCTCACCTCCCTTTACCCAAGGTTTACTCTCCTCAATACCTAGCTCCACCTCAGGTAAACTCCCCTCCCCTCCCTGACCCCCGTGCATCCTCTCCTGGTCTCGGATCCCAACACCAGAACCTTCTCTACAACCAGAATCCTGACTTAGATTATCCAAACTGGACTAGGTGTGAGCCCACCTCTGACCTTTCGTGTCTCCAGAATGGTTTTGGGTTTTCCTACCAGGTAAGGATAACACGTATTTAATCCAACAGAACATCTGATGGTTCTGACAGGTTTGTTTGTGATCTAAAGCAGAACCAGACAGCAGCTCATATGGACCTCCACCTCCAGGACCAGACCCAGTTTGGCACTGGTGAGACTGCTCACAGGGACGAGCTGGAGAACACAAACAAACTCTATGGCTCTCATGCAGGTCATGTCAGCAGCACGTTTGAGCAGAGCGACATACATGAGCTGGGTCAGCACACCTGGATCCCGTCCCAGGTACAGTGCTCACCGCTGGGCTCCCCATCTGCAGGAGGTACCGAATGGAGATGGAGCTCGACCGAGTTAAGCTCAGCGTCTGCTGAGGACTTCCCAAACAACCATTTCTTCAGTGAAAGTTACAACGAAAACAACAACCAACAGCCGTTCAGTAGCCCATCGACCCCAGGTCCAAGTCCTCACTACCCCCTAACCCCAGCTGTCTCCAGTCCAGGTCCTCAAATCCATCCCAGGACAGTTTTTACAAAACAGCCAAATGATAATCACACCTCAGATTATTGTCTTAATGAGCCCAGCAGCTTTTTCATGCCCCCTGGTCTTGGACTAATTCATCAGACAAGCCAGCAGCAGCTGATGACACAAACAACACAGACTCAGGATCTGAAGAGCTTCCTGAAAGCTGCTGAGACCAGCTCGTCTTCTCAGGAGAGAGGACAGAGTCTGGGTCATCCTGCTGGGCTCACTCATAAGGAAGAAGGAGGAGGAAGAAGGAAAGGCTCAAGGAAACGAGACCAGGATCCACTGGACTGGAACTGGGTTTGTCACTAATTTGGTCTTTGTTCCTCTTTGAAAATGAAGCATGTTTAAGTAATCTGATTACTACAGTCACTTCCTTTGATCCTCTTGGCTTTATTTCCCCTGATTTCCAGGTAAAAAGAATAAAACCTGAAAAAAGCACAGAAGCTCTAAATTCCAGGTGGGTTGAATTAGTGATTTTAACCATAAACCGAACAATCTGGGCTGTTTATTTTTGAACTGTGACGATTCCTTTGTGTCTGACTGCAGATGCAGATTGCTGTGTGTGGTGTGTAACCGTGAATTCAAGAGCCTGCCAGCATTAAACGGCCACATGCGCTCCCACAGTGGCTCCAGGTCACCTAAGCGCCCCAAAAAGGTCCTAAAACATCAAATAATGTTTTTATAAAACAAGTTTTAAACACTATGCTGTGTGAGGACCAACTTGGGTTTTAACCAGGGGCGGTTCTGGGTCCAAGGTGGGCCTGTGCCACCCTGACAGTCAGCTTGGTCCCCCTTGTGCCCCCCCCCCCCCGCTAAGGGCAGAGCCTAAGCAATAAAAAGTACAATTTTTTCACGATATTTTAGGTTAAAGCGAGTTGTGGAACTAAAAAAAAAGATAATTAATTTATCTGAGGTTGAAAAGAGATGCTGAGACAAATACTTTCATGCTGTTGCTGAGATAAATAACTAAAACAACAATGGATTAAACATTGAATTATGTCTAAAATAACTGAACGGTTATTATAGTAGTGTAATTGATTGATTGATTGATAATTAAAAATTAGGAAGTCTTAAAGGCAACATTTGTTTTCCTACAACAGAGCAGCTGGACCCCCCCCCCCTTTGTTAAATGATAAATGACCCGCACTTGTATAGCGCCTCTCAGAGTAAGGACTCCAAAGCACTTTACACTACAGTGTATCATTCATCCATTCACACACTGATGGTGATGAGCTACGATGTAGCTACAGCTGCCCTGCGGCGCACTGACAGGGGCGAGGCTGCTGAGCACAGGCGCCACCGGTCCCTCCGACCACCACCAGCAGGCAAGGTGGGTTAAGTGTCGTGCCCAAGGACACAACAGCAGAATTCTCTGTCCGGAGCCGGGATCGAACCTGCAACCTTCCAATTACTGGACAACCCACTCAACCTGTTGAGCTACTGCTGCCCCGAAGCTTGATCCTGAACTTCCTGCTTCCTGAACAGCCTCTGTTTAGGGAAATAGAGTTCATGTTGTTCAGGACTGATGAGCTGGTGGCCAATATGCATAACGACCAAAGTGGCACATATGAGATAATTAGATAAATATTTATACTCATGTTGTTTTATTATTAATACATTAAGAACTTGAGCTTCTGCTGATATTTATGCATGTGTCATGTTCCGTGTTTCTTGTGTTTCTTTGTTTTTCTCTCAGTCTCTGTGTCTCCCTGTTTCAGTCATTAGCAATTAGCACTCAGCTCACCGGTCCCCTCCCAGTATTATATAAGCCCAGTTTCAGTACCCAGCAACTTTGAGTTTTCTTTTGTAGTTATTTGTGCCTGTTCTTTGGCTGCTGGATTTCCCTGTGTTTAGGGCCTCATCCCCATAAATCCTGACAGCATACAAAGGACCAAAGAATTCCTTCTGAAAAAACACGGAATTCCACATACATAACTGTGACGTGAAACAGACCGGGGTTTGGAAATCTGGACAATTTGAGCTGATTTGAGGCAACAACAATTTGGCTGTTCCCACAAGAACAGTAATCCTGATTCCCCGAACATCTTCTGGGCTCAGAAGCAGCTGCTTGACTTGCCGAGTCCGCCACTTTCCACAGGGCCAGCCTGACTGTGCCGAGCGGACTGACTGGCAACCCGCAACGGTGCCCCCAAACGTAAACACAAACCCAGTGTCGCACCGTCAAAGTAAATATTTTAATTATTTTTTTAATTAAAATACGGCTTTTAAATGAAATACTGTACCTTCATTCTGCACACCTCTAAACACCTTGTGGAGGTATTTTTAAAAATAAATAGTTTTTTATTAAATTGTTCCATATTCAACCTTTAACGCATATTGTTACAGGCTGCCCCCCCACTGGCTTCTATGGTACAGATATCTAAGTGTTTCTTTGTTTTTGTTTAGGAGACCTCCCCACCCACACCCAGTCAGGTCTCCATCCCTGTCCACCGGAAAGGGACGTCTGGACTGAAGGGGTGCAGCCTCCTCCCTCTGTCCAACAGAGGAGCTGCTCTCTATCACAGCCTGATGAGGCAAAAGGAGAAGGAGGAGGCTAAACCTGTGGCCAACAAGGTGGCTAAAACAGCTGATTATGGTCAGTACACCCCTCCCCTGATGCTGTGTCCTCAGAGGGAGGGGCCAGGGCTATACTGCTCCCTCACCACCAGGAGGCAGCAGAGAGCACAGACGGTTCAGCTGTACAGTAAGTGTCATTAGAAACAATCGTCAACCAGCAACACCAACTGAACAACATGAAATGTCAATGTCTGGGTTACAGATGAATTAGGTGATCTTGTTGCCATAACAACATCCTGTCCTCCATCTGGACAGTTAGCATGGGGAACCATCGCACCGTATGTAATCAAACTATTTTAAATAACTTTTGCAGTGACTTACTGACTGAACAATAACCAAGAGCTATCGATCACAGACGGATCAATTTAGGGCGGAGCTTCCAGGCAGAGATCCCGCCTTTACGAGATGAAAAGTATGCTCAAACCGACTCCCACAATGCTCTGCTGCTGTGGATGCCATGTGATGAACTGGAAAATCCTGCCAGTCAACAGAGAAGTCAGCACACTCAGAAAAAACAGCCACAAATCAGACCTTTGGCGGCTCCATCTGTTCCTGATGTTTTCTTTCGTCGTTTTGCAACAGTCGAGTTTCTGCTGAAAATGGTTCAGTCCAGTGTGGTACCAGAGTCCCAGGCCGGCCCAGAACATGCCCTGCAACTCCTATCAGAGAGCAAAGGAGACTTTCTGGTAAAAGGACACACACACACACACACACACACACACACACACACACACACACACACGCACGCACACACACACACACACACACACACACACACACACACACGCACGCACGCACGCACACACACACACACACACACACACATGCAAAACCAAGCTCTGGTGGGTCAAGTGTTTTCTTCTTCAGCTGACGGTGGAGACTCTGTTGGAACCTCCTGAAACCTCCAACAACCAGACAGGTCAGCTGTTCCTCCTCCATCCAGACAGATTGTGTCACACCCAAAAACTCCCAGATACATTCAAAGACTCATTCCTGTCACATTTGTGTTGAAGGAGTCAGATGGAGCTCAGCAGAGAAAAAGCTGTTGATGAAATCCTTCCAACTCCATCAGAAGGACTTCAGCAGGATCCAGAGGAGTGTGAGCTTAGATCTTCAAACTCAGCTCCCGATTGTTTGTTCACATGTTAAAATTCAACTTCATTTATAAAAATATAACTCGGAATTTTTACAGCAGTACAAATGCACAAATAGAACTGATATGACTTTTTAGATTAAGTGAAAACACTCTGAATGATTAGTGTATTTTTGTAGATCGCATGATGAAGATGAAGTAGTGAACATTAACTGGTCTTGAGTCTGTTTTACAGGGTTCGAACCTCAGATGAGTCAGAATTTTTACTTGTGTGTCTTCAGGTCCGGACCAAGTCCCTGTCCAACTGTGTTGAGTTTTATTATCTGTGGAAGAAGAAGCTGAGTCTGAACATGAAGACCCGTGCCGAGCTGACCTTCACTCAGCCGGACGTGATGGTAAGAAACAAGATGGTGACCTGCTTTCAACAGAACCTTTAGAACTACTCCAGAACCTCCTAGTGCTGTGATGATCAAAACCGTTTCTTCTTCTTCTATATTAGCACCAAATCACAACAAGTTGTCTCAAGGTTTTTTAAAAAGTTAACATTCTAATTGGCTCGCAAAGCTCTCGATTTACCAGTCGATCTACCGCCCAGACCTCACCTATGGTCATGAGCTTTGGGTAATGACCGAAAGAACAAGATTGAGGATTCAAGTGGCCAAAATGAGTTTTCTCCATGGGGTGGCTGGGCTCAGCTTTAGATGAGAAGCGTGGACATTCGGGAGAGACTCGGAGTAGAGCCGCTGCTCCTTCATATCCAGAGGAGTCATTTGAGGTGGTTTGGGCATCTTGTTAGGACGCCTCCCCAGGGAGGTGTTTCAGGCATGTTCTGCTGGCAGGAGGCCTCCTGGTAGACCCAGGACATGTTGGAGAAAGTACATCTCCGAACTGGCCCAGGAACACATTGGGGTCCTGCCGGAGGAGCTGGTGGAGGTGGCCGGGGAGAGGACAGTCTGGGACTCCCAAGTTGGAATGCAGCCCCCCCGACCCGGACCCGGATAGGCGGAAGAAGACGAGAGACGAGACATTCTGATTGAACTTACTCACCAGTGCACTGAGTTCAGTTCATTATGCCAAATAGTTAAAATCCTCTGCAGATTGCATCGAGTTACTGACTGGTGTCAACGTCTTTACAGCAATCCTAATACTGAGCAAGCATTTAGCGACAGTGGAGAGGAAAACTTCCTTTTAACAGGAAGAAACCTCCAGAGGATCCTGGATCAGTATAAGCAGCCATCCACCATGACTCACTGGGGTCTTTTATTGTTTTAACATTTGTAACTTGGATAAGAAATATTCTTTAACCTAAAGGTATTTGTTACTGTTTATTTTTAAGTTTCCAGACATGAATTGAAACTTGGACTTGGTTCTCTAGTTTGATTATAAACTTGTGTTTGTGCCTGACTCTGGTTCTGAAGACCTTTACCAATCCAGCTGGAACCAGTAGGGTTTAGTTTGGGACACGACTTGGGACTTGGTAGTGTTGTTATTGTCCTTGTTGGTATTGGTTTACGCTCTGATTTGGGACTTCTTTACATTGTCTTGAGACCTTTTGAATAAAAACCTTCCATGAGGCTATCACTGCTCTGCAGAACACCATTGTAGCTCCTTGTGGGGAGAAAAACACTTATGGGGGAAATAAAGTTAACAGCTGAAATAGCAGAATATTATGCAATTGAGACAGTAATGGTAGAAGAAAGTATCAGAGGGTGGGAAGTGGTCAGTATGTCATCCTGCAGTCTAAGCCTATAGCAGCATAATTACAAAGATGGAGGCATGTGAAAGGCAGGGCCAGGAAGAGCCATCTTTATCGACTGTATTCTCCACTGTAGGCTCCACCTCCCTCCATTCCTCCACTCCTAACATCAGAATTTAGAACAATATTTTATCATTTTTAATTAATTTTATAATTTAACTGTAAGCCCTATCAAATAAAAAGGTTTTAGGCCTAGTCTTAAAAGTAGACAAGGTGTCTTCTTCACAGACTAAAGATGGGAGCTGGTTTCACAAGAGAGGAGCCTGATGACTCAAAGATCTGCCTTGTCTGACTTGTAATGCAATCACATTTGGCCCTTATTAACGTTGTCTTTGACTCATTACAACCTTATGTAATGTGACTCAGTACTCTGTGGCCTGTTTATTGGTCCTGTCTTAGATTCTTTGTCTTGAAACTTGACTTGAGATCTGTTAACCTAGTCTTAGACCTAATTTTGTCTCAGATGTTGACAGCCCAGCCCTTTGACAGCTTGAGGTTTTTCTATTGTCTCTAGATGGGACTGTCTTGTGTTCCTCTGATGAAGTTGTGGTTTTTATTCAAATTCCACCGTGTAGTTTTACTGTCAGTCAGTCCGTGAACTAGAAGAAGAGCCCCGAGTTCTCATCGATGTGTTTGGTGAAGCGTTTCAGGTCAGTGAACACAAACGAAACTAGAGGCTTGTCAAATGAAAACCACTGAAACCAAATTCCGGTTATCACCTCACATAGACTCTCAGCAGAAAACACACAAACTGAAACACACACACAGGATGCCCACTTCCTGTTTGAACTGTCATGTTTCTGAAAAAACTGATACATGACATTTCAAGTAGCCAGTGAGTTTGTCTACGTGTGGTCACACCTCGGTTGACTCTTGTTTCCATCAGACTCATTTAGATTCTATTTGTATAGTTTTATTCTGTTGCCTTTATGCTGTTTTATGGTCTACTTAACATGATTAAACTTGGTTAAATTTATTTTTTGTGCTTAAATTTGATCACCTGTGTGTTTTGTTGGTATCACACACATTTGAACATATTTTAAAGCTCTTCTGTGTCTATTTGCTCAAGTCATCACAACAACAATCATGTTTCCAATTGTAATGATTTTAAATTACATGTTATTTAATAAGCCATAAGACATACGATTCCATAGGAAATATGAAATGAACCTTATGGATCTGTGGGTTACTTTAACCAGAAGATTGGAACTTTTTATTGCAGGGATTAGATAACAGCTTCGTATTCACTCAGAGACAACAGAACAGAGAGTCAAGTTTAAAGGTTTAAAGATTTATTACTAACAAATTAAACTAGACTAACTTTAACACTAAATGTATGGTGTAACTAAGGTGAATCAGACAGAGAGTGGTGTAGTGTGAAATGTTGATCGGAACCAGCAAATCCGAAGAAGCAATTAGTTCTGATGGGAACTGAAGGTGATGTCTTCACGCTAAGCTTTGGTTAGGAGATTCATAAACAAATTCAACGCCATTTGTCGGTCTACGTACCCTTAGCGGAAGTCCCCGTCTAGATCAGGAGGCGTAAAGGTCCAGCTTGACTTTATGGAGCCGAAGCCTGTAGAAGCAGCTGCGGCAGCCGACCACCCGTCTTGAGATACTCCCTGGTCACAACAGTTTTGTTGGCATGTAGCGAGACCCAAGCCTGGGTCGTGATGGTTCAGCTTTTATTCTGGAAGGAACCGTTGCAGCAGTTGGTACAGCAACAGATTTTATCCAGCTTGTCCTTGGTTCTTTCGGCTGAAGAGGAAAGTTACGGATTGGCCACTCCGACAACTTCTCTAGAACGCTTTGAACTGGCGCTAAAGATGACGTGGGCATAGTTTTATATTTCGGATGTTTTGGTTTATGGTCGAATGAAAAGATGACAGATTTACCAAGCACCACCAAAACCACGCCTCCGTCAGATCTGGCAGATTCTGATTGGATCAGTAAAGCAATATGTCGTCTCTTGACGCTACGTGAGATCAGTCCTAGTGGAAACATTTAAAGTCATATTACTTATTATATTCTATAGGATTATAATAAAGTAATTAATATTTTTATTTCACAGATTGGCCACATCTTATTTATTGACTAACACTTTGTTTGATTAGCTTTATCAAAAAAAGAGTTCTTTGATTTATTAAAAGGAGAGAGTCCATTCTTCTCTTGAGCTGGAAAGAAGCAGTTTAGAAGCAAATGCATGAGACCTTGAGGCCATATCTCATGCAGACTAGTTCTGTGTCAGAGGAGAGGGGGAAAATGACTTTTGGTGGAAAACAGTCATTTCATTCTGTTACACAATATAAGACAAGTCAGCCCCAGGTTCAAACTCAGACCTTTCCTTAAGGCTACAAAAACAAAACTTAGTTCAGCACAGGTCCCCTTCAAATCTGATTACTGATCACATTCTTGTCCAAGACCATAATGACTTCATTTTTCTTTGTGTTTCTTCAGGGAGAAAAGAATGTGTAAATCTCAGGAGATCTCAGATGAAGCAACGGACCACCAACATGTCGAGCTACACACTACGTGGCAACATAAGCACACAGATTAAAATTTCACCAGAACAACTTTAACTGGGGTCATGCTTGCAAAAGTAACCGTAACGTTAGACGTGCTGTTGGACTCAGGAGTCAATTCCTAAACCTTCACCAGGACTTCTTTGTTCTGATTCTGCAGTAAAGCTGTTTGATACTTTTGTACAAAGTTCTGTCTTTAATAATAATAATAATAATGCATTGAACTTACATAGCGCTTTTCTAGACACCCAAAGACACTTTCACACACTCTCACATTCACACACTGCTACTTGTAGCCACAGCCGCCCTGGGGAGGTCTGACAGAGGCGAGGCTGCCATTTGGCGCCGTCGGCCCCTCTGACCACCACTAACACAGGCAAGTTGGGTGAAGTGTCTTGCCCAAGGACACAGCAGCAGGATACCCCTGGCGGGAGCTGGAATCGAACCCATGACCCTCCGATCATGAGGCAACCCGCTCTACCACCTGAGCCACTGCTGCCCCTTTAATTGTGACGTCTAATAAAACAACACGAGGACATCTGAACACTAGTCCAGGACTCTGTTCTGAGAAGAGCTACAGCATCAGTGATGTTAGGATATTGTTTTTTTTCCCCATAATCCTCCCAGTCTTTGTCTTTGTTTTTGGGGCCTGAAGCTGAAATAAGCAGTGCTTATTACTGCCTTTAAATAATATTTAAAAAACACACGAAAGGCCTTGAGCTGACTGAAAAAATACAGTTTGGTTCAGTTTGGCTGTTAAACGCAGGCCAACACTCATTCTTTCTAACAATGCAACAGATGTGTTTGAGGCTGGTAGTCCAAAGGACCTGGATCAGGAAGAGATCACGGTTCTGATTAGATCAGACCAAACCCGGGTCCAGAGTCAAAGCTAGTGTTCAACCTCTGAAGAACAACATGATCTTGAAAATCTGGGACCAGGCCAGCAGGTGCATGGTCAGAACCACCAAGATCCAGGTCATCTAGTAGTATTCAGAAACTATTTGAGGTCAGAGACAGTCAGAATGACTTAAAAAGAAAAAGATGAGGACGAATATAAAACAGATGTGTTTCTGTTAGAGGAGTTAATTTGTGGAACAGTTATGAAAATGACTTAAAAAGGTTTAGCTCGCTCTGTGTTTAAAAATAGGTTGAAAAGTAGATTATTAGAAGAATATATAAAAGACGAATGAAAGGTACAAGATCATGGTATTGAAACTTTGGTCTTGTTATGTATATTTCTATTATATGTATGAAATGAGTCTAATGTATGCGTTTATCTAAGGTGGAAAGCTACTTTAATCTTGTTTAGGTTTTTTGTTTACATATGTCTGGCTCTTCCCATTGGTGTTAAGCCTTATGTATATGAACTATGTGAAAAAGTAGTTTGCTTTCTTAGGCCTAGTCCACATGTAGCCGGGTCTTTTTAAAAACGAATGTCCGCCCCTCAAAAAACTTGCATCCACACCACCTCGTTTTAAAACAAAACTCTGTCCACACATATCCGGATAAATACGTTGTTAAGGACATGCCAGACCTGTAGGCGGCAGTACTTCCCCCTTTCTTAACCTCGTCCTTCGTCTGTGGTCTTCCGCAAGGAGCAGTAATTCCACTTGCAAAAACAAACAAGCAAAAAGCGCTTGGACAATTGATAAAGCTGGGACTAAAATGGACCTCAGTCAGGTGTGCCCCAGGGCTCTGTCCTGGGGCCCCTCCTCTTCATAGTATACCTCCTCCCTATCGGCAAAATCTTCCGCAAATTCAATATCCAGTTTCACTGCTTTGCGGATGACACCCAGCTCTACATTTCCAGTAAGCCCAACTCAACTCTCCCACCATCCTCCCTTACACTCTGACTCTCTGAAATCAAATCATGGTTCACCTCTAATTTCCTCAAACTCAACGGCAATAAAACTGAACTTCTTCTAGTTGGCACTAACTCCACCCTCTCAACATCTGACAGCTTTTCTTTAACTATTGACAGCGCCATAGTCTCCCCCTCCCCTCACGTCAAGAGTCTGGGTGTCATTCTTGACAGCTCACTTTCTTTTCAAGCTCACATTAATAACATAATTCGGTCAGCATACTTCCATCTACGTTCCATAAACCGTCTCCGTCCCTCACTGACCCCTCACACTGCTGCCATTCTCGTCCACAGCCTCGTCACCTCCCGTATCGACTATTGCAATTCACTTCTTTATGGTCTCCCCAACAAACTCCTTCATAAACTGCAAATGGTCCAGAATTCAGCAGCCCGTATTATCACCAGAACCCCTTCCTTTCACCACATCACCCCGGTTCTCCAGCAGCTTCACTGGCTTCCAGTTAAATTCAGGTCCATCTTCAAAATTCTCCTCCATACCTTCAAAGCTACCCACAACCTCTCTCCTCCATATATCTCAGACCTTATAAATATTCACACCCCGTCCCGTTCACTCAGATCTTCTTCTTCCATCCATCTTGCGGTTCCTTCTGCCCGTCTCACTACCATGGGGAGCAGAGCTTTCAGCCGCTCTGCTCCCCGTCTCTGGAACTCACTTCCCCCAGACATCAGGAACATCGACAGTTTTACCTTTTCCAATCAAAACTCAAAACACACATGTTTAAATCTGCCTACAACCTCTGATTTTATTGAACTGTTTCTCTCTTTGTTTTTTCTTGTTTGGGTTTTATTATTGTTTTATTGTATTTTATCACGTGTTTTCTGTAAAGTGACCTTGGGTGTCCTGAAAGGCGCTTTGAAATAAAATGTATTATTATTATTATTATTATTAGCTCTGAGGGCATCCATGCTGTTGGCTAGTGTAAACACAGGTCGCACACGTGATGTCAGCATTTGTTTGTCGCGGAAAGTGACGTTGCGGACCTTAAAACTCCGGTTTTGTCTGTCCACACGCAGACACCCAAAACGGAGAAAACGCAGATCTTCACTTTGGCCGGAGTTTTTAAAAAGATCCGTTTTCGTGTGAAAAAACTCTGTTTTCGTGTGGATGACAGGCCAAAACGTAGAAAAATTATCTACGTTTTGGCAGATCCCCGGCTACGTGTGGACGGGCCTAAATGTCATGAGCCGGGGTGAGTACTCATTCTCTTAAACATCTCTGAGTCTCTTGCCAGGAGAGGGAGTGCCACCAGCTGTTCCTGATCTGCAATCAGCGGGGTGCTTCCTGCTTAAGGTGGATGGAGGACACAGTTCGATGCCGGAAGATTGCCACAGCTTGGTAGTATCCAGCCGCTCGTGTATTCGCTATCTCTAGGATTAGCTTTTCCAAAAGTGTTTTTACTCTAGGCTTTAGACTTTTTTGGGATTTTACTAACCTCCAGGATCTGACTCAGGATTCTTTCTCCCCTCCAGGATTCCAGTGTTTTTCCTCTGGTCACTGTGCTTTAGGATACTCACCTCAGGACTCCTGGGTTTGGAAACTCCGATCCTCCAGGACCCACTCACCGTTCTCAATAATTCTCCCCAGACATTTCGGCTCGGTGTCTCCCATCCACCGGGACGCCCTGCTTGTCTTCGCCTGTGCTCCCTCTCCTGCGCTCTCCCCGGCTCTCGACCTGCTCCCTCCTCCAGCCAGCTACTCTCACCTTACTGTACGTTCATTGAACTAACCTGGGACTAAAATGGACCTCAGGAACTGAAGTCATACTCGCCAGTGTTCTCCCTCCTCCAGACGCAGAGCTCCCGTATCTGCCCCAACCACTGACTCTCTAGTGCATCTTCAGTTTCTTATTTTGAAAATAAAACAAATCCACCCCCCCCCCCATCTTTGGTTTGTGTTGTGTTCTGCATGTCTTGGGTTCACCTTCCCCAAACATGACACTTAAAAAGGGGTTGGCATAATAAGCTTGTGTTTCAGCCAACACCTTTTGATTGGCCTTGTTTGTGTGTTACTTTGTCTGAGACAGCCTTTAATTCAATTGCAGTGTGATATTTTATTGCTAATCAATAAAAACTAAAATCTAAGGCAGTGGTTCCCAACCTTCATTTCTTAGGAACCTCCTTGCCTGTGTCCAGCACAAGCCAACTCTTACCTGCATGAACACACTAAGTTATAACTATTATACAGAGTTTCCATTATACTATTGGGATTTTATACATGTAACCTTTACAAATATAATCTTGGTAACCTCAGTCCAGACAAAATGGTGGGGACCCTGTATAATCTTGTGGGGATCCCCCTTGGGGCCATGGACTCCAAGTTGGGAACCACTGATCTTCAGGTACCAGTTTTGGACGCAGAGTCCAGGTAAAGCTCTAGCCCACCAAACAGATTCCAAATCTACTCTGAATTAAAGACGGGATTTAGTCAAGTTTTAGGTTTAGTTGTGATTCAGTTAGTCCCATTTTACAATCCGAGTCGAGACAACAGAGCCTAAAACAAATCCACAAAACAGGATTCTGCTGAGAACTCTTGACTGGTCTGTCAAGTCGTCCTTAAGAAAAAAACATCAGAATAACTTGTGTTTGAGGTTGAAGTGACATGAAAGCAGGAAGAAACGGAAAAAGGCTGAAACAAAACTCTGGTGGTTTAAAGAACAATGAAAGGTCAAAGGTCACCAGAAGGACGTGAGTATTTATTGGTGTTTCACATAATATTAAACTCGACCCAGGTGAATCAGCAGATGGAAGATTTGTTGTGTTCTTTTAACAAAGAGGTCAATCTGTTTCACGAGGTCGTTGACCCTGCGATGTTTATCCTGTAAACAACAGCGCCTACCCACAGAACCATCAGCTGCTCAGGTGAGGTAAATCCCACGAACCTCCACATACTTCTGTAATCTACCCATTCCTGTGTGGAGGGAGCTTCGGGCAACTAATAAAAGTTGAACTCCTCCTCATTCCAAAGGTCCTCCCGGCTGAAAACAGACGTGGAGAGCCAAGAGAGAAGGAGCGAGGGATGGGAGCACAGCAGGAGGAGGAGGACGGAGCTCCGTCAGAAGAAAGGAAACAACAGAAAACGTCTAAAGAAGTTTACTTCTGCGTCCTGCCAGATAAATATGAACCTCTGATCGAAGAGGAGGAGGAGACAGAGGAGGAGAGGAGGAAATGGAAGGAGGACAAGAAGAGAAAGAGAAAGGACAGATACAGAAAGTATAGGAAGGTAAGCAGTGATGGCCTTTGACCTTAAGAGGAGTGTGGGAACTCCCTCATAGTTCCTAAACTGCCATGGCAGCTGATTTATTTAGCTAAAAACACTTTCATTATTTTGGCGGTTCTAATATAAAACAAACAAAATTTAATGCATTTAATTCACATTTTTAATTATTAAAGAGAATTAATTAACAGCTTTTACAATATAAAATCAAAACCAATATAATGAAGGTAAATAAGTGACAACAAGTCAAATAACGCATTTAATTAAATAATAATATGAATTACTCGAGTCAAAGAAAACAAACAAGGTCTGATAAATTATTAAAATAAAGATATTTAGAAAGGTGTTCGTGGCAAGTTGATTAGAAATAAACCTTTAATTACAGCCTTCATTTATGATGACAGTTCATTTAAAATGATGTCAAATATTTGATCGGAATCAAAAACTGGTGATAATTATGGTAAAACGGATCAAAGTATAAACAGTGTGTCAGAATAAAAGAGATTTTGTTGAAATTCCAGCAGCTTTTTTATCAGCTGGCTTCAGACAACATTACAGCTGTTAAACATTGACTCGAGTATGACCTTTGACCCCGACACACAAATAAACACAGCTTCAAGAAAACCTTTTAGATCAAAACCCAGCAGAAGATCTACTTCTTGTTGCTTCTCATGAATCACATTTATTAATCAGAACCAGGAAACTAGAAAACAATCAATCTAATGAATCGTTTTTATCGACACCAACAATCCAGAACCTTTCATACCGACCCTTTAATACAGAATCAACTATAATTTTGTTATTTTTGGTCAAATAAATAAATGTTTGATGTGGTTAAACTCAGAGTAAAAACCATTTTGTGACTTTAATTTAAATTTTTGTGGTCGGATGTTGGCACTGTCTCGACCCCTAACCCCACACACAGTCTGTGCCTTGCTGCATGGCAGGGACTTGAACCACTAACCCTTTTCTTCTTCTGTGGTGCAGAACGTGAGGAAGGCTCTGAGCTTCAGCTGGCACTGCTTGCTGGCCGGTCTGCAAAGCATGGCCTCCAGCTACTCCACTCCTTTCTCCGCTGTGGTCACCGTGGCAACAGAGGTGAACTGAGCGAGCAGCAGCAAAGCATGATGGGAAACAGAGGGGATTGAACTCTTAGATTACTTGTGTTTACTTATGTGGATTATGTTGTATTTAAAGTCTGTTTAAGCATTTTAATAAAAAAAATCTAATTTTGAAACTTTCTGGAATGTTTCTGGTTTGGTCAATCCAGCTTTTTTTTCCTGCATCCTTTTCGAGTAGTCTTCCTCTCTGCTACCACTTCCTCTTCCCTCTTCCGGGGGCAGCAGTAGCTCAACAGGTTGAGCAGGTTGTCCAGTAATCGGAAGGTTGCAGGTTCGATCCTGGCTCCGGACAGAGAATTCTGCTGTTGTGTCCTTGGGCAAGACGCTTAACCCACCTTGCCTGCTGGTGGTAGTCGGAGGGACCGGTGGCGCCTGTGCTCGGCAGCCTCGCCTCTGTCTGTGCGCCCCAGGGCAGCTGTGGCTACATCGTAGCTCATCACCACCAGTGTGTGTATGTGTATGTGAATGGATGAATGATACACTGTAGTGTAAAGTGCTTTGGAGTCCTTACTCTGAGAGGCGCTATACAAGTGCAGGTCATTTATCATTCATTTATCATCCGTCCCCTTCCCCACATCTCTTATCTTTGCTTCTTTCTCAGTCTTCATGTCTCAGATTCCATTCACCTGAACTCCAAATGTCCTGAAATAGTTTCAAGATGGCAGCAAAAAGATGATTGCACCTGTGGATGACAGGTTAACTGGTCCCTGTGGCTGTGAGTGTATTTCTATTTGTCTCTGTGATGGACTGGAGACCTGTCCAGTGTGTCCCCCTCCTCTTGTCCACAAACAGCTGACTCCAAACTGAGGAAAGACTGTTGCATGCTTCTTTTCTCTCATGCAGTGAGGCAAATTGACCACTGGGTGTCGCTGTTGCTTACTACCAGCTGGGACAGGCCTCTGCTCAGGGACAGTGTGAGGTGAGGGAGGTGGGGGCTGGTGAAAGTTCACCGTGAATCCGACCCGCCTGCTGGCTGCTCCATAACCGTCCTGTGACAGGAGCAGCTGCTCAGACACGGGAGCGACCCAGGCGGAACAACATGATCCAGATCAGCTCCTGAATGAGAACCGCTCCGAACCAGAACAGGAACCGGGATGTCCCCGCTGCAGCTCTCCGTTTACTGGCGTCTTTCACTTCTTTATTCTTTCACTCCGTTCCTTTTCTTTATGGACATCTTCACAGCAGCCATAACTGCTGATACATGTCGTCATGACAACGCCACACACGCCCCAGCTTCCTGGGGTGGAAGCAACCAATCAGAGCAAGGGGAAATTTTAGAGATGGAGTCTGATTGGTGGAGCCAAGATGTGAGTGAAAATGACTTTATCACTGCTTTAATAGCTCCAGTATTCACCGTTCAGAATCCAAGTTAAAACTTGAAATCGGACTAAAATTGGATTAAATCACATCATCTATCGTACAGCTGCAGCTGCATAGGATAGGAATAACTCGGTAATTAATCCAAGTTATTCTCTAAATTATGAGATGATCTGTTTAGATTATTGATACAGAAACTTGATTCTGATTTTAGCTGCAGGGATTCAAAGCTGCAAATAATGTATTATTATTTATAGATGTGAAGAATAACAGATTACTCAACATAACAAAGAGTCAATAATCACCACAAGGATGTTAATGAACAGTTTAGGGCAAAACTTCCTGCTTTCTGCTGAGCTGGCTCCGCGACAGGTGGATCTTGACCCTTTCTGGAGAACTTCGGGACTGAGTTACATGTTGTGTTGAGTCATCTTTACTACAGCGAGCCACTGGGACTTTATACATCATTGGTGTTTTATTAATAACTGATAATGAATTCACAATCTGTGACACCAGCAGCAGGTTTACAACTCAGTTAAAAACAAAACAAACATCGACCCTGGAGGAATTCCTCCAGCAGCACCGGGGTCAAAGGTGATCTGATGATGGAGGAATAGTTGCTATGGTCAAATCTGGAAGACAGAGTTGTGATTGATCTCTGTATGTGTGTGTGTGTGTGTGTGTGTGTGTGTGTGTGTGTGTGTGTGTGTGTGTCAGTCAGTGTGCAGCTGGACAGACTGGTTGTCATATGGTCAGACTGTCTACATGATAGGAATGCTGCTGGGATCTCTGGTGGGAGGAGCTTTAGCAGACAGGTAAGGCGCGTGCACGCACACACACACACACACACACACACACACACACACACACGCACACACGAGTAAATTCTTCAGTTTTGTTTCTGACCTGTTGGTGGTGAGGTTCTGGTACCATCCCGCTGTATGTGTTCAGGTACGGGAAGCGTCGGATGCTGCTGGTAGCCGGATTCATCCAAGCCTTCTGTGGCGTTGTACCCGCCATCTTTCCTCAACCTCACCTTTTCCTTGCCACCCGCTGTCTAACAGCCATCTCCTTTTACTTTATCAATATTTGTGCCTTCAGCCTGGGTAACACACACACACACACACACACACACACACACACACACACACACACACTCACACACACACACACACACACACACACACACACACACACACACACACACACACACACACACACACACACACACACACACACACACACACACTCCTTTGGTGATGAGTTTCTACAACATTTCTGATAACTCAAAGTACTCTTACTAAAGTAAAATATTGCTCAAATAAACACAACAAAGTAATATTGTAAAAATTATTATATTTATGGACTGTTCTGCAGTCCCTGACCCTCCTGACTCCTCTGTTGTGTGTTTTCCTGGCAGCGGTGGAGTGGACTCTCCCTGCGGCTCGGCTCTGGCCCCCTGCCTTCCTGTCATTCTGCTTCAGCCTGGGGACGATGGGCGGGGCTCCGCTGGCCTGGCTCAGTCCCACCTGGACTCAGCTGCACCTGACCCTTGCCCTACCTCAGCTCATGTGTCTGCCCCTCTACTTGTAAGCTGATGCTCATCTGGCATGTCGCTTCCGTGATTTCAAACCTGCTGACGGTTTTCCTGTTGTTCCAGCTCCATCCCAGAGTCTCCTCGGTGGCTGCTGCTACAGAAGAATGTGGATGTTTTGCAGCGTTACCATGGCAACAGCCCAGCAGATAAACAGCATCTGACCCTGGTGAGAAGACGTGGCTAACTTTCTAAGTGGTGAACTACACGACTGAGTGCCTGTTTTTGTCCAGCTGCTGGACTCGGTTCAGTCCGACCTGGAGAAAGCTGCGGATGCTCAGACACAAATATCTGGCAGTAGATGCCCCGCCCACACAGGTAAAGCCCACCTGAGATCCATCCTGCTGAAACTGGTCATCATGAGCTTCCTGAGGTACTGCACTCACATAACACCTTACCATTGAACGTAAAATTAACAAGAAGTACAAAAATAAAGTTCAGATCTTCGAATGACCTGAAACAGCATGGCTGTAGGAGCAGACCTTGTCTGGAACTCCAGCGTCCAACAGGAGCCTTCAGCAGGCTTGAGACTCAAAGTTACATGATTTTGCAACAAAAACAGTCAGAGAAAAGATTAAGACTCACATGCTCTCTGACTTTTGTCCTCTCGTTCAAAACATCTGATACACGAGTCAAACAGCAACTTTAGACTGGCTTCAGTAGTTCAGCACAAAAATGTTATCAACAACCAATAATTAAAGAGATCACCATTGTCACAAAGAAACATCTAGAAAACTTACTCTGGACCAAGAAGATACTTCTGTTCCACGTAAAAGTTTCTACCAGATATTCTTTAGTATCTTTAACTATTGAAGTAATTATTTGTAAATAACTGACAGAATAAATCAGCATTTTCTCAGTTTAATGAACCACAGAGTTGCTTTTTAGATGTTTGTTTACAGACTTTTGGATCATCTGACACAGAAGGAACACACATCTGGTAACGGGTTGGGAAACATCTGGATCTGCTCCGTTTCAAGTCACGTGAGAGGCGACAATTCTTGGATCAGTGTTGTCAGATAAAAGAGCAGAGGGTCCACTCCGGTAAAGGTTCAGGACTAAAGCAACACGAACCCACGTTCAGATGAACCTAAGCAGGAATAGCTCCATCAGCCAGTTCAGAGGAGATGGACCGTGTCTCCTCAGTAAAATGTTGTCTGGAATATTTTTACTATTAATTTGGACGCTGTACAGAAATCCTGAGAGGAAAACAACAAGTAAGGACTGTATCATTCTCTAAGTCCTCAGACATTTAGATTTATTTATTTATCCTTAAGTAGGTTTAAAACATTGGTAACACTTTACCATAATGGTCCCTTAATTAACATTCTCATTATTGTTGACCTTAAAGAGCAAGTCACCCCCAAATCTACTTTTTTTTGCTGATAAACTATATAAACGAGAGTCTAATGGTGCTGTTGACACGTTTTGTCAATCTTTTGGCACTTAAATGCATCTTAGTTACATTTTAAATATTCTGACTAAACTGTCAGCGTTGCGCCCTCTTCAGGTAAAACCTTTGCACTGCATCTGAATTTAAATTTGCCATGGCTATTGGCTAAGAGGTACCCTATGACGTTGGCTGGTACATTATGATGTCACAATGCCACTGTGATCCTGTGTGTGTGTGTGTTTGTTAGTGGCTCCGCCCTCTCAGTCTGCCAGGCCGCGCCTTCTTTTGGCTCATTTTTCAAACAGAAAATGGGAGTGGAGTTCGAACTTGTAGGGGGTGACTAGCACTTTAAGGTTAGGAAAAAGGGTCGAGGGGGTGTCTGTTTAGTAGCGAATTACAAAATATGGTTAAGCAGTTGTTATTCTTTATTTAATAGTTAATAACGCACTAATAAACGTGAATAATGGGTCCGTTTTTGTAAAGTGTTACCAAACAAATATGAAGGGAAATAAAAATAATCTAAATTTTTCAAAAGTTTGTCAAAGATGGAAGTTTAAAAATGCAAACAAACAAACAGATCTAGTTTCTGTTCTAACTTCAGCATGAACATAGGTGAATCCTGCCCTCTTGTGGCCACAACTAACATTTACAGCCCCCAAAACTTGTGTTTTTCTTCTGGGCTAAAATGTTTGTAGTTTTTTATTTTTACAGAAACAAAAAGTTGTTCAGAATTAATGCAATGTTATTCATTTCCTCCTGCCTTTCAAGGCTTCTGCCTCAGTGTTTTCCAGCTTAAAGATTCAAATTTAGGCAGAAATACCAAAAGTCGTAATTCTGAACTATTTATGTGATTTGGGTTATTTCAAGTAAAAGGTATTCTCCTGAGATTCAGTTTGTTTGAACAATATTTAAAAAAACCATTTATGCTTTTTTCATTTTTTTTTACAAACTTGGTGTTTGTTCTTCTTGGGTAGGTACATCATGACTGGTATTGAAGGTTTTATTTAGTTTAAAGCAAATCAAACGTGCTGTTTTTTAAACTTTAGTGAATAATCTGACCTTTTGTGTTAATCTCTGCAGTGCCGCTGTAGCCTTGACGTACTATGGCATCTGTCTGAACATCGGCTCATTTGGCGTTAGTGTTTACGCCGCTCAGTTTTTCTCTGGCCTCTCAGAGGTTCCTGGTCTGCTGGTTCCTTTGGCCCGCCTTGGACGTCGACTCCTCACCATGCTGGCTCTGTTCCTGAGTGGGTCTGCCTGCTGTTTGTCCTTACTGCTGTCCAGATACAACGGTGAGCCAGTCTTGTCTAACAGCTGGAAAGGAGCTGAAGTTCGTACCGGTTAGATGGTGCTGGGAGGCCTCCAGAGACCAGCATGCTAAGGGGAAAATGGCCTCCTCAGCCTCAGATGACTTCAGAAGCATCAAATATGAGGAAATCTGACATCAGACCAGACGCTCTTAGGAGAAACACAAAGTTAACCTCAGATTAAGACTTTTTATCATCTGAACCATCTTCAAACTCAGACTGTCCAGAACTGTACCGGATCACTTTCTGCTAAACGCTGAATTATTAAAATGAACTTTTACCATACCGCTTTTATTTATGAAGCTTTTAACATGGCATTACAACCAACCAAAGAGCTGCACACAGAGCATCAAACAGTCATATCAGAAAAACCATATAAAAAAGTACAACAAAGAATGGTCGACCAAACTGACCAGGGATTTAACATTAAAGAACAAAAGTTGAAGGGGGATGACAAGGAGTAATGCTTCATGAATCGAAGGCCAGGGAGAAATTATTTCTTTTCAGCTGAGATTTAAAGACGGCATGCGAGGTTGCTTGCCTAACCTGAAGGGTGGTGACTTCCACAGTTTTGGGGCACAGACAGAAAAGCCCTTTCCCCGCAAGTCCTCAAACGCGCCTTAGGGACGGTGAGGAGGAGCTGATCTGCGGACCTAAGAGCACGAGCCTGACTATTCAAAGGTTTGAATGCAAAGAGCAGAATTTTGAATTTGATTCTGAATTGAACGGGCAACCAATGCAGTGACTTAAGAATGGGTGTGATGTGCTGTCTTCTGCCAGCTCCAGTCAGGAACCTTGCCTCTGAATTCTGGACGAGCTGAAGTCTGGACAGAGATGTGTTACTGATGCCGTATAAACAGGAGTTGGAGCAGTTTAGCTGGGATGTGATGAAGGCATGAATCACCGACTCTAGAAGAGGGACACTCAGGATGGGCTTTAATTTAGAAATTCGCCTAAGGTGTTAGAAACAGGACTAACCTGTGCTGTTGACCTGCATGTCCATCTTCAGAACCGGATCCATTTTTACTCCCATGTTTGAAGCGTTTTGAAACCTTTACTCTGGTTGTGAAAGTTGAAGATATTTAGTTTAGTTTTTAAACCCAAATGGTGAAAATCTGTGTTGTAGTCTGAAGCCTGAAGATTTATCGTCTCCAGATGTGAGGATGTCCTTAAATGGACACCATGTACTTTACATTTAGTTTGTGATGAACTGGTTTCTAGGTGAACCGGTGCTGGTGATGAGTCTGGCCCTGCTGGGAAAACTCTGCATCCTGGCTGCCTCCTTCATCTTGCTTTTGTACAGCATAGAACTGTTTCCAACAGTCGTCAGGTACCAGACTCGCCTTTCTGCACCTTCACCTGTTTACATTTCCAGTAACAGCTGATAAATCTGATCTAGACAGCGCTGCATATCCCTGGTCAACCTGTCCTACCGTCGTGGCTGTCTGGCCACGACCTTCGTTCCCTCCGGTCCAAATGGAGCCATCTCATTGGTTGCCATGGTTGTGTATAGCAGCGGACCAATCGTAGGCTGTAGCCTGTGTTTGCTGCTTCCAGAAACCAGCGGCGTTCCACTTCCCGACTCACTGGAGGACTGTGACATGTCTCACCCTGCCAGCATGGACGCCCTACTCAGGCCAAAGTAAGAATTCAGTCCCAACTCTGATTGGCCGACCCGTTTCCTGCATGGATTATTTAATTCATGATGTGTTTTTCTTTTATTCAGGAGGCTACAGAGCAGCCAGATGAAAACAGAAACTCTCTCTTCAGAGAAAGCTGGCACACAAACATCAAATTGACCGTTTTCTTTGGAGAGCACAAATAAAATGATGCATTCTTATTCAGACCAAAGGACATGAAAATCATCTAAACCAGGGGTGTCAAACTCATTTTAGCTCAGGGGCCACATGGAGGGAAATCTAGTCCCAAGTGCGCCGGGCCGGTAAATAAAAAAAAAAAAACTTCAGATTGTTTTCTTTGTTTTAATACAATCAATATAAAACAAGGCTGGAGCCTGAGGACAATGTAGTACAAGTACAACACCTGAAGTGTACTTGAAAATTTGAAAAAAAAAAAAAATCAATCAATAAATAAAACATTCCTTAGTGATTCAAAGAGCTTACAGATCACATGGCAAGATCAGTTTCATGCATCACTTAAAGTATATTTGACTCATTTTACTTTACATCTTTTAGCTTTCACCAGCACATCAATATCAGAAGTCACATCCTGAGTGGCGGCCAACTTCAGGATGTGATTCAAGTTCTTGTGTGAGCCTTGAGCGCAGCTTTGTTTTAGTTATACTCGTTACAGAGAAAACTTGCTCACAAAGATAAGTTTATTTTCACTCTACATTGTAAAGTATGAAAATAAAGTTTTCACAACCATCTCGCGGGCCGGATTTAACCCGCTTGCGGGCCGCATATTTGACACCCCTGATCTAAACAGCAGCACCTTTAGTTTTGTAACGTGACGGAGGTGCCATTCCCCCGAAGGTTATTTACCCTCTCTCCACGGATGTCTCTGACACAGAACTAATCTGCATGAGACTGCCTCAAGGTCATGCATTTGCTTCTAAACTGCTTCCTTTCCAGCTCAAGAGAAGATTGAAGATAAAGGACTCTTTCTTGTTGATAAATCAAAGAATTATTTTTAATAAAGCTAATCAAACAAAGTGTTAGTCAATAATATAATGCTGACCAATCTGTGAACTAACAATGTTATGATTAATATGCTTTAATAAGTAATATGACTTTAATCTAGCTGCACTAGACATCCTGACTACACGTAATGTAAACGCATGACACATTGTTTACTCATCCAATCAGAACCTTCCTTTCTGAGGCGTGGCATAGTCTCTGTGGTGTTTATAAATCTGCCAACTTTGATTCGACCAGAAATCAAAACATCCAGATTAATAAAACTAGTTCCCACGCCATCTTAAGTTCAGTTCTCAACAGTTCTGAACAGTTTACTGGAGTTCTCGGCAGTTCACCGCATGCTAAGAGAAGTATCGGACCAGCCACCCGGACTTCTTTTTTTAAGCAACGAACCAACAAGCTGGATAAAATCTGTTGCATTTTTCCAACCAAGCAATGGTTCCTTTCAGAATAAAAGCTGAACTCACTGACCCTCAGGGTCCATCTGACGCTGTCAACCAACTGACGCTTTTTACCTGGAAACAATCCAAAGACTAGTCTGTCGTACTGCTGATGCTGTTTCATCAGCTCCAGTACCAAAAGGGAGGTTTGAGGACCTGACATTATGGATCTGTACGGAGGTCTCATCCTAAGGGTATGTGTGGAGCAACAATTATGGCTTCTCACGTGTTTATGAAACTCCGATCAAACTCCGATCATAGCTAAAGCAAAACATCACAACATCATTTAGACTTGCTTCTCCGGATACGAGAGTTCTGATGACAACATCACTCACACACGCATCATTCATCTCACGTCTCATTCACACCAGATCCACTCATCACTTAGAGTTTAGAGTTAGTCTTGTTTAAAATTCTTTCAAATTGTTTAGAAATAAATCTTAAACATTTTAAAGGTGACTCTCTCTTCTCTTGTCTCTCAGTTAATACGAAGTGTTACATAATCCCTGCAATAAAAAGTTCCAATCTTTTGGTTAAAATAACCCCAAGGTCCACAAGGTTGATTTCATATGTAATATGGAATCTCACGTCTTATGGTCCATTAATTAGATGTAAATGAACTCCTTTACAGTTTTAAAATACTTTCTTCAGTTTGTATTAACATATATAAAAAATTATAAATCACGTTTCCTTCCTGTGATTTTTCAGAGATCTGATTACATGTTTGTAGGTGTCGGGTGGGTGAATGCTTCTTAGCCGATGGGAGTGGACTCAGTTAAACTTCAAAACAAACATGAATCCAGAATGGTACCCAAGCATCCTCCCAGAGGAACTCCTCCAACCATCCAACAACAGTTTGGTGAAGAACAATGTCTTTTCCAGCACGACGGACCACCAGGAAAGAAGCCCAAACGGTAAATGGCCTGTATCTGCACAGTGCCTTCTGGGGTTCTACAACCCCCCAAGGTGGTTTACATTACAACCAGTAGTTCACTGTGCTCTCTATAATTAATGCTTCTCTGGTTTCTAGTCAGGTCCCTGCTTACTTTATGAACGCTGTAATCCATCCACTTCTTAAAAAAACGAGTCTTGACGCCTCTCTCTGTAGCAGCTTCAGACCCATCTCTAAACTTCCGTTCATCTCCAAGATCTTGGAAAAGGTTGTGGCTAAACAACTCACAGCTGCTCTTGATGAACATAACATCTATGATAGCTTCCAGTCAGGTTTTCGTAGAGCTCATTCTACTGAAACAGCTCTTCTTAGGGTCTCTAATGACCTTCTGACTCACAGTGATGCAGGGGACTGTTCTGTTCTGGTCCTGCTGGACCTGACTGCAGCCTTTGACACTGTTGACCATCATCTGCTACTGGAGAGGCTGAGAGACTGGGTAGGCCTATCAGGATCTGCTCTGGAGTGGTTCTCCTCTTATCTTTCTGAGCACTCCTTTTCTGTGGCCGTCTCCAACTTTAGGTCCTCCACCACCTCCCTTACCCATGGTGTCCCACAAGGTTCTGTGCTGGGGCCTCTGCTCTTCCTCCTCTATCTGCTTCCTCTTCAGCATATCCTGAGCTCCTTCAAAGGAATCTCCTACCATCTTTACGCAGATGACATCCAACTGTACATCTCCTTTAAACCCCATGAGATGTCTAAGCTGCAGCTGTTACACACCTGCTTAGACTCTATCAAAACCTGGATGGCTGGGAGCTTTCTACAGCTGAATGATGATAAGACTGAGATCCTCATCTGTGCCCCAGACAAGCTGGTTCCCAAAGTCAGAGACTCTCTTGGTCAGCTTGCTTCTCACACCAAACCTTCCATCAGGAATCTTGGTGTGACCTTTGACCCAGCTCTCACCCTGGATTCTCATGTCAGTTCTCTTGTTCGCACTTCCTTCTTCCATTTCAGGAACATTGCTAAGCTGAGTCCCATTCTGTCCCGCTCTGAACTTAAGACAGTTCTCCACACCTTCATCTCCTCACGCTTAGACTACTGTAACTCTCTTTTCACGTGTCTGAGCAGAACCTCCCTGAACCGTCTACAGGTGGTTCAGAATGCCTGTGCTCGGCTTCTGACCAAGTCCTCCAAACACACCCACATCACCCCGCTTGTCCTCCAGCTTCATTGGCTGCCAATCAACTTCAGGGTTCATTTCAAGTTCCTGGTTCTGGTCTATAGGGCCTTACATGGACAAGCACCATCTTACATTGGTGATCTTCTTAAGTCCCTACACCCCCAGCAGGTCCCTGAGGTCCAGTGATCAAAGCCTACTGGTTGTGCAGCACCAGGCTAAAGACCAAAGGTGACATATCATCTGCTGCTGTGTCCCCCAGACTCTGGAACTCTCTCCCCCTGAGCCTAAGATCAGTGGACTCAGTGGTCTCCTTTAAAAAGCAGCTGAAGACTCACTTGTTCAAGCTGGCTTTTGTATGACCTTCTTCACCACTCTCTCTTTATTCTGCTCTCCCCACCTATTCCACCTTCCTCAGGATCCACTGATTTCCCTCTTTCCTATTCACTCTCTTTCTTTATATTTTTTTAATCACAATTGTCTATTTTTTGCTCATTTGAATTATTTTTTATTTTTACATTTTTTGTTTTTGTGAAGCGCCTCGTGATTTTTATCTTGCGAGGCACTATAGAAAAGATATTTTCTTCTTCTTCACCCACATACTCACATTCACACTTTGGTGGCAATGAGCTAGAATGTAGCCACAGCTGGACGCTGGTGCCACCGAACCCTTGGCCACCACCCGCACGCAACACGGGTTAAAGGTGTGGTTCCCTGAAAAAAAGGTGGTTTTATCACCGTATTGGCCCGTATATTAAATGACTCGCCTGTCCAAGACTTATCTTCAGGAAATGAAAAAAAAATAACACTTTTTAAATAAACTATTATAAATGTTGGAACAAATACGGAGCAAATATACTATTTTAACTCCGCTCCGGATCACTCATCTCCATTTTCTTCTCCTGTTGAGAACATACAGCCTGGCGCCCTTTGCTGTTACAGATGTGTAAAGACCCCAGACAAATATCAGCATGTGTGAATGCGTAGATTATAAGATGACCCCACATTTTAAAATAATTTTCAATGAAAAAATTCTTGTGCTATAGGGCTCAGGGAGTTGACTTCACTTCTCCCGGCATGCAACAGTTCAAATCGAATGGCGCCATCTTGGCAGGCAGTAACCCACAGCTAGGCTATTTGTTATTGTCAGTAAAGTCAAACGGGAAATTTTGTAGACTCCTGTTGTGCCCCAGGATGCAAGAACAGACACGGATGAGATAAGGGAAGAGCCTTCTACAGGATTCCCCAAGATCCAGAACGCCGCAAACGTTGGATCATATTTTTTAGAAGCTAGTAGGAATATCCGTTTATTTCATTTGTAAGGACACTTTTAAAACTTATTATTTCAAACTGTATTTATTCCAACATTTTACATAACACACATAAAAGGTGCCTAAGACTGAAGTTACAGATGTCTGCCACCTCCTGGCAGAGTGAATGATCAACTGTGGCTCGTTACAGTCAGAAATGTTGCTTGTCGCTATTTTGAACCTTTGGCGTCTTAAGAGTTAAGTGATGCAAGTTGACAGTTCTGTTTCACACCTATGTTTAAAAAAAGAATACTGAAGTTATTTTTCTGAGGTTTATGAACACACACAACATTTCACACAGACATAACCTTGCAACGGGTTGTGGCTAATGGTAACAAAAATCTTCATTTACCCTCCCGGTAACAACAGGGCTGTCCTTTGCAGGAAGAATCCAGATCTGGATACCGACAACAAACCCTGACTGAGTCCATTTGTATCCCCCCAGGCTTTTATATGCTCTTAGCGATGCTCCGGAGTAGGAGGGAAAATTAGATAGGAAATTATAAATGTCAGGGTATCGCAAATCCTGTAAGACGTCCGCTCCGACAGCTTCTGGCGTGTTAAAAAGTATCCCGGGGGCATGGTAAGGGTCGGAGATGTTTAGTCCATTTAATTTCTGACTATACAAAATGAATTTCTTCAGTTTTAAAGTGTGAAGTAAACTCAGACGGAGTAAAATCCAAGCCAATCCCGTCAATTTTGTTTACCTTTATTGCCTGCCAACATGGCGTCTACTCTGAGAGTCATGTGATGTCCAGAGCTCTATATTCAGGTCACTGCATTTTTCATGTTGGCTGAACATGAAAATAGTCTCCTACACCTATCTCCTGCATTAGCATCTGAGAGAAAATAGATGGTAAATCTCTAGGATTTGAGAATCCTGGCAGGTCACACCGTCACCGAATGTTCACCCATCTCTTCTCATGACATGGAGAGCTGTTTTAGAATCCAGGAAACAGCAGAGAAATTCAACTAGTAGAAACTAACCATTAGCACTAGCAACTCCACCACACCGCAGAACTCCTCCACACTTGTGCACTCAACTCCTCTGCCACCATCACTACCTTATCAATATTCTTAAAGGATTCAATATAACCTCTGAAACATCTAAATGTCAAGAAACACAAACTGCTAAATTTTATTTTATTAAAATGCAATTTATTAACATACCTCTATGAGTGCTCCAAAGCACCACATACAGAAGTAAAAGACAGAATGGCCCTGCTGCCATTTAAAATTTATCACATGAACTCAGTCTCTTGACACCCCATAAAAAAAATAAATCTAATTTCTTCTCAGACCTTTAGAAAGAACCTGTAACAGCATCCAGACCCACAAGCCAGTTCCTTTTAATCTTTAACAGATTATTTCTGACTTAGTAGTTAGTTACTAAAGGTATTTATGTTAATTTATCAGATTAAACTTACTTATTGTGTCAGATTCTCCTGTAGAGAATAAAACACAAAATGATACCCATAATCACCTCAATAATACTTGGAAATCAAAACAGTGAAAAATATCCTAGCTAAATGTTCAAGATTTACACCAGAATTATCTAAATAATCATAATTCATTTCCAAGTCCCGTTTGTTCATTTCTCATAATCACCCAGAATTGTAACCTTCATTTGTTTTTAAGTATAAAAAGTGACCATTCTTAAAAAAAATACTATAACAGAATAAAAACCAGAAACCCTTACGTGCTACAAAGCAACAAACTGTGTTTTAGGTGTTAACATGTCCCAAAAGCCACATATTTCAATCGAATGAGAGAAAATTCTAAAACTTTAGCATCTGTTAAGTCTCTAACCAAAACAACTTTAGGAATAAAATAGCTTGTAAATGTAACCTTTAGGTGACCTTTAAGCTCCGCCTCCTTCACCCAACACTAAAAGGAGACAAAGTTAGCAGGAAAAATTCCCACACGTCCGTCCTCCGTTTGCCCCTCCCACCAGTCGTACTGGGACACTGTCTTCGTGATGACGGTGATCTTGTCTCCAGGTTGAAAACTCAGGTCTCCAGGATGCTGACCGGTAAAGGGATGGGTCGCCGTGACAACCAGAGACCCTGTGGCTCCACCCAATGACAGTCCTTCATCTGTATGAGAACCGATCATTAATGGAGAACATCTAGATAGTCTGGCTATAATAAATTAATAATGAAATGTTACTAGACTAAAGTACATTTTGAATTAAAGAAGCAGATAAAAGTTTTAAAAATTCCATCAACTAAACTAAATTCATTAAGTAACAAATAATTTGTTTTCCCGTTTACCAAAACAACATTAAAGATTAACGAACCGTAACTTGGAGGGCTGATGGAGTCAAAAGGATCTGAAATTAATGAAGAATCAACATTTACTTCTATTCTGGCAGAATAAAGATGAAATAATTAGAGCTGCTCATTAAAAGGGGTTCAACTTGGATTAGAATAAAGTTTCCCGAGTTATCTACATTTATATTTGATAAGTAACACAAGTAAACCTGCAGAAAGTGAGATTTAGGATGTGTGTGTGTGTGTGTGTGTGTGTGTGTGTGTGTGTGTGTGTGTGTGTGTGTGTGTGTGTGTGTGTGTGTGTGTGTGTGTGTAAACGTCAGGTTAATTATCGTACCGTATCTGGGAGGGTTGTTGGAGACAAACTGAGCTGAAACAATGAAAACATCCAGTTAATCTGTTTCTAATAATCTTCGTTTCTCAACTTAAGAAAACAAAAATCACTAAATCAAAAAATAAATAAACAAAGGTGAGTAAACTTGTCCTGTAAATGCTAGATTTGACTTTGGGTTCCGTTCCTGTTGGAACCTTAGCATTAAGCAACCACTAGAGGCCGCTGCAGTCTCATAGATCACAGCAAGAACCACATATTTATCCTCTGTTGACCCTAAAGCTGTAAACAAGACTCACTCACTCACTCACTCACTCACTCACTCACTCACTCACTCACTCACTCACTCACTCACTCACTGGATTCTGTGCTCACTCTCTGGATTCTGTGGAAAACCCTGCTCAATTAAACCAGAAATCTAAAATCCACACTTGACTACAACAAAAGGACAAGTAACTTACTGGTGGTGGTTTCAGACCTGTAAACAGAAGCAGTTGGGTAGAGACCAGTCTTCTTTCCTGTTCACACAAACACACACACACATATCACACATGGATCAGAGGAACCATGGCCCAAGTAAATGGTTCTGGACGAGTGTTCCACCTGAACTTGCTGCTGGCTGCTGGTAACTGCTCTGAGGTCTCCGCTGGGATGGAGGTGGAGGTCTGGATGGAGCTTCAAGTGACTGCAGAAAAAGCACACAAATGGACAACACCGTTTGAACGAGTAGCCCTCTAGGACCCATCTCAGTTTAGCATCTGGGAGTCAGAAGGATGAGAAATGAGATGAGTTTGGGAGAAGATGGAGTCGAGACACTTAGTGACCTGGTCGGGTTAGAAAACCAAAAAAATTTTGGATTGGATGTATTCCCAATTCTATGTTTTTAACATTCAGAAACTGAAGATATAAAAACCACAATAAATCAAGCTGGATGTAGTTTAGATTAAAACAACTAGAGGGGACAGTAATAAGTCCTAAAGGAACCTAAACATCCAGAAATCACTAAAATTTTTCATTATTAAATGAAGCAATGAGTGAAAAAAAGATTCAAACAAAAAGAGAGGCATATGAAAGATCCTCATACTTAGAAAATGTTCCCCCAACTGGTTAAAACATACAATCAGGAATAAAGAACATCTAGATCTTAGGATCAATAAACTTCACCTACGAAATAAGCAGATGGATGGAGCAGGGTCGGGCTGTTTGAGCTACAAAAACGCCTCGCCGGGGGTTACTGTAGCATTTCACCAACCAATCAGAATGGGCATCAAAATATGTAATTTTCACAGCTGGCCATGTGTCAAAAAAAAAGTCTACAATATGTCCCTAATGCCGGGTTCACACTGTTCAATTTTTAGCCATTGCACAGGATTGTTCATGTGACACCGGACTCCAGAAAGGTGGCACACTGAACGGCGCAGAAAGAGACAGACAGCTGCTGCATGATGATAAAGTACGTAAAAAATCTTCTGAATAAAGTATTTCAACAGCCTTCTCCCTTTTTTATTAGTATAAAACACGATTAGTGAATCCACATCCAGACAGAACGATCATCTCTTCTGTCTCATGATCTGCAGCAGTTGGGATGTTCATGACCACAAAGTTTTTTTCAACAGCATGCCCACTTTCAGATGAAGCACACTCCTCTTGTTTTGACATTTTCTTTCTTATGCTTGCTCACTACATTTCCGTTTGGGTTCCAACTGTCTGCTCCACCTGCCTGTCGGCACATTTCACCACAGGTTGGCCAGATGCCGCAGCCATCAGTCGGGAACAGGGGCGGCGTTAGGCCCGGCTACTTGGGCTGAAGCCCCGGATCTTTCATGATAAGCCCCGGATCTAAATCGCGGAAGTAACATGCAGTACCAAAGTCACACAGAGAGGGCGCAGCTGGCAGTAGTTTGTAAAGTCCCATTTAGTCGTCACACACACAGGTGTGTGGTGAAATTTATTCTCCGATTTTGACCCATCCCCTGAGTTGCAGACACGCCGCGCTCGGGAACTATTTGGTGGTTTAACCCCCCAATCCAACCCCAATCCAATGCTGAGTGTCAAGCAGGGAGGCATTGGGTCCCATTTTCTCAAAATCTTTGGTATGACCCGACCAGGAGTCGAACCCCTGATCTCCCGATCTCAGGGCAGACACTCTACCACTAGGCTACTTAGTCAGTATACAGTTTACCTGAGACTGAAGAGAAGCCCTTCAGCAGCTGGCTTCTGCAGTCTCTGTCTGAAACGCATGAGTGAAGATGGATATAAGGACGTTTTTTTAGACCAAAAGTACAACGACAGAACCCCAGCTCTGATGAGACTGGTGTTGACTCAGGTTTGTGAGTCTTATTTGAAAATATTTGTTGTGCTGCTGGTTTGCCTAAAGTTAGCTTACTATCAGGTAAAGTTGTTGGAGAAAGAAAGGGAATATTCACTATCATCTCACACTAAACACTAACAGGAACAATACTCTGCCCTGAATATGCTGAATATGTAGCTTCAGATTAAACATTATGTGGTACAAGACAAATATATATGATGTTGACTAGTGCGTGTCACGTGTGTGCGCGCATGCGTGTGTGTGCGCGTGCGCGCGCGCGTGTGTGTGTGTGCGCGCGCGTGTGTGTTAAGCCCCGGATCTTCTTCAGTCCTAAATCCGCCCCTGGTCGGGAACGAGCACGGTGTCGGATAACTCGTCTATTTTTCCCTCTCCTATGCCTGGACTGAAGGTGCTGCAGGTGCATCGCGCCTCACAGAAGTGATGCGCCTTGTGTGCAAAACGTGGCCCCTCGTGGAGCACTGGTCCGGCGTATCGGGAGGGGCGGCGCTGCGTGGATGTCTGATGACTGACAGATATTATCAGAAAACTCGCAAATTTCAACTGGTAAATGACCGGAAAAACTCTAAATAAGTGGCCGTAACGGTCCATTCAAAGCACCGGGTGGGAGGCTAGACGTTCCCGCAGCCTGGCGGGGAGTTTCCAACAGGTGGGGTGGGGGAAGGGCCAACACTGGCTGTTCTGGGATTCTCCAGAATTCACAGCTGGTCTGTCCACCACCGTTGTAACATCATATTAGGTCAGTAAACAGGCACCGAAGACCCAGCTACCAAATACAGGATGCCACGGCTAAAATCATGTTATCATGACCTTTAAGGGTTTGAAGGGCCCGGCCATTTGCTCCGCCCCCAGCCCAGCTTTGATTTGTTCTGCTGGTGGATAGATCAACTCCTCCATAAGCCTCCAGCAGCACCTCCAGAGCATGGACGTAATTGGGGGGGGGGGGGGGGGGGGGGGGAGGACATGCCCCCCCCCCACTTTTTCCAAAGTCAAGTTTTGACCCCTGCACTTTTTACCATCCAAAAACAATATTACTCTATATTAAATTGACACTGGTTGAGCTCTAGGACCAAGTGGAAAACAACCGTTTGTGTTGAAGCCTGTTTCCCATTAGAGCATACTGTAAAGATACCCCCCCCCCCCCCCCTCCATGTCCCCCCACTTCTAAAGTGAAAATTACGACCATGCTCCAGAGGGTGTTAGCATCACCATGGCAACATGATTGTTTACCTTCATTGTGATGCTTGATCCCTAACTACAGTAGTTTTCATGACTGATTCCAACGCAATGTTTCAACAAAGGACAAAAAATCTAAAATGGCGACACAAACTTCAACTTACTGAAGTTTTTACAGAGCGGTTCACGAAGACTCTCCATCATCAAGGACCCATCTAACCCCTGCATAGTTTTCTAAAGTTGTCCTTTTTTGTTTCTGAACATTTCTCACACTAATGCATCAAAATCTATAGAAAGATCCATAGCTGTGTTAAAGATTCTCTCAAAAGTCGATTGTTGGATATAATTTATAATCTCTAAGACGACTGTAATGTTCAGGAAGGGTCATTTTTCATCTACAGTTTGACCTCTTCAGTATCCGGTCATCTACAGACATATTCTGCCTCTGGTGCCCTCTAATCTTCCAAGCTGCAAGAAAGGTTCTACAGTGTTGTCGACACTGAGATTGTTAACGCAGTGTTTTGCTTCACCAAGTTCTTTCTGCCAAGCTGCTGCTTATCTAGTCTTTTCCTCACAGAATAAAGAATGAACTTCTATGTTAAAATAATGATGAAATGAAATAAACAATATGGTTAAATTAAATACTTAAATAATCATAATGAATGGCCAATGTGTTAATGTTTTGATTAATCTGTGCCTAAATCAATGAGGTTGAAATGAATATTATTATTACGTTGAAAGATTTATATGTTATGATCAGTAATGTTTGATATGACAAGGTAATCCTGATCCACACACACACACACACACACACACACACACACACACACACACACACACACACACACACACACACACACACACACACACACACACACACACACACACACACACACACACACACACACACACACACACACACACACACACACACACACACACACACACACACACACACACACACACACACACACACACACACACACACACACACCTTCCTGACACAAGGCTACAGTCATGACAGATAGCAATTTTCTTTTCCACAAGATCAGGGCATCTTCTGTCTGGAGGAGTAGTGTTCTGAGGTTTGTTCAGTAAAACCTCCTGAACATGGCATGTTGTGATTTGCCAGAAAATCATAACATAGGAATAAAACTTAGATCACTTCCTGAGTTATTCAGCTCATTGAGCCGAGTTGAGTAAGTTTGCTTCCAGCTGAGACTCCGGAGTGGCCAATCCGGGACCAGTCTCTTTGAAACATCTCTCTGACATACAGTCAAAACCTTTTTGCATGCTGCAAAGCTGACACAGCAAGACTCCTTAAGAGTCCGTTCGAGACATAAAACAAGTCCACCTGTTGTTGTGACCTGGAGACATCTCTAGACTGGAACTGGTCGTGTTGCGGTTATTCTGCTAAGCTCGGTGCGTTGAGGTTCACCGTACTTCCTGACCATGCGGATCTGCAAAGGGGGTCTCCGAAAAGGGGTACGTAGACACAGCAAGATTGCGTCTGATGATGCTTTATTAATAAATCAACTCTCCAGTTATAGCAGACCAAATTCTTTCCCACCCAGAACTCACCGTTTCTTTCAGATACAAGGTTCTGATAAAAATCACATGCCATCATCACACACCACATTCCACAATTATTCATCCATTTCATAACTTGTCGTGGAATATAACTAGTCTAGAAAATAAAGTTTATTTTAATTACATACTTGACTGTCTGAATACGAAGTGTGTTTATGGTCACTGAATGAGCAAAGAATCCTAAATTCTTCTGGCTAAACATTCAAAGACCAGTCAGGTTGATATTCTGTTTGTATAGAATCATCACATTGATCACTTGTTGATCATCATTAAACCCCCAAAATACACTACATAACAACAGTTACATAATCAACGTTCACTTAAGACAATTAACTTGTGATAATATCTGCCAATAACCAGTGAAATGCTTCGCTCCCGTTTGAAACTCTGGATCTAGAGCATACCTTAGCCCTCATGTGCTTGTTTTGCCAGTCGGTGGTGTAGGCCTCAGTGTAGACCTCCAGAATGTGATAAAGGTCGTAGCATTCTGACGGAGGCTCCACGTCACCGTTCAAAATGGCCGACGCTCTGATGTCCTGGGAGTAAAACCTGCAACCAAATCACTGGATTAAAGAATGATGACCCATCCAGCAGGTGAGATTCTGGCCGTTCTTCATACTTGCGGTTAGTTTCTTTACGTTCGATCAGGTAGGAACCCTCCAGAGAAATCCCTGCAAACAAACCCCTGGATCTGCAGTAGGTGAAGACGGCGGCGGTGCTGCGCAGGGCCACGTCAGCCTCCAGGTTCCTGAGACATAGGATCGTGTGGAGTTGTGCTTTTTAACATGTTTGGCTCAAAACCTAATCCACAGCTTTTTCCCCCATCTACGTTGTGAGCATGATCTTGTTGCCTTTTAAATGATGAGCACTTCCTCATCGGTGAATAAATTAGGTGAAAATGCCCCGGTGATCAATTAAATCAGATTTGAATGTGAACAGATTCTGTTTCATGTCTCAGAACACTGATAAAACTAATGAGTCTCCAAATCCTTACAGAGACAGGAAGGGGAGGAGCTTTAACTACTCACCTGCCCAATGGTCCAACAGCAACGGTGCAATTCCCACCCAGCGTCAGGTTCCCCCCCTTAGTGAAGGCCTCGATGGCCCTCCGTTGATTGAGGATGATCACCAGGTCCGACACCTGAACACAACACGAAGCTTTCAGGGACAATTCACCATCTTCAAACACATTTCTGGTTTAAGATGGTTTTACCTCCACACCGATCTCAAAGCCCCCACCCAGACCGGCGATACCGATGGCCGAAGGCGCTGACCAACCTGAACAGTAAAACGTTACAGCCGAGGCTTCTGGTTTAAATCCTGACAGCTTTTATTCTTCTGACTGCATAAAACAACTCAAGAGTTCCCGGATTCTCCAGACTTCTCCTTTAACACCACGGGTGTTCACCTCCTTCAGGAGGTTCTAAAACACGAAGAGTCCCATCACACCAGAATCCGCCTGCCAGCACCGGACCGAGCTCAGGCCCTGTCAGATGACTGGGTTCGCCTGGTGCTGCAGGGAGGTTGGTTTGTTGTCATGTAAACACAAAATGTCACAAGGTCCCAAAACACAGAGGTCCTGACAGGAGTTTCCCAAAAATAACAACTCTAAACTGCATCGAAAGCAGAAAACAAAACACACAACATTGGACTACTCAGAGGTTAAAGGTCACAAATGAGATAACAGTGATGATCACAAAAGATAAAAAAAAATAAATAAATAAACCAGAAAATGAGGAGGCAACAAGACGACAACTCAAACCCAGACCAGATGTCAAGCCTGCGTAATTATGGATGTAATTAATATTCATATTTCAGCTCTAAACTACCACAAAACTCTACATAATTAAAGCAATTGTTGGAATTATTTTGTTCACAATCTGCTTTTAGTGCATGCTCGCATTTTGTAAAGAACAATAAAAGAAAAACTTTCTCCTTTTCTCAAAGACTCACACGAGTCTCGATGTTTTAAAGGCTAAATACAATACCGTTAACATCTGTACACCCGCAGATAAACAAAATCCATCTCATCACAGTTGAGGGTAGGGACGCCAACTTCCTCTCCTTTGCCGAATGGTGAGGAAGCACGTGGAAAGAATAATGGTAGGTCAAAACAAACCAGCTAACAGGTGTCCTTTTCCTTCTTGATAGTTGCAACATAGTCAAAGTTTGAGTGAGAGTACGTTCCACACAGCGTCCAGCCATACTCACGTCTGTCGTGGAGTCTGGCGATGACGATCCCGCTGCCTCCTCTGGCCGTCAGCACGAAGCCAGCCTTGATGACGGAGATGATGGCCAAACCTTCAGCCTTTGCGATGACATGAGCTACAACAGAACAAGTCTGCCTTTGAAAGATTGTTTATAAGAGGTCAAAGTTTACTCGGTTAGTAGAGTACAGCTCCTTACGGGGGATGAGTTTGTCCGGGCCAACCCTGTTGGTGATCTGGGTGAATTCCCTTAAGATCTTGGCTGCTTTCTTGGCCTCAGACTTCAGGTTGGATGGGATGGGGTTACTCACTGAAACCAGGAAACATGTTTGTGTTTAAAAGTTGTCTTTACCTCTGAGACCCAAAGACTCTACAGCTAAATAAAATTGAGGAGAAGTGTTAATTCTGATGGGTGACTCATGTTTGGGTTCTTTGTTCTCTTTATTAAAGAGCAAGTCACCCCCAAATCACATTTTTTTTGCTGATAAACTATATAAACGAGTGTCTAATCATGCTACAGACACGTGTAGTCAATAATTTGGCAGTTCAGTGCATCTTGGTTAAAATTCAAATATTCTGCCTAAAACTGTCAGTGTTGCACCGTCGTCAGGGAAAAATTCTGCACTGTATTTGAATTTAAACCTGCCACCGCTATTGGCTAAGAGGTATGCTATGATGTCATCTGGTATATTATGATGTCATAATTCCATTGTGAGCCTGTGTGTGTTTGTATTTGTTAGCGGCTCCGCCCTCTCGGTCTGCCAAGCAACAGCATTTGTTGCATTTTTCAAACATGAAGTGGGAGTGAAGTACGTTTCTTGTAGGGGGTGACTTGCTCTTTAACAATAAAATAATCAAAATATCAATTTTAATTCCCTGAAAAAACTTAGCATCAGCTATAATAAATATGGCTGATTTGTTGAATGTTACCATGGCGTTCTCCTGTCTGTAATCTGTTTTAAAGACAACCTGTGATGAATGGGAGAGTTGAGTGTTGGTTTGGGAGTGAGTGAGCAGAGATGATCCAACCTGCTGCTGTAGCACATTCCTGTCACGGCGACACATCCACGTCCTCCACAGGAACAAGGGGATTCAGCTGTCATCACTAAACCACCGACTTGGTTTAAGTTTGTTTTTATGCCATTTGTAATCGATTTATATCAGAGCGTGTCAAAATTTAACCTTATTGAAAAAGGAAATCTAAATTATACGGTTTAAGTTTGAATTGAAAGGGTCTTCATGTCCAAGAGGAATGGAGCCCAGCTGATCTGATCTAATGTTGGATCTCATGATCCAGAGGATCTGTCATCAGATTTGAAATCATGTTAAATGACTCCACTAGTAACATTGTGTAGGTCAGTGGTAGACTACTTCTTTCCTTGAGACTCGGTGTTCAGCATGTTTTAGTCGTTTCCCTGCTCCAACAAGGTTGATCTACCTGCTCAGTAGCTCACCAAGCTCTGCAGAAGCCTGATAGGCCTGCTGATTTAAACCAGGTGTGTTGTAGCAGGTCTAACGAAAACATGCTACATACCGGCCCTGGGGGAGGGAGTTTACACCTGACATAGTTGGTGTTTGTTGATGCTGGGCAGCAGCAGCAGCCATCTTGAATCAGGAGAACCCCCTCCTGTAACTCAGGACGACCTTTTTACACCTTCAGACATGAAGCATGATGCCGATTCTGTAAAGGGTTTGTTGTTAAACGATTTACGAATAAAAATGATAAGTAAATAAAACATACAAATCATTTTATGCCTGATCTGGTGTTCTAGGTGCATCCTGCTGTGTGAAAAGTACCATCTGACCCCTTAAAGAACCCAAACCTCGTTATTTAGGCCTAAACACCCTTAAATCAGTGTACTCTGACACTTTAGGGCCAGGAGTGGGGAACCCTGGTCCTCGAGGGCCGGTATCCTGCATGTCTTTGCTCCAACCCTTCTGATTCAGGGGTTGATTCACATGTTCTGCAGCTTTTCAGGCTCCGCGGAAGCTTGTTAATCACCTGCTGATTGAAATCAGGTGGGATGATGCTGGGTTGAAATTAAAATATGCTGGATAGCGGCCCACGATGGACCAGGGTTCCCCACACCTGCTTTAGGTTCATTCTGCTGGTTAACGTGAGTTATTCCAGCAGGCCTGACCACACTCGCAGGTGTAATGGAGAACAGGTGGAACCTGAAATCAGAGCCACCGGACACCGAGCGAAACCACCAGAACACAAAGAAAGAACCAGCTTCAGGTTTGAATGTGTCGCACTTTCAGGTTTAACTTACTTTTCTTTCTTCGGTGGTCGTTTACCTGCCGACAGGTGAGCTTCTCGCTGCTTTTCACTTCCGCCTCACCTGACAACAGCAGCCGGAAATCACGCAACTGTCCACAGGTGTGCACGTAAAGCTGACAAGTGCCGCGCGCGCATGCTCACGTAGCTGGTGGAGTGTTGATTTTCTGTCAGCTGGGCGCGTTCCCGAGTCTGTTTGCGGGTTCCTGTCAGAGTTGTTTTTTCCTGAGTTCAGTCTGACAGGCGCACGGATCACACCCAACCTTTCTTTTATAATCGATTCATTATCTGAACCGCTTCATGCTCAGTAGGGATGCAGGCGGCTGTCCACGGTGTCTATCTCCAGCAGTCATCAGCTGAGCGGTGGGGGACACTCTGGACAGGTCTCCCGTCCATCACAGAGACAGACACACACTCACTGTGTGTTAAACTAACATTAAAACAGCTTTAATAAACTGTTAAAATACGACTTTAAGGAAACTTTTATCAACATTAATTAATATTTTACTGTCATTTAAAAGCTGTTTAGTACCTGAACGAATCTGAAAAACAGTAAACTAATAAGATGTGAGTTTTCAGGACCTTACTCCCATGTTTTAATCATTTCTACCAGCTCCTCTCCTTGAATCGCTTCCCTAGATAAACATCTGACCGCAGCCATCAGTCTCTCTGATGTGTTTCCATTCATGTGAGACCACCCAGACTCCAGAACCAGGGTGATGGTGTAGAAACAGACACGCAGAGCCAGGGTGGGACATGCTCTCTGAAAAGCTGGGTCTTTTCTTGACCGGGATGACTCCATATAGCGCTTGGTAGGCCATCGTCTTCTAAATCAGAGCCTGTTTATCTTCCAGTCTTCTCTGACTCCTGAAGTCCACCTGACTAACCCGGGTCTCCGAGTATGCTGGTCTATCACAAGTCCACATTGTCCTCCAGTGTATACCAGTTCCAAAAGGCCCCCCTTTCAAGATCTCCACCTCATAATTAACTATAGAACTTCAGGAACATATTTGAACCAGTCCAGACGAGTTGGCATCTCTTCTGTCTGAGGTACTTTTATTCTCTGTAATATGTTTATGTTTGAGTTTGTAGTTGAAGTTATATGTAGAGTGTTTGACCCGTTGTGGTTCTGGTGTATGGTTTTATCTCTTTCTTATTCACATCTTTGCTTCTTTTTGTTATATTTGAGTTTCTTATGTGTTTAAGACCAGAAGAACCTTAGCCTGGCCAGCCTCTGTGCAGAATTAAACAGAGAGAGTCTGGCTGGCCAGGCTAGAAGGACCTGTCAGTCCAACTAAACCCATCCTTTGCAATCTGCAGACGTACATCATCTGGTTCAGCCCATCCCGCATTGATCCGTTTCTTTAGAACATCTCTGGTTCTGGTGGAACACTCTGTTTACATCACAGAGAAACAGCCTGCAGCGTTTGAGCAAACACACCACGGCACGGCTGGTCTCAGATGCACACAAACCTCACCTGGCCACGCCCACCACCTGTCAGTCACATACCTCCTCAGAGGCGAGTGTGTGCTGCCGTGTGTGTGAGTGCTGGAATGTATTCATTTAAAGCAGCTACCTGTGAAAGTGTGAGTCTTTAGACAGAAGCAGAGCTGGCTATAGTCCAGCTTAGTCATCACCTGCCTTAGCTGTTAGTCAACTCATTGCTCTTTTTCTTCTTTTGTGTTTGCTCAGATCACCGTCACTGACCTCCCAGCAATGCTGCTTAATGTAATCATGTCACTATTAATAAATAAGGCAACGGGTGAGTGCTACAGAGAAGCTGCATCCCTGAGGTGTCCTCAGGTCAAATAAAATAAAAAAAGATTCACATTTGCTCAAACTAAAATTAGCTGCACTCTGAATTGATGCAGAGGAGATAAAAGATGGAGAATGCACGGATGGAAAAAGATGAGCAGAGCAGGCCTGTGCACGGTCATGTGAAAAGGCAGCGCTGCTCTCCGAGGTATCACATGGAAGCAGAAGAGTTTGATTCTTAAACTTCTGATGAACTTTCTTCAGTCATCTGGAGATCAGGCGGCTGGGTCCAAGAGGCAGAAACCTCATCTGAACTGCCTGAAAGCAAGAGGAAAGAACAAGGCTGCAGAGCATTCAAAGACCCGGTAGGCATCAGAAACACACACAAACAAACAAACATCACAGAAACACACAAAATGTCCCAGAAACACACAAACATACAAAACCTACACACACAAACACCACAGAAACACACAAAATGTCACAGAAACAAACAAACATACAAACACCACACAAACACACAAAACCTACACACACAAACACCACAGAAACACACAAAATGTCACAGAAACAAACAAACATACAAACACCACAGAAACACACAAAATGTCACAGAAACAAACAAACAAACATACAAACACCACAGAAACACACAAAATGTCACAGAAACAAACAAACATACAAACACCACAGAAACACACAAAATGTCACAGAAACAAACAAACATACAAACACCACAGAAACACACAAAATGTCACAGAAACACACAAACATACAAACACACACAAACATACAAAACCTACACACACAAACACCACAGAAACACACAAAATGTCACAGAAACAAACAAACATACAAACACCACAGAAACACACAAAATGTCACAGAAACAAACAAACATACAAACACCACAGAAACACACAAAATGTCACAGAAACACACAAACATACAAACACACACAAACATACAAAACCTACACACACAAACACCACAGAAACACACAAAATGTCACAGAAACAAACATACAAACACCACAGAAACACACAAAATGTCACAGAAACACACAAACATACAAACACCACACAAACACACAAAACCTACACACACAAACACCACAGAAACACACAAAATGTCACAGAAACACACAAACATACAAACACACACAAACATACAAAACCTACACACACAAACACCACAGAAACACACAAAAAGTCACAGAAACAAACAAACATACAAACACACACAAACATACAAAACCTACACACACAAACACCACAGAAACACACAAAAAGTCACAGAAACACACAAACATACAAACACACACAAACATACAAAACCTACACACACAAACACCACAGAAACACACAAAAAGTCACAGAAACAAACATACAAACACCACAGAAACACACAAAATGTCACAGAAACACACAAACATACAAACACCACACAAACACACAAAACCTACACACACAAACACCACAGAAACACACAAAATGTCACAGAAACAAACAAACATACAAACAGCACAGAAACACACAAAATGTCACAGAAACAAACAAACATACAAACACCACAGAAACACACAAAATGTCACAGAAACATACAAACACCACACAAACACACACAAACACCACAGAAACACACAAAATGTCACAGAAACACACACAAACAAACAAACAAACACACACCACAGAAACACACAAACACATACAAACATCACAGAAACACACACACAAATATACAAACACACACAAACATACAAACACCACAGAAACACAGACAAACATACAAACATAATATAAACACACACACAAACGTACAGACACCACACAAACACACACAACATAAACACACAAATATACAAACACACACAAACACACTAAATGTCACAAACAAACATACAAACACCACACAAACACACACAAACACCACAGAAACACTCTGTCACAAACAAACAAACACCACACAAACACACTAAATGTCACAAACAAACATACAAACACCACACAAACACACACAAACACCACAGAAACACACAAAATGTCACAGAAACACACAAACATACAAACACACACAAACATACAAACACCACACAAACACACACAAACCTACAAACACACACAAACATACAAACACCACACAAACACCACACAAACACACAAAACCTACACACACAAACACCACAGAAACACACAAAATGTCACAGAAACAAACAAACATACAAACACCACAGAAACACACAAAATGTCACAGAAACACACACAAACAAACAAACACACACCACAGAAACACACACAAACAAACACACACCACAGAAACACACACAAACAAACACACACCACAGAAACACACACAAACACATATAAACACAACAGAACACACACAAACACATACAAACACCACACAAACACACAAGACCTACAAACACACACAAACACCACAGAAACACAAAATATCACAGAAACACACACAAACATACAAACACCACAGAAACACACACAAACAAACAAACACACACCACAGAAACACACACAAACAAACAAACAAACACACACCACAGAAACACACACAAACAAACACACACCACAGAAACACACACAAACACTTATAAACACAACAGAACACACACAAACACATACAAACACCACACAAACACACAAAACCTGCAAACACACACAAACACCACAGAAACACACAAAATGTCACAGAAACCCACACAAACATACAAACACACACAAACACCACAGAAACACACAAAATGTCACAGAAATACACACAAACATACAAAAACCACACAAACAAACACACACCACAGAAACACACACAAACACATATAAACACAATAGAACACACACAAACACATACAAACACCACACAAACACACAAAACCTGCAAACACACACAAACACCACAGAAACACACAAAATATCACAGAAACACACACAAACATGCAAACACCACAGAAACACAGAAACACACACAAATGTACAAACACTACATAAACACACACAAGCATACAAAAAACACAGTAACACACACACACAAACATAGAAACACCACATAAACACACACACACACACGTAGAAACACCACATACACCAGCCCAAATAACAATGAAAAGAATATAAGACATTGTCGAGTCAAACTGATTAAAAATGACCATAGAAGACTCCCAGCCCACTCCCAAGGACCGTGGGCCATTCCCATCCTCCAAGACTACCACATAACAGTTCTAACACCTGAAAATGGACCAAAAGCTGTAAACAACTGAGATCCTGAGTGAAATCCAGACTCCATGACATGGATCTTAGTCAGGACCTTGAGCCTGATGCTGATCTAAACCCTGAACTAACGCTCTGATTAAAATCGGGAGCAGACTGAAGATCATCTTTATCTATAAAATATTAAAATAAAAATCCATTCATCAGAGGTTTTTGGACGCAGACCAAGACCTGGCCTGGGACTCTGAGTCAGACCAGGTCTATGTCTGGATGTGACTGACAGCTTCCATGTGAAGCAGAACTATGACACGCTAACTGTTACTGTGTCAGATAATAGGAGCTTATGCCAAAACCACAGCAGAGCTAATAAACACACACACACACACACACACACACACACACACACACACACACACACACACACACACACACACACACACACACACACACACACACACACACACACACACACACACACACGGTTTACCTAACTAGAATAAAATGACAGGAGGAATGAAGCCAGAAACAATTAAATTGATCATTAAACCTTCAACCTAATTACAGCGTAACTGTTATCAATCCAGCTGTGTTGTTACCCTTAGGTACCATAGCAACACGTCCATCACACGCACGCAGCTGTGAACATGTTTGAGTCATTTTTTACACTAGAGACAACTCCGGATTTCTGTTCTCTAAACACAAAAATAAGGTTTAAAGCGTTTGGAGCATGCGGGTGAGAAAATGTATGCGTGTGTTTGTGCACGTTGGCTTGTATGTTTTTGAGTGTGTGTGTGTGTGTGTGTGTTTGTTGCTTTGTATGGCTGAGGGTTTGCCCTGACAGGAAATATTCATTTTAAACCTGAACCTGTCCCTGAGCCAAAGTCAACAAACGTGAAATGTGGTTCATCCTGTCAGATAAAAACATCTGGGATTGCATCCAGGTACTCCACCCACAGCTGCTTCACCTAAAACTGCTTCATCCACAGCTGCTTCTTCCATAGCTGCTTCATCCATAACTGCTTCACCTAAAACTGCTTCATCCACAGCTGCTTCTTTCATAGCTGCTTCATCCATAGCTGCTTCACCTAAAACTGCTTCATCCACAGCTGCTTCACCTAAAACTGCTTCATCCACAGCTGCTTCTTCCATAGCTGCTTCATCCATAGCTGCTTCATCCACAGCTGCTTCTTTCATAGCTGCTTCATCCATAGCTGCTTCTTCAATAGCTGCTTCTTTCTGATTCATCCATAGCTGCTTCCCCTAAAGCTGCTTCTTCCATAGCTGCTTCATCCATAGCTGCTTCCCCTAAAGCTGCTTCATCCATAGCTCTTCAGTGTAAGGATAATAAAATATGAAGAAACGAAAATATCAACAAAACCCTAAAATAAACTGTGTGAAAATGACAACAAATAACTGATGAAGAAAGCTACCATAAACAACAAGGTATAAAGGAGGTCCAGCAGAGCTAAAATTAGAAAAATGATGTCAAATTTACTCACAAGCAGAAGAAAACAAAGATAAAACAAATACACGGTTGTACATCTCCGTGTCTCCTGATGACTCTCGGTCAACGGATGCACTTTTTAACTGTATTTTAGACATTGAATCCTGGATGGCAGAGAACTTTCTCCAGCTCAACCAGGAGTCATTGGTCCTGAGGCCCAGATAGAGAAGCTTTTACCGAAATTACAATCTCTGTCTTTTAATCCATCTGAACAAGTGAAGAACCTGGGTGTGATTTTTGACTCTGAGCTGACTTTTATCCCACACATTAAAAATATCACAAAAATAGGTTTTTATCATCTAAAGAACATCGCCAGAGTCCGCCCCATTCTCTCTCGGGCCAATACGGAGACGTTGATGCATGCTTTTATCACCAGTAGGATAGACTACTGCAATGCCCTGCTTTCTGGTCTTCCTAAAAAGAGCATCTCAGGCTTACAACTTCTACAAAATTCAGCAGCACGTGTCCTGATGAAGACCAGGAGGTGGGAGCACATTACACCAGTTTAAGAATCATTGCATTGGCTCCCCGTATGTTTCAGGATCCATTTTAAGGATCTTCTAATGGTTTTTAAGTGTCTTAATGGTCTTGGGCCTTCTTATCTCTCAGAACTGTTTTTACCATATGGACCCTCACGGCCTCTGCGCTCCTCTGGCGGGCGTCTCCTGGTCATCCCTAAAGTCAGGACACACACTCACGGCGAGGCGTCCTTCCAGTGTTATGGCCCTCGCCTCTGGAACGAGCTGCCAGAGGACCTCAGGGCCGCAGAGAACGTTCATGTTTCTAAGTCCAGGCTCAAGACCCGTCTATTTAGGTTAGCTTTTATCTAAATATTTACTACAGTTTTATTCCTCGTTTTAAGCCGGGCATACACTGTGCGACTTTTTCACTTTTTTGAGCCGATTTTCCAGTTGTGCGAGAATCGATGACATCGGGGCGAGTTTTGCGCCGAGCGGTCGTGTAGTGTACAGGGGGTTACGAGAGGCGATTAACACCACGTGACCAGCCGCCGATCAGCAGTCGTGAGGTCGCACGGACTTCTGGCGTGTTTAATATTTCGCTCGTCCCTCGTGAGGGTATCACACTGTTGATGCGGCGCTGCGAGCAGCTGCGACCCAAAAAGTATCAGAACCGCTCACGGCGCATGCGCAATCCTGCATCAACACCGCTCGCCCGCTATTTCCCTAATAACACACGTTGTTCGTTTTAATTTCTACACATTTTTTTACTCACAAAGATTGTCAAGAAAGCGTGTTTGTCGTGTTCATGTCAAATTAAACTGATCACAAAACACAGATTTACTTTCTTTATTTCGTTTTCCTCATCCAACCCCCATAAATCCCCGTGTGTCCTCCTGCAGCCTTCCTGGGCTTAGGTGGGGGCTCCCCCTCCACTGAGCGCCCTGACTTAGTGTGGAAGACCTGATGCTGCCGGGGCAGATGGCTCCTCTGATGGCGTTTCCTTGCCTTACCTTACTTGGCTCATCTGGACTCAGCCAAATATAATTTTTACTTGTGTGTGTGTGTGTGTGTGTGTGTGCTTGCATATGTCTGTTAATGTTTTTAACCTGTTATGGGAATCTGGGGTCATTTTGTAAAGCCATTTGAGTAGCACTTTGTTTGAAAAGTGCTTTATAAATAAATCTGATCTGATCTGATCTGAAAACAATATTGAAATCACTAAAAACTGATGTAAAATGACTTCAAAAGCAAACTAAATCACTCATAAACTGCTTTCAAATGATCAAACAACAAAGTTAAACTAATAGATAAATAACTCAAAGCACCACAATCTCTGCTGAGGTTAAATCAGCACAAAATCTAACCAAAAGAACTAAAATAAGACATAAATGGGCTTATCAGATAGATCCGCAACATTAAGCCACAGTGACCAGAGTCCTCCTCTGACTGGCTCTGACTTCAGATACAAACTATTTCAGCTAAAATAGAAACAAAATCATCATAACAAATGGATTTCAATCTAATCTAAAAGATCAAGGTTGAAACTAATATAGTAATCAACGAAGCATTCAGATTATAGCCATGACATTTAAAACCAGCTGATCAGAATTCCTCTCCCATTCCAGAGGCTTTCATTAAACCGGAAAAGATTCCTGCAAGGTCACCAAAGGAAAGCACCACGGAGCGCTGACATCACCAACTAAAACCCGTTTCATCAATCTACCTCAGAACCAGTAAAACCAGCAGACTTTTCTCAAATATATCAAACAGGTTTTATTCCTGCTTCATCTCAACATTATAAATATACCAGATTATCTTTCTTTATTACAACAATAACCATTAAATACATTCAGGGGTTGTGTCCTCCAGCCATGGTTCTCCAGTCCACCATCAGAAACCAAAACATCTTGTTTAGAGTCTCAAGATTTGGTTCCTGGTGCTTCTTCAGAGTCCAGTGAAAGACTGAAGCAGGACACAAAAAATACCCACATAATCTGCACTAACAGGAGTGAAGATGTACTGTTTGTGAGTATGAAGGATGAGTTGGAAGACAGACTTATTCCATGTGATACCAGGAGAGTCCAGGTGAGAGTAGGCCAGATGTTTCTGATGAAGTTTGCAGATTTAAGAGTCAATCCAGACGAGATGACGATTATCTGATTGTTGGAAACAGTTTTATCTTTGGTTTTAGACCAACGTCAGCGTTCTGTTGGGAGGGAAACATCCTCAAGTGGTCCTTAAGACAGGAAAAACCTGGATCAGGAGCCTCACTTCCTGTCCCGTAGCCAGCACTTCCTGTCCAGAGTCTGTAGAGGCAGAAAGGAGAGAAGATATGAAACCTGAAGAGCTATTTAATGAGGTCAAAGGTGATCCAAGTCATGTTTGAAACTCAGAACCAGAATCAGGCTGTACTATCAGGTTTGGGTTTAGGTTGTTTCACCACATCTTTGATTTGATTCGGAAGCTTCTGAAACTCCAATCAGCCCTGCCGCCACACCTCTATTCCCACCCCTTTGTTGAACTCGTCCCTTCATCTTTGCTTGGAGGACCACTGAATGTTCTTTGGGTTCCTGGTTCCAGATTGAGTGCACTGCTGGGAGACATCTTATGGCTAAACTCCAGTATTTACTTTATCAGGCTCTGCTCATATTTTGACAAAGTTCACATTGTGCGTTGACAGTGTTTATTTTCTTCTTCTTGGGTCTTGTGGTCTGTGCTGCGTTGGCGGTTTGCCAGCAGCGATGCAGAAATACCAGATAAAGCTGCTTTTGGGTCGGACATCGCTGGACTCAGAGTGATGTGTCATCAGAGGTTTAGATTTAAACTTTCTGTTTGACATTATTAGAATTCCTTCTTTCATTCACACGACTGATTTAGTTTGTTTTTAGCTGCACTGAGAATCCAGCTTCCTGCCTCCAGGATCTGGCTCTGGATGTATATTCTGCTCTGTGTACATGAATGTCAGTGTTCATGCTCAGTCTTACCAACTCTTGTGTGTTTTTTTTCTTAGCACAGCAAGGGCTATTGGCCAGTTGAGTCAGCATACGAACACATCTCCTAAAATCTGCAGAAGGACCAAAGAACAAAGCGTGTCTGAGAAACTTGACCAGAACCAGCTTTTAAAACAATAAGACCTGCAACTCTAGGGTCGTGATGGAGTGTGTAAAGACAGGAAGCCCTGAAAAAATATTCATCTGGGTCAAAGGCTGTCTGATGTAATAAAAATTAAAAGTAAAATGATCTATTTCACATCAGCGCTACAGATCATAATAAACAAATCTCCTTAAAGTGTATTTTGTACCGTTAATCTCTGGAAATACCCATTGGAACGCTGTTGAAAATTATTTAAATGGTGAAAAATATTGGTGGCTTTGTAACATATAACCATAAACATCGGGTCTAAACAAGCCCCCATAATTCGGGTCTGGATATGAAGCTAAACAGGAAGTGACAAAAATTGCAGTTCCACCCTCATCCACTAGGGGCTCGTGTCAGAAGTGAGCAAATCCTCATTGACTCTCATGTTAAAAATACCAATCTCACAGCAGAAATAAATTAAATAAATTGTGTATAATTAATGAGCACCAGACCCACGTGACCGCAGAGCTAGCTCCGGGGAAAGGCCTCAGTAGAGCCTCGGCCTCGCCTTAAAACTTTTCCGCGATTTTCAGTCTCTCAACTTAGACCATTAGTTGTGCGGTTTGTGCGTTCTTTTTTGCATATTATTTGTGCAATTGTGAGACAAAATGACTTGCTGTGGTAGTAATTGCAGTAATAGAGCGTCCAAGGAGTCTCCACTTAATTTCGTTTGGTAAGTAAAATTATATTTATGTATTTTAGGTCACTGCCACTCCTACGCTAGCTGAGCTTATCAAAGTAGCTCGCTAACTATCATTTTAATATGTACTGTTTAACCATGATATTTACATTTAATAGGGTAAAACCCAATGCATTTAACAATGCTGCACTTTGGAAAATGGGTTGAAATATGACATGCTGGTGGAGCTGGGTTCGGACTATCGGTACAGACTCCCTCCCCTCAGCGGCAGCTCAGCGCATCTCTTACCGCAGCGATACCTGTCTGCTGCACGGGCTGCCAGTATGTGGAGGGAGTTGGTTGATAGTGCTTGATGTTAGTCGTCTGTAAGCCATCACATAAACTCGCTCATTTTTTTATTTATTTATTTGCATAATTGTAAAATACTGGTGGTGGGGTGCGACTAAATAACTAATTTGTCCACAAAGAGCCACGACCGGGTACCGTGTTTTCATGAGAACTAGTGCTGTTTAATAAAATGGAACCTCTGTTAGCTTAGCTCCCACCTCCATGTTAGCTTTGGGTTAGCATGTAGCTACATAGCTTCAGTTCAACGGGTGTCGTCATTTGATCCCAGCCTTACAGCCCCACCCTCAGCTCCATCTCTTTCCCCTTTTATGGAAATGTCTGGGTGTGACGAGATGTGTCACACAATCAAAATGGCGGTGGTGGCCCCCTTCCAGTTCAGATAAAAAACTGATAATACGAGCCTATGGACATGAGCTGTCCAGTGTATATATGTCGATGGGTCTAAAGTACAAAGGGTGCAGGTGTCTTTGGGGGATGTTCAAAAACATTTTGGCAGTAAGAAACATGAATTTAATAACAAAACTGCTAAACTCTTTCCAAAACCTTTGTGAAAGAACAGAATCAAAAAAGAGTTGCAGCATATTTTGGTTGAGTGGTATTGCCGTAGATGATGATGCCATTGGAAGGCACAGGACCTCGAGCAGATCAGGAAACTACAGCGCCATAAAACCATCGGCATTGCATTCTCTTGATGGAATTAACTGAAGGACCATTAAAGTTTGAGGAGTCCTACTGAGGTTGCGTGCTTTCTGCTCCACAGGTAACATTTACTGTAAAGTTTTTTAAACTAGCGTCAGTCACAACGATATGGTGTAAAACTACCCAGAAATGCAGTACATACATTTCTGAATGTATGTACCGCCCCCTCGTGCCAGGAAACTACACACTGCCACTTTAAATACTAAAGTTTTGATTTTTCAGCCTCATGTTGGTTTTCTTGGACAAATCGGACTCCAACGCCCGGAACACACCAGCTGCAAAGCGCCCGAAGTGGATCGTTCACGAAATTTGTGCGCTGTCCACCCCTCCTCTGTTCACATCAGGTAAGAATTTGCAAGGAGCGTTTCTGCTCACACCTACTGTTTTCCAAACCCCCACACCACCCCGTTCCCGTGCTGTGTGTGTGTGTGTTTGTTCATTTTTATCTCTTGTCTGTTTAGATACACAAAAATGATCACATTTATCAATGGTGATGTTTTATTTTGAAAATCTTCTTTTATTTTGATAAATGTATTGCCCTGCTTCTTCTGCTTGGTTTGACTTTCTGCCAGAATTGACGCGGCTCATTCACGACTCAGGGAAAAATTAGAGCTCACACTGGAACGATCGCTGCACGGCGCTTTGCAGCTGATGGGACCGAGACCGTAAGTTAACAGAGGCACAGAATAGAAGCGCTCGTCATCCCACGGCGCTTCGCGGGGCATTGTCGCACTTCTTCGTCTGATATATTTTGGGCGTAAAGGTTTAGTGCGAAGTCGCACACACGCATTGATGGAGATGTTTTCCCTTCAGACTTCTCCGTCACCTGGGGAGTGTTGCCAAGCAATGCCCCTCCAGCACAACAGAAGGTGCAACTCTTTTCTGGGTTCTCCTGCCACCATTACAGTCATGTATCCAGTCCAAGATCGTGCACATTGTACATCTTTGCTACGTTTGCTCTGAGTTGGTCATCTAATTCCATTTTCCAATTCTTTTACATTCACAGAGTAATAGAGAATTGTTTTTACCTTTTGGCTGACATGTTTCGGCTATCGCTGTCGCCTTTGTCAGAGCCTTGCCATTGGTCGCGGAAACATGTCAGCAAGAAGGAAAAAACAATCTCTATTCCTCTGTGTATAGAAAAGTATTGGACAAGGGAATTGGTAATGGTGGTGTTAACTTATATAACGGAAGCACCGTCCTGACCAATCACAAGCTTGCAGTCTGTCACTTCTGACGGATAGTCAAAAAGTTGGGTGTGTCTCCGACAGCCTCTGTGACTCAATTGGACAGCCCTTGACGTGCGTATGTCTGCACCAATGCAGACGGAGAAGTATAAATCATATAATCGCTGGTGGTTACCATGGCCACCGTCATGACCCACTGGCAGCAGCTTTAACATTTCTTTTTTTATTTCACAAAACAAACATTATTAATTTGATGACAATTTTCTCTAAGTTGGTGTTGATGGTTTTGGGCAACAGCTGCAAAGTTTCCAGGTTCATACTTACAGCTCTTGTCTTGTCAAAATATGACCTCCTTTAATTAATAAAAATATGGTTTGCAGGTTTCACACAAGTCACTTAGACCAAGTAAATCCTGGGTTGGGTTGTGATTCAGTATGTTCTGTCACAGTTGTACACTTTATCCATTTTCTGCACGGCACATTGAGTCCCATCGTTTAGTACACAACAACACCAGCACTCTGTGGCGAGGTTAAGACAACTCCGCTAAAGTAAACAACTTCCCACTAGAGCCGTCTGACAAACGGCAGCCAATAAACTGTCAGGGTTATGTAAACAACCGCTGGACAAGTTTGAACCTCACCAGCTCCTGTAACTTTCACCTTTAGCCGCTCACACTCCCACACACACACACGCGTGCACGCACACACACTAATCTGTGATAGTACTCTAGATGAAGATGCACAACAGGGACACAAGCATTCATGGTTATAAAGTTATGGTGTGTAGGAATGAAACACCTTCCTGTTTCAACTTTGTAATTACAAACAAAAACACCAAGAAACTCCAAAACATCAGTCGAAGCTGTTAGATTACTTCAGATTAGTTCTGTTTAGGATTATTGCGTTAAAATTATCAAAGCTTAAAGATCAAGTTAATATAATGGCGTCAAATACCTCCGTGATTTTATTTTCATAATAATTGGAACATAAACTGTAGCATACAGCTTTTTCACATGATATTAAAGGGTGTATGAAATAAGATTATAGATTATGTAAAAGTTTAAATTAAACAGACCTGATAAACCTACAGGATGTACAGTACAGGAGGTTCAGTGTTGCTGTTTTACAGCAAAAGAACCACGAGTTTCTAAAACATGTGATTTAGGTTTATTGTATTAAAAATCCTGATTTTCAGGCTTTGAATCTCATTACCGATTGACTACACACACACACACACACACACACACACACACACACACACACACACACACACACACACACACACACACACACACACACACACAGCTTGCCTAATTCACCGCTTCCCTCCCTCTCGCTCCAACACAAACATTAAACTACATGCGTGATTTAAAACCATAATAGCTGCAGCTGTCGTGACACGATTGGCCCGATAACAGAGTAACTCTGAGTGTTACAACACGCCTTATCCTGCGCTTTATCTACGATTCCTTCAGGAACATGACACAACGGGGAATACTCGAGCGATTTAACCAGCAACCAGCACAGGCTCACTCTAAAACCAGGATATCTGGTGAAATTCTGGGTGTTTAATTCACTGATTCGATGCTGGATTGATAGATCTGCTTCTCTTAAACCTGCTTTAAGCTCATGTTTGTTTAAACATTTAGTGTTTTATATTTTTATGCATAAAACGTTGATACTGGAACTTCATTAGCGTTGTTCTAGGTCAGTCACGTTCCCATGTACCAAACAAACTCCATTCCTAGAAAATGGCTTTTTTTACAAGTAGTTTAAGTGACAGTGAGAGGATTTGAACCTGCAGCTCTTTGACTGGAGTGTGATGTTACTCACAGGCAGGAACTGTGCAGTCCCGGGTGTTGTGGTAGAGTCGGTTGAACTGTTTCTGGCACTGAGGTTTAATGGAAAGAGGACCTGAGGACATGAAAGGATACTTGTTAAGGTTCAGGATCAAACACCCGTGATGTTCAACACTGATAAACTGAGCTGGTTTTAGTGGTTTACAGTTACTGTACTTTAATTCTATGATATCTTAGTTACTTTAAAAGTCAGATTCAAGCATAACCTGTTTGACTCAATCAGGGTACAAATAACCTGCTTTAGTCCAGATGTGTCCAGTCCTGGTCCTGCTGGACCACTATCTTGCAGGTTTTCAGGCGTTTCTCTGCTTTAAACTGATCAATTGTCATGAATATGATTCTGTAGGACCTGCTGAGGAGGAGATTCAGCCACTGAATCTGGTGTTGGAGCAGAGAAACATCTAAAACCTGCTGAGGACAAGGGTTCACCGCAGCTGATTTAGGCAAAGGATGGACTTGATTATATTCAGGGATTTAAATACCTGTATTAGTTTGTGGCATTAAAACCTTGTTATGTATAGGAATTGATGAGCAATAAAGAAAAACCTGATGACGTTTGAAAAGCATCCTGTTTGAATTTATTAACTAGTTTTAATTGCTGTGATTGTTGTAGAGCCCCAGTTTCTTCTTGTAGCGTGATGAATTGTCTATTTCTGACCTAAAAGGCCCTGCTCTGTTTTGCTCCGCTCAAAGCAAAACCAGAAGTTTCTGACACAGAACTAATCTGCATGAGATATTGCTCAAGGTCTCATGCTCTGCTTCTAAACTGTCTTCCTTTACCAGCTCAAGAGACGAATGAAGTCCAGGGACTCTTTCTTTTAATAAACCAGAAGAACTCTATTTTTAATAAAGCTAATCAAACAAAATTTTAGTCCAATAATAAAATGTGAACCAATCTGTGAAATGACAATGTTATGATCAGTAGTATTATAATAAGTAATATAATTAAGTATTTCTACTAGACATTCTCATCCACATAATGTTAAGAATCACATGACACGTTTCCTTTTTCTGATCCAATCAGAGCCTTCCAGATCTGACGCGAGGCGTGGATTTGTTGGTGCTTGGTAAATCTGTCCTTTTTTGATTTGACCGTAAATCAAAACATCCAAATTATAAAACTATGCCCACGTCATCTTAACTTCAGTTCAAGCGTTCTAGAGAAGTTGTCGGAGTGGCCAATCCGTAAACTTTCCTCTTCAGCCAAAATAACCTAACGACAAGCTGGATTAAATCGGTTACATGTTCCACATGCCGCAACGGTTCCTTTCAGAATAAAAGCTGAACCATCACGACCCCTTTTTGGGTCTCGCTAGATGCCAATAAAACTGTCGTGACCTGGAAGTATCTCAAGACTGGTCTGGTCAGCAGCCGCTGCTTTTCACCGGCTTCTGTGCCAGAGGAGGTCAAGCTGGACCTCGACATTCCTGATCTAACGGGGGCTTCCGCCAAGGGTATGTAGACCGACAGAATGTTGTCTCAGTGTGTGTTATAAATCTCCCAAACCAAGCTTAGCGCGAAACATCCTCTTCAATCCCATCAGAACTAATCGTTTCTCCGGATCTGCTGGTTCTGAACATATTCACACACACACACACCATTCTCAGTCTTATTTCACCTTAGTTACACCATACATTAGTGTATAAACACAGTGTTTAAAGTTAGTCTAGTTTTAATTTGTTTAGTAATAAATCTTTAAACTTTTTAAACTTGACTCTTTTCTTGAAGTTAACACGAAGTGTTGCTCAATCCCTGCAATAAAAAGATCCGATCTTCTGATTAAATTTACTTAAAGATCCATTAAGGTGATATTTCATACTTTATGATTTTTCACATTTAATGGGTTCTAATTAAATGTAGGAGCATCTTCTCTACATTCTGAATTTAAACACATTTCTCTATTTCTTTAAGAAAAACGAACTCAACCACCTATGTTTAGAGACAGAGGTTAGATGTTCATACCTGTCAGGTGTGCGAAGAACATTTCTTTGTATTTCGGATCTCCAAATTGACCCTCTGGAAAAGAAAAACAGAGATAATATTTGGACCACCTAACTGTAAAACTTTGTCTGATGAAGAGCCACTGTGTGAGCTGACCAGGGAAACAAAGTAAGGTTTATTTAATCAGACTGAAGTTGAAGAGCTCTTCTTCTTCCTTCAGGAGCCCAAAACTCAAAAGGACTGAAGGACATTTGCTGAGTCATGATGATGCTGTGTAATGCAGGAAGCTTTTGAGATCTGTCGGTTCGCTCCCGGTGGCTGCCTGGTGGGGTCTGGATCCCTGGGCTCTGTCAGGTACCCAGCAGGGTTTGTAGCCCTCGGGTCCTGGGCCGCTGTGTTCCAAGTTCAGCCAGCTCGGGGGTGGATGGCTGTGGGCGAGCCTGGGGACTTGCCATTGTAATCACCCAGGGGTCTGGTGGCTGCTGGTCGCGACCCCCGGGGCCGGGGTAATCTTCTGCGCCTTTCGGAAGGGGGGTTGGGGCATCTCCGGCGGCTGTCTCCCTGGGGTTCCTGTGCTTCAGGAAGACCCTTGGATCTCTAGGGCTTGGAACTCCTCCATCTTCCACCTGTCTTTGGGGGCAGGTCTGTGGGCCCTCACACTCACTGTTGGACGCTCCTATGGCGAAACCTTACATATACAAGTGCGTGTATGCACACAGGTGCTCACATGGTGCTCTAAAAAGGATGGACTTGGGCATTTTCCACACATGTCTTAAGGCTGTGGTTGGCACTAAATGCAGTATGAATGCAGTATGAAGCGCCTCGTGATTTTTATCTTGAGAGGCGCTATAGAAATTATATTTTCTTCTTCTTCTAATTATTACCTTGTGTTTCTCAGGAACAATGACTTTTATAAACTCTCATGCTGTTGGCGCAGTGATATTTTGGTCTTGTTGTATTTTTGTGTCCTTCTCTCTCTCTCTCTCTCTCTCTCTCTCTCTCTCTCTCTCTCTCTCTCTCTCTCTCTCTCTATCCAGGTCTAGAAGCAGATTCTTGTTCATCATTTATTGTTCATTTTTGTGAACCCCCTCCCCCACCTCTTCCTTCTCTCTCCCCATTTTTCTTACACTTCTGTCTCCGTGTCCGTTGATATTTAAAACAACCAAAATATTTCTAATAAGGTTTTTGATATCAGGAGTGGCATAATAGCAGAGGCTATAAAGCGCCACCTGTGAGAATAAAACTGTAAGGCTTGTCGTCTGTATTCAGGTATCAATTCTGATTGCTTCACAGCCGGATAGGACATGGTAAAAAAAAAAAGAAAAAGTTTGTTGCTTGTTAAAAACTAACACATTTCTTTATTTTATTAAAAAAATGAACTCAATCACCTATATTTAGATACATAGATGTTCATACCTGTCAGGTATGCAAAGAACGTTTCTTTGTGTTTTGGATCTCCAAATTGACTCTCTGGAAAAGAAAAAGAGAGATAATATATGTACTCCCTAACTTAAAAACGTTATCTGATGAAGAGCCACTGTGTGAGCTGACCAGGGAAAGAAAGAGGGGTTTATTTAATCAGGCTGAAGTTGAAGAGATCTTCTTTCAGGAGCTCAAATCTCAAAAGAACTGAACAACATTTGCTGAGTCATGATAATGCTGTGTTTCAGTTTAAGATTGTATGACTCAAACCTTCATCCTCACAAGGAACTGACTTACCAGAACAGGTAAAACACAGATCAGCACCATGGACAGAGACACTTTGATCAAACACCCAACAGAACCAGTCCAGTAGAACCATGAAAACAATTGGTGCTTTTCAGCGTTCTTAAACTTACCAATGTTAAATTCAAACTGTTTTCAAGAACTTTCATGTGAGCTTATAAAGGTTTCAGGACCATGTAGTGATGATGATCTTCACGATCATGAATTCTATCAGAGTCTTTCACCCCTGTGCTACATTAATGTGACAAGTACAGTTAAAGAGACAATGTGTAGTTTTTACTGTTAATCTCTGGAAATACACATTGAAATGTTGTTGAAAAATAATGGCAGCTTTGTAACAAATAACCATAAAAATCAGGTCAAAAATACACGGTAGAGAAGCTAAGTCTCTGGGCGACGCAATGTTTCCTTCTTCTGGAGCTTGTGAGTACAAAATGCATTTACTGATTTGTACCAAACGATTACAAAACTTTCACCATTGATGTTGTTTTACACATTCACCTCTTCACTCGTTGTCAACGACTTTATGAATGTTTTGGACTCTTTTAATTTAACAGAGTGGATCACTGGCCCTACCATATTAAATGCCGCACGCTGGACATGTTTTTTTCTGTTGGCCTCACCCCTATTAATATTGTGACTTTGCCACCTGTGTTCTCTGACCCCTCTACCATTCTCTGTGACTTTACATTGCCTCTCCTCGCCCCGGTGACCGATGTTCCTGTCAATAGTTCTAGAGTATTAAATGCTGAGAATGTTACAGTTTCTCAGCCGTGTGTCTGCTAGGTCTGAAAGTCGGACCACTGAGTCCAGTAACACTGAGGAGTTCTCTCAGCATTTTGATTTGCTCTGTAAAAAAGTCCTTTATGCTGTTGCACCTCTCAAAACTAGAAAGTCTAGGCCAAGTGGGGAGCCTGGCTCTCTGATGGCACCAAGGCTTCCAGACGAGCCTGCAGAGTTTGAGAGAGAAAATGGAAAAAGGGTGGCTTGCAGGTTTCCTATGAGATGTTTCCGGTATCATTAGTGGCTCATCAGGATGCTGTGAAGGATGCAAGATTTGCATATTATGCTGCTATCATTGACACAAATCCCAATAATAACTGGATCCTTTACAAAACACTGAACACAGTGTTGGTCTATCAGGAACATGGCTTTACATCTATTTCTACTGCTGGTGATTGTAAAGACATTCTCAATTTTTTTGTTAGGAAAGTCTCTGATATTAGAGCATCTATCCTCGGCTCTCCTACTGAGTCTGTTCCTGCTGCCTCATTGAGGGCTACCCTGAGCGTTTTTGAACCTGTTTCCCTTTCTGAGTTGAGTAAGCTGGTATCAGGACAGAAGCCATCAGGCTCTTCTCTGGACATTCTGCCACCCCGCCTCTGGAAGGAGGCTTTTTCCGTCCTGGCCCCATTTCTTGGTACCATTATAAATGGTAGCTTGAGCTCTGGGGTTGTTCCATCCTCATTGAAATACGCAGTGGTGTGGCCAATCCTCAAACAAACTGGTGCTGATGCTACAGTGCTTGACAATTATAGGCTAATCTAGACCCTCCCTTTCGCCTCTAAAAGTTTGGAGAAGATTGTTAACCAGCAGCTGGTATCTCACTTATCTGACTCTGATTTATTTGAGGTTTTCCAGTCTGGATTTAGGCATGGGCACCACACTGAATCAGCCCTGCTAAGGGTCTTGAATGACATTTGTATATCTTTAGATCAGGGTTTTTCTGTGGCACTTTTTTTATTGGACCTTACGGTAGCTTTTGACATGGTGGTGACACTGCTTGATCACCTGGAACTATGTGTAGGGATCACTGGGTATGCCCTTGAATGGTTTCACCCCTACCTATATGGTAGGAGATTCTGTGTGAGATTGGGGGGAAGCTCTCTCTTCTTGGGAGGCTTTTTGCTGAGGGGTTCCGCAGGGCTCAATTCTCAGACCACTGCTTTTTGCAATTTATTTGTTGCCGTTAGGGTCCATCTTCCGCAGACATGGCATTAAGTTCCACTCATACGCTGATGACTGCCAGATCTATTCTCCACTGTCTCTGGGGAATGGAGCTTCTTTTTTTAAACCCTGAGACCTGTGTAAATGAGGTCAAGGCATGGCTTGCAGCTAATTTCCTGTATGTTAATGAACAAAAAAACGGAATTTATCATGTTTCACCCAGGCTACAGCTCAGATTTATGTTCTACTGTAGATTTGTGCACCTTCTCATGACTACAGAAGCCAGTTGTCAATAGCCTGGGGGTGAGACAAGATTATGCTCTTAGATTAGACTCTCATGTCAACTCAGTAGTTCGGTCTTGCTTTTTTCAGTTACGTCGCCTTACTAAACTCAAGACAATTCTTTCCAGAACTCACTTGGAGCGTGTACTCCATGTGTTTTTGATCTTTAGGCTTGACTATTGTAACTCCCTTTATACTGGGTTGGGTCAGATTATTGTGCATCGCCTGCAATTATTGCAGAACAGTGCTGCTAGGTTTTTGACTGGAACTAGGAAACGATACCGTGTTTCTCCAGTGCTGACTTCTCTTCACTGGCTCCCAGTCTCATACCGGGCACAGTTTAAAATTCTACTTTTTGTGTTTAAGTTCCTCCAAGGCAGTGCCCCCACATACTTAGCGAAGCTCTTAATAAAGCATGTTCTCTCAAGGTCATTATGGTCGGCTCACCAGAAATTGCTTATCGTCCCTCGCACCCGATTTAAGACTCGTGGTGATGGGCTTTTCAAGTTCTTCCACCCTCTCTCTGGAACCATCTCCCACTCACAATCAAACAGTCTTTATGAGCAAGTTGAAGACAAATTTTTATAGGAAGGCTTTCTCTTAAAGCTTTTGGTTTCTGGTTTTAATTAATTAATGAATTTAATTATTTGTTTGTTTGTTTATTTATTGCCTTCTTTTAACTAAATACTTTAAATTTTCTTTTATCTAAATTTGATCTCATTGGCGTTTTATTGTTCACAAATGTCTAAGTTCTCATTTTGTTTTTAAAGTTTTTATGACTTGCTACTTTTATCTTTGTTACTTTTCTTGTCCAGCCCCTTGGACCCCTCTGAGGGTGGCGGAAAGCGCTATATAAATAAAACTTGATTGATTGATTGATTGATTGATGAAAGGAGTCTTATGTGATTGTCATTTTGCTGGAGATTGCTCTCCCAGGGATTTAATGGCCATCCGTTGTTAAGGTCTTACTCAAACACAAAAATACTGCGTACTTGCAATGATTCAGGTATGTACTACCCACCCATCATCAGAAAAAATACATATTATCACTGTAACGGTACAGGCCCCTTCAAAACTCTGAAAGAGTTCTAGTATTTTCGATGACTGTAAAATCTGTATCAACCCTGGGAAATTAAACTGGAGTTTGTTCTGGCTGTTAGCTGCTGTTAGCTGAGAGTCATCCTCTGCCTACAGTGTTGAAACGACTCTCACCAGTCCAAGTCTGGTTCCTGAGCACCATTGTCCTGCAGATATTAAATGTCCCTCTGCTCCTTGCACTTCCTCAGCCTGTATTCGAGTTCTGCAGGATCCCTTCACAGACCAACAGATTCAGGTGTGTTAAAGCAAGAGCACATCAGCAGGAGGACTGGACATCACAGACTTAACTAGATGAGTAAAATCCTTAGGAAATAAACAAGACATGTCTGTGTCAATTGGTCCAGTCCAGCAGGGGGTTCTGATTCAGCTGAAATAGCTGCAATGTGGCTGAGGTGGAGGTTTTAAAGCAATGTCTAATAGAAGGTTCAGGAGAAGAGAGTTAGTTGGATGAGTTGGACTCAAACTCATTATTTTACAAAGTGACAGGAAAAGACTGCCTGGACCTTTGTGCAAGGGTGCCCCCAAGGGGTGGTCAGGGGTGGCCCCCCAGGAAAAGCCAGTGTTAACAAATCATGTTGATGTTCAGTCAAAAGATATATTTATCTTGTTTATCAAGACATAATTGTAAAACAAAATGAAATATTATAATTAATGAGTAAAGAAATAATCAGAATAAAAAAATATGTTTCTGCTGCCCACCATTTTATAAAAGTTTTTATCTCCATAGTTTTTTGTGGGTTTTTTGTGAGCACAGCAACACAGGTGAATTAACCAAAAATTACAGTTTTTAATTAAATTAGGAAAAACATTTAAAATAACTGAAATGTATTTTTCTAAAATGTTTGTGTTTGTAAAATTTAAGGTAAATGTTTTGGATACATACTGTTATTTTAATCAAAATGAACAAAGGCACAATGCAGCACATCGCCACAGACTAAATTCAACCAGAGTTACCACAAAGACCAATTTGGTGTGCCACCCAAAAAAATTTCTTTGGCCCCATCTGGCCACCCCTATCAAAATTTTCTGGAGGCGCCCCTGCCTTCATGAAGCTACAGATAAAACAAATCTGATGAAAAAATCAAAAGTCTATCTGAAGGTGATTTACTGGGTTGTTCTTTAACTCTCCTCCAGGTCTCCAGCTGTTTTGGGGCCCATCTTAATGAAAGGCTAACCAGAGTTTAGGTTCCTTTTGAGTGGATAGGTAAAGGTGACAAGCAACAGTTCAGCTGTCTGCTGGGTAATAAAATCCAGAGGAAAGGTTGGATTTGCACTCTGCTTATTAACTGTGTGATTTAGAGATGGTACTAAACACAATAAATCTGTACAAGCTGATTCAGTGTGTTTATAGAAACATGAAAAACACTTCATGTTGATGTTTTGATCTACTGCTGATTGGCTGGTTTGATCACAACCAGCTGAGTGTGTAAACACTTTTAAATGGGCTACAGTGGGTACGGAAAGTATTCAGACCACCTTCAATTTGTCACACTTTGTTATATTGCAGCTATTTGCTGAAATGTATTACATTAGTTTTTTTCCTCATTAATGTACGCAGCACCCCATATTGACTGAAAAACAGAATTTTTGAAATTTTTGCAGATCTATTAAAAAGACTATCTGAAATATCACATGGTCCTAAGTACTCAGATCATTTGCTGTGACACTTATGTATTTAACTCAAGTGTTTTCCATTTCTTCTGATCATCCTTGAGATGGTCCTACACCTTCATTAGAGTCCAGCTGTGTTTGACTATACTGATTAGACTTGATTAAGAAAGCCACACACCTGTAAGACTGTACAGCTCACAAGGCATGTCAGAACAAATGAGAATCATGAGGTCAAAGGAACTGCCTGAAGAACTCGGATTGTGGCAAGGCACAGATCTGGCCAAGGGTACAAACATATCTCTTCTTCACTTAAGGTTCCTAAGAGCCCAGTGGCCTCCATAATACTTAAATGGAAGATTTTTGGGATGACCAGAACCCTTCAGGCCGTCCAGCTACTGAGCATGGAGTTTGCTAAAAGACAGTTGAAGGACCCAGAGATTGGGTGAAATAAGATTTTCTGCTTGGATAAGACCAAGATAGAACTTTCTAGCCTTAATTATAAGCAGCATGTGTGGAGATAACCAGGCACTGCTTGTCACTTGTCCAATACAGTCCCCACAGTGAAGCATGGCGGTGGCAGCATCATACTGTGGGGAAGCTTTTCAGTAGCGGGGACAGGACGACTGGTTGCAATCGAGGGAACAATGAATACGGCCAAGTACAGGGATATCCTGGACAAGAACCTTCTCCAGAGTGATCAGGACCTCAGACTGGGCTGAAGGTTTACCTTCCAGCATGACAATGACCCTATACGCACACAGCTAAAATAATGAAGGAGTGGCTTCACGGCAACTCTGTGACTGTTACTGAATGGCCCAGCCAGAGACCTGACTTAAACCCAATTGAGCGTCTCTGGAGAGACCGAAACATGGCTGTCCACCAATCTTCACCATGACAGAACTGGAGAGGATCTGCAAAGAGGAATGCCATGGATCCCCAAGGAACTTGTAACATCTTTATCAATATGACTCATGGCTGTATTAGCTCCAATGGTACTTCTTCTAAACTGAGCAACGGGTCTGAATACTTAGGACCATGTGATGTTTCAGTTTATCTTTTTAATAAATCTGCAGAAATTTCCCAAATTCAGTTTTTCTGTCAGGGTGATGTGTGTTCATTAACGAGGGAAAAAAAGATGTTTTATTGATTTTAGCAAATGGCTACGACATAACAAAGAGTGAAAATATTTGATGGGGGTCTGAATACTTTCTGTACCCACTGTAAGATTAAAGCCCACATTGTGAACCCATGCACCCAAGTGGGTGCCAAGTGAGGTCTGTTGACCTGGAGCTACATAATGTGTTCTGGCAACATGGTGCATCAGTCAGTGTAGCAGAGGAAAACCATTTTGGTTGAGGAACATCAAGATGAAGCTGAAACAGCCTCGGTTTAGATCAGACCCCTGACAGGGTCTGAAGGTAAACCACAGGTGTTCTGATGAGGACCTCAGAGGAAACACATGTTTAATCTGCCCCCAGATTCTAATTAATGTGTTTTAATTAACCCTTTGATGCATAATGGTCACCACAGGACAGGTACTCAAAATTGTTTTATTTATTTATTTTGTTGCTATTAAGCACAGCTGTTGAAGACTTTGTTGCATTTGAGCCCCTTCATTTGGACTTCAGTAAGTCAAGCCATCATATTTCATGTTCAGAATGCACACTGTCCGGGTGGACATGTAATAAATTATTTGTGAATTATTAAATATACAGAAAATATTTGTTGAAATTTGTTTCATTCACACCTAAAGATGAATGAAAAAATTGTTTAAAAAAATTATGGTTGAAGATTTCATAATTCATGCATCAAAGGGTTAATCTGAACACAATCCCAGGTCTAATCTGGACCATCGGTACCAACCGGGTTTCGACCTGCTCGTCCTCAATGGTGCTGTGTATCCGGTGAACCCAAGCGACTCCATCCGTCTTCGGCCAGCCCCGCGGCCCTCAGACCGGGTCCTGGAGCTTCGCTGCTCGGTCGCAGCGTAGCAGGGCCCCGGAGGCATGAGGAGGAGGGGGAGGAGCGGGAGGAGGAGCCGCGGGAGCAGCATCCCGATGGAGATGAACGGACTCAAGATGAGGTCTGAAATATAAAATGTATGTTTAACAACTTTCATTTGATTCTATGGAAACTTTAACATTAAAATGATTGAAATACAATAAAAAATTATATAAAATAAAAAGGCATGCTCCAAAGAAAAACCCCAGAAGTGTTTCCAACAAAACTTTAAAACTAATTTAAGATGGCCCCGAAATAAATGTGTTTTATTTTACATTTTGAAGTTGTTTGCTGAACAAAAGTTTAAAGTCCTCCTGAACCGGGTCCAGATCAGACTCACCTCCCCTCTCCCCTTTCGGCTCGGAGCGCCTCTTCTCCCCGGCGCACCGGTCTCTTCCCGGTTCGTCTCGAGGAGGAACCTGATGCGAACTTCTCGGTTTCTGTCGCGTCTCTTGGAGCTGTTATCCCGGGTTAGTTTTGATCTTGCGCGCTCTGTCGTTCGGTGACATCTTAGAGCTGACGGAGCGCGTGGAGCCGATCAAATACCACCATCACCACCACCATCAGCATCATCATCACAAACAGCTGGGCTGACCCGCAGCAGGCTGCAGGCAGCAGGAAGGGGTCATGCTCTACCTGGAGAACCTGCAGCTCTGACTGATGCTTCAGGATGATCACAACCTTCGCGCTTTCCTTCAGCTCCTCTTCCTCTCTGAAAAGAAACAATCCTCTGGTGTTCTCACGAGCAACTCCACCGGATCGCGGAAATAAAGAGCGGGAGGGAATGTGTGCGTGTGTGGGCCGTGCACGCGCATAAACCCATGCACGCACAACAGAAGATGCAGAGTTGACGGAGTTTGTTCAGAAGGCGGTGCAGCACCTCCTCTTAGCGGAGGTGACAAGAAACTACTCTGACTCGTTCCCAGAGCTTCTTATGTTCTCCAAAGTCCCAGATGATCTGGATCTGGCTCAGGAGAGGCCGATATGGTCCAGATCGGTGAGGGTAATCCAGGCTCACCCGAAACATCAGAAGAACCTGTTGATGTTCAGAATGTTCCTGTGTTTAACCTGAGATTTTTGTTTCGGTGTTTCTAGATCTTCCTGTCAGATTTTTCTTAATGACATCATTTTACAAGTTTCAAATGTTTTATTGATTAAGTTGATCCAAAGAGTCAATCTCTCTTTTAGTTAACACTTGTAGCTCATCAGTGTGTGAATGTGTGTAAAGCACTTTGGAGTCATACAAGTGCAGGTCATCAGCCGACCAGTGGATAAGATCCTGCTGGTGGAGTTTGTTCTTCATCAGTAGTGTTTGGAAATTGTCAGAATTTGAGAGTTTTATGTGTCATCTTGCCTTTTGAAGGATTAAGGTCTGGGAAGTTTCCTGGAGCAAACACGTTCTGACTTTAGCTTTCTGGCCCAATACTCTGTCACCACCAAACCAATGGTTAAGGAGTACTGCTGGGAGGATATTTTGGTACCATTCTTTATAAATGGATGTTGTGAGGCTAACTGTGAGTTTTGGTTTAGAAGTGAGGAGCACCTCCACACACGACTGGTCTGCTTTATCCTTTACTGACACAGGACTGATGGGAATGCTCACCCCTTCTTTCTCCAGATGATCCTGATTCCAGATGCTCCAATACATCAGAAATGAGATTTGTCAGAGAAGGTGACGATCCTCCTGTTCTCATCAGTTTAGCTGTGGACCTTTAGGGGGACATCCCTCTGATGCTATTTTGTTTATTTTTATTTTTTTGGAGAAAGGTGGCTTCTTTGCTGCCCTTTTAATAACAAGCCATAGCCGACTGAGAAATGAACTCTGTATGGTTTTATCCTTTTAATTCACATAAATGTAAACTAATGAAACACAGCAGAAACTTCATACAAACACATGGCAGAAATACATAAAATTCAATTCAATTCAAGTTTATTTATATAGCGCCAAATCACGACAAGAGTCGTCTCAAGGCACTTCACATAATAAAACACACACACACACACACACACACACACACACACAAACACACAAACACACACACACACCTCTGTTCCACCCTTATTTGTTCATCTGCTCTATCAGACTTTAAATCACCCCAGTAAAGCGTGTGTGTGTGTGTGTGTGTGTGTGTGTGTGTGTGTGTGTGTGTGTGTGTGTGTGTGTGTGTGTGTGTGTGTGTGCGTGCGTGCGTGCGTGCGTGGGTGTGTGTGTGTGTGTGTGTGTGTGTGTGTGTGTGTGTGTGTGTTTATTCAGGGTTTACCATGTACTGACAGCTTTTTTCAGAGAGGATTTGTTTCTTCATGCAGGTCGCTATAGAATTGTTTTCTGATGAACTCACTTTGTTCAGATCCAGACCTGTTCCATGGTGCTCGATAAACCTTCCTCTGGAGGCCATTAGACACCTTTAGGGACTCAGAGACCTTTTCATCTCCTATTCTGATATGACACTGTCCAACTTGAAAACTATCACAAATATTACAAAAAGCCTCAGATTTCTACTCTTTTTGTAAACATCTTCAGCATTTTAATCTTTTTCAGTGTTGCTCAGAACTCTTCAAATGAAACTTAAGATCATCTCAGAACACAGTAACACAAATACCGTTTAATAAATTTAAAAAACCATCTGGATGGAGGATCTCCTAACAGCCTATGTTCAACCTCTGAATGGGACTGCGGAGGGTCAGGGATTTTCTAGTTGTTGGCCAATTTCCATTTCCTTTCAGTTTTCTAAAATACTTGAAGAAAACATTTATAAAATATTATTAATTTTCTTTGTAAAATATAATCATTTCTGTGAACAGCAATACAGTATGGGTTCAGACCAGATGGGATTACTCAGGCACTTGTTGATCCTGTGTGAAAAGTATTTGATGCAATTGATAACAGGGGTGTTCCTAGACAAGTAAAGATTTAGACACAGTCAATCAGACATTATCACCCAACAGATTGCGCAGATGTGGGTGTGTGGCCATCTCCTGGATCAAGAGTTACTTGGTCAACCGATAATATGTCCACATTTACAACCAGTGGCTGATAGTGACCACTGGTCTCCCACAGGGGTCAGTGTTGGGTCCTTTACCCTTGATTATTTTTATAAATGACACATGTTCATTTTCTTTTGGATGGCCTTTAATTTTTATATGGACATAAATATTATGTTGTAAGGATTTAATTTACATCTATTTAATGAACCATAAGACATCAGATTCCATAGTGAATATGAAATCAATGTTATGAATCTTTGGGTAATTTTACCCAGAAGATTGGAACTTTTTATTGCAGGGATAATGTAACACTTCGTATTAACTGAGAGACAAGAGAAGAGAGAGTCACCTTTAAAACGTTCAAGAAGATTTATTTCTAAAGAATTTTAATCAAGACTAACTCTAAACTCTAAGTGATGAATGGATCTTGGTGTGAATGAGACGTGAGATGAATGTGTGTGTGTAAGTGATGTTGTCATCAGAACTCTCGTATCCGGAGAAGCAAGTCTGAGTGATGAAGTGATGTTTTGCTTTAGCTATGATCGTAGTTTCATAAACACATGAGACGCCATGTTGTCGCTCCACACATACCCTTCAGGATGAGACCTCCGTACAGATCCAGACCCCTCTTTCGGTACCGGAGCCGATGAAACAGCATCAGCAGTACGACAGACTAGTCTTTGGATTGTCTCCAGGTAAAAAGCGACAGTTGGTTGACAGCGTCAGATGGACCCTGAGGGTCAGTGAGTTCAGCTTTTATTCTGAAAGGAACCGTTGCTTGGTCGGTAAAGTGCAACAGATTTTATCCAGCTTGTTGGTTCGTTGCTTAAAAAGGAAGTCTGTGTGGCCGGTCCGATACTTCTCTTAGAATGCGGTGAACTGAACTAAGATGGCGTGGCGACTGGTTTTGTTAATCTGGATGTTTTGATTTATGGTCAGATCAAAGTTTGACAGATTTATAAACACCACAGAGACTATGCCACACTTCAGAAAGGAAGGTTCTGATTGGATGAGAAAGATAAAATGTGTCATGCGTTTACATTACATGGATCAGGATGTCTAATGCAGCTAGATTAAAGTCATATTACTTATTAAAACTTACTAATCATAACATTGTCATTTCACAGATTGGTTCACATCTTATTATTGATTAACACTTTGTTTGATTAGCTTTGTTAAAAATAGAAAGAGTCCTTTGTCTTCATTCTTCTCTTGAGCTGGAAAGAAAGCAGTTTTAGAAGCAAATGCATGACCTTGAGGCAGTCTCATGCAGATCGGTTCTGTGTCAGAGACATCTGAGGAGAGAGAGTAAGTAACCTTCATGGAATAGCTCCTTCATCACGTTACAATGTATTCATTGTAAAACAATTTCTGAAGTCAAATCCTGGTCCTCCAGGACTCCTATCAGTCATATTTTGTAGGTTTCTCTGCTTCAACACACCTGGTTTGATTCAGTGGGTGAGATGATCCAGCAGTGCTTATTCGCCTGCAAATCAGCCCATTGCATCAGGTCTGTTGGAGCAGAGAGACATCTAAAACCTGCTGGATAGGGGCTCTCAAGGACCTGAATTGTAGACCACTGTGTCAATTTAAGCACATCACACCAGGGGCGTGGCTATGAGTGTTTTTTTCGGGGCCGACCCAATCAGTATTTCTGGCTCTGATTGACACCTTCAACCTGACCCAACATTTACAGGGCCCCACTCACTCTCAGGGCTACACACTCAATCTTGTCATCACAAAGGGTGTAATTGCCTCTACATCTGTTGTGGATTTAGCCTTATCCGACCACTGTTGTATCTTTATTGACGTCTGCTTGTCTCCTTATCGCCAGAATAACTTTGTGATGATCAAAAAGAGAGCTGTAAATGAGGAAACTTGTGTTCTTTTTGAGCAGGCACTCGTCAAATCCGCTAGCCCAGTCCCAAAGACCGCTGACCATTTGCTGGAAATTTTTAACTTAAGTATGGCAAATATAATGGATGACATTGCTCCTGTTAAATTGAAAAAAAAAATCCTCTGGCAAACAGAAGGCTCCATGGAGAAATGTCCCATCAGTTAAATCACAGAAGAAAGAATGCAGGAGAACAGAAAGGAAATGGCGCAAATCCAAACTTAACTCAGACTATCTGACCCATAAAGAAGCACTTTGCAAATACAACTCTGTCATTTGTAGAGCAATCTTATTTCTCCACCATTATAAACAAAAAGCAAATAACACTCGTGCGCTATTATCCACTATTGAGAAGCTAACAAATCTCTCTTCTCAGCTGGCTCCTGAGTTACTCTCAGTTGATAAGTGCAACGAATTTGCCTCTTTCTTTAAGAGCAAAGTAGAGAACATAAGATCTCATATTTCATCTAAGTTGCTAACATTTCTCACTCTGAACCACTAACTAGTTTGCGAGATGAGCTTAGCTGTCAAATTTCAACACTGTTGACCGTCACTTTGGAAAAGACTGTACAAAGTCTAAGTTCCTCTACATTTGAGCAGGACATTTTGCCCACTAGTTTCTTTAAATCTGTGTTTCACCTTATAGCATCTGATGTGCTTTCAATTGCTAACACCTCTCTGCTGACCGGCACTTTCCCCAAATGCCTTAAAATGGCTGTTGTAAAGCCTTTACTTAAAAAGAACAACCTGGATGTTTCTGTCCTTAACAACTACAGACCAATATCAAATCTACCTTTCATCGGAAAAATAATAGAAAAAATTGTTTTTAACCAACTGTCTGCTTTCTTAACTTCAACTTCCTGTCTTGATCTCTACCAGTCAGGCTTTAGACAACACCATAGTCCTGAAACTGCCCTGCTGAAAGTAGTCAACGACATTCGATTAAATAATGATGCTGGGAAAACAACTTTTCTCATGCTCTTGGATCTCAGTGCAGCGTTTGATACTGTTGACCACAGCATACTAATAGAAAGACTTGAATGCTGTGGAGGTTTTTCTGGCTTGGTC